CAGTGAACTAAATGGACAGGAATGGGTGAATTTAATTCAGATGACCATCAGGTATACTACTGCAGGCAAGAATCTCTCAGAAGAAATGGAGTAGCCTTCATAGTCAATAAAAGAGTAGGAAAAGCAGTACTGGAATACAATCTCCAAAATGACAGAATGATCTAAATTCGAATCTAAGGAAAACTATTCAACATCACAATAGTCCAAGTCTATGCCCCAACCACTGAGGCTGAAGTTGACTCGTTCTATGAACCAGGTGCTTACAACACCTTCTAGAAATAACACAAAAAATGACGTCCTTATCATCATGGGGGATTGGAATGATAAAGTAGGAAGCCAAAAGATAACTGGAATAACAGGCAAGTTTGGCAGGGCAAAGACTGGCAGAATTTTGTCAAATGAATATGCTGGTCATAGCAAACACTCTTTTCCAACAACCCAAGAAATGGACATGGACATCTACACATGGACATCACCAAATGGTCAACACAGAAATCAGATTAACTCTGTGCTCTGCAGCCAAAGATGGAGAAGCTCTATACAGTCAGTAAAAACTAGACCAGGAGCTGACCATGGCTCAGATCATGAGCTTCTTGTTGCACAATTTAGGCTTAAGTTGAAGAAAGTAGGGAAAAGCACTATGCCACTCAGGTATGACCTAAATCGTATCCCTGATGAATATACAGTAGAAGTGACAAATAGATTTAAGGAATTAGATCTGATAGAGTGCCTGAAGAACTATGGAAGGAGGTTCACAACATTGTACAAGAGGTAGCAACTAAAACCATCCCAAAGAAAAAGAAATGCAAGAAAGCAAAATGGCTGTGTGAGGAAGCTTTACAAATAGCAGAGGAAAGAAGGCAAGCGAAAGGCAAGGGAGAAAGAGAAAGATACACCCAACTGAATGCAGAATTCCAGAGAATAGCTAGAAGAGATAAGAACGCCTTCTTAAATGAACTGTGCAAAGAAATAGAAAAAAAACAATAGAATAGGGAGGACCAGAGATCTCTTCAAGAAAATTGGAGATATGAAGCGAACGTTTCATGCAAAGATGGGCATGATAAAGGACCAAAATGGCAGGGACTTAACAGAGGCAGAAGAGATTAAGAAGAGGTGGCAAGATTACACAGAAGAACTATAAAAGAAAGAGCGTAACGTCCCCGATAACCACAGTGGGGTGGTCGCTGACCTCGAGCCAGCCATCCTTGAATGTAAAGTCAAATGGGCCTTACTTAGGAAGTCTGAGCAACAACAAAGCTAGTGGAGGTGACAGTATTCCAGCTGAGCTAGTCAAAATCCTAAAAGATGATGCAGTAAAAGTGCTACACTCAATATGCCAGCAGATTTGGAAAACTCAACAGTGACCACAGGATTGGAGAAGGTCAGTTTACATTCCAATTCCAAAGAAGGGCACTGCCAAAGAATGTTCAAACTACCGCACCATTGCACTCATTTCACATGCTAGCAAAGGTGGAGGAAATCACGGGATAATCTGACCGAACACACTTAAGAGCCCAGTATCGGGCCTATGCTGTGGCAGTGAGGGCGGTGAAAAAGAGATTCGTTTCCACTTCCATTGCCTCCTCACAATGCCATCCAGAGGAGCTCTTTCGAGTGGTGCAAGGCCTGGTTCGTCCAGGTCCAAAGGAAGACCTGATTCCACCCTCAAAGGCCCGCTGTGATGACTTTGCCAGGCATTTCAGGGAGAAAATCGCTCAGATTCGTCACGAACTGGACACCACTATTGATTCAGAGGTTTCAGAGGAGACACCAACGCTGCCGTCTGGTCCAGATTTATTGGATGAATTTCAGTTACTGCGGCCCGATGACGTGGACAAGGTGCTTGGACGAGTACGTCCCACCACTTGCCTTTTGGACCCTTGGCCGTCTTGGTTAACAAATGATTCCAAGCACAGGATTGGAACCTGGATCTTGGAAGTGGTTAATGCTTCTCTGAGGGAGGGTCGGGTGCCTGCCCCTTTAAAGGAGGCAGTAGTCTGACCGGTCCTGAAGAAGGCGTCACTGGATCCAGAGATGGCCACTAATTATAGACCAGTGGCCAACATCCCGTTTCTGGGCAAGGTGTTAGAGCGGGTGGCGGCAGGACAACTCCAAGCACTCTTGGATGAAACTGATTATCTGGACCCATTGCAGTCCGGCTTCAGACCTGGGTACGGTACTGAATCTGCCTTGGTCGCCCTGTACGATGACCTGTGCAGGGACAAGGACAGGAGGAGTGCGTCCCTGTTGGTTCTCCTGGACCTCTCAGCGGCTTTCGATACCATCGACCATGGTATCCTTCTGGATGGGCCTCCGGGACTGGGGGTCGGAGGCACTGCTTTGCAGTGGTTCCACTCCTATCTCAATGGCCGGTTCCAGAAGGTGGTGCTGGGGGACTATGGCTCTGCGCCATGGCAGCTATGCCATGGAGTACCACAGGGGTCCATTTTGTCCCCTTTGCTGTTCAACATATACATGAAACCACTGGAAGAGGTCATCAGGAGGTGTGGGCTGCGGAACCATCAGTACGCTGATGATACCCAGCTCTACCTCTCGTTTTCCACCAACCCAGGTGAGGCAGTGGCTGTGCTGAACCGGTGCCTGCCCGAGGTAATGGGCTGGATGAGGGCCAATAAACTGAAGCTCAATCCAGGCAAGACGGAGGTCCTTTTGGTTGGCAGATCAGGCTTCGGAGAGGGTGAATTGAACCTTGTCCTGAACGGGGTTGCACTCCCTCTAAGGGACAAGGTCCGCAGCTTGGAAATGCTCCTCGACCCGGAGCTTTCACTGGAAGCTCAGGTGACAGCAGCGGCGAGGAGCGCTTTCCTCCAGCTTCGGCTGATTCATCAGCTGCGCCCCTATCTGGAGAATGACTGCCTTGCGACAGTGACACATGCGTTGGTGACTTCCCGTCTTGACTTCTGTAACGCGCTGTACGTGGGGCTACCCTTGAAGACGGTCCGGATACTTCAATTGGTTCAGAATAGAGCTGCCAGGCTGCTGACGGGGACTGGATGTTATGTTCACATGACTCCAGTTCTCTGTCAGCTTCACTGGCTTCCTATTGAAGTCCGGGCCCAATTCAAGGTGTTGGTGATGACCTATAAAGCCCTAAACGGCTTGGGTCCTGGTTACCTGAAGGAGCGCTTACATCCATATATGCCCAGCCGCCCCTTGAGATCGGCGGGAGAGGCTCTTCTCCGGGAGCCCTCCGTGGAAGAAGTTAGGAGGGTGGTTACTTGGAGGAGAGCTTTCTCAGTGGTGGCGCCTAAGTTATGGAATGCGCTCCCCAGAGAGGTCTGCCTGGCGCCGTCATTATTTGTTTTTCGGCGCCAGGAGAAGACCTTTTTATTTAAGCAGTATTTTAAATGTTAATATTATTGAATTTTATCTGGCCAGGGCGGCTTGTTTTATATTGTATGTTTTATATCGTATATTTGTATTTTATTTTAATGTATATATTTTAAAATGTTACTTTAATTTATTGTTGTAAGCCGCCCCGAGGCTTCAGCGAATGGGGCGGCATAAAAATGTTTTAATAAATAAAATAAATAAATAAAGTTATGCTCAAAATCCTACAAGCTAGGCTCCAGCGGTATGTGGACCGAGAACTACCAGAAGTGCAGGCAGGGTTTTGAAGAGGCAGAGGAACTAGAGAACAAATTGCCAACATACGCTGGATCATGGAGAAAGCTAGGGAGTTCCAGAAAAACATCTATTTCTGCTTCATTGACTATGCTAAAGCCTTTGATTGAGTGGATCACAACAAATTGTGGCAAGTTCTTAAAGAGATGGGAGTACTAGACCGTCTTATTTGTCTCTTGAGAAACCTATATGTGTGTCAAGAAGCAACAGTGAGAACTGGACACAGAACCACTGATTGGTTCAAAATTGAGAAAGGAGTTTGGCAAGGCTGTGTACTGTTGCCCTGCCTATTTAACTTATATGCAGAGCACATCATGAGAAAGGCGGGGCTAGATGAATCACAAGTTGGTATTAAGATTGCCAAGAGAAATATCAACAATTCCAGATATGCAGATGATACCATTCTAATGACAGAACGTGAAGAGGAACTAAAGAGCCTCTTGATGCTGGTGAAAGAAGAGAGTGCAGAAGTTGGCTTGAAACTCAACATTAAGAAAACTAAGATCATGTCATCCGGTTCTATCACTTCCTGACAAACAGATGGGAAAGAAAAGGAAGTAGTGACAGATTTTATTTTCTTGGGCTCCAAGATCACCGCAGATGGTGACTGCAGCCCAGAAATTAAAAGACACTTGCTCCTGGGGAGGAAAGCTATGGCAAATCTAGACAGCATACTAAAAAGCAGAGACATCACCCTGCCAGCAAAAGTGCATAAAGTTATAGTTATATTGGCTATGGTTTTCCCCGTTGCAATGTATGGCTGTGAAAGCTGGACCATAAGGAAAGCTGAGTGCCAAAGGATTGAGGCCTTTGAATTGTGGTGCTGGAGGAGACTCCTGCAAGTCCCTTGGACTGCAAGGCAATCAAACTGGTCAGTCCTAGAGGAGGTCAACCCTGACTGCTCTTTAAAAGGCCAGATACTGAAGATGAAACTCAAATACTTTGGCCACCTAATGAGAAGGAAGGACTCAATGGGGAAGACCCAAATGATAGGAGCAATTGAAGCAAAAGAAGAAGAGGACGGCGGAGAATGAGGTGGCTAGATGGAGTCACTGAAGCAGTTGGTGTGAGCTTAAGTAGAGTCTGGGAGATGGTGAACGACAGGAAGGCCTGGAGGAATGTTGTCTGTGGGGTCACGATGGGTTGGATGTGACTTTGCAACTAGCAACAAAAACAAGCAAGATTCACTGTTTTCTCCTTTGTCTTCCTCGTGCTTTTAAAATGAATATTTGGTAATAGTCAATGGGCAATTTTACATACATCTCAACAACAATAAAATGGTTAGTATGCCAATAAGCAGTGGTAGGACTTAATATTTCTTTTTCAGAGTTAACAGTATACTTTCATCAACTTACCTCTGCCAGTAACATTCAGTTCTATCCAGCCACTGGCATTGCGGCCATTTGCTCCAGTATAAGAACAGTGGTATTTTCCTGAGTCAGAAGCTGTAATATTCCAGAGTACAACTGAAGTATTATTTGTGTTCATGGCACAATCTGTCTTTGCACGATCTTGGTAATCGGAACCATAGATTGGCATATTAGAATTAACACAACAGACTATGAAGTCCATACGGTCTGGTCTGATCCTTTTCCATATCACTTGATTCACTGTTATGTTAGGTTCATACGAAAGTGTAAAGGTGACATTTTCCCCTGGTTTAGTATTTATCATATGAGGCAACGATGTGTGATTATCAAAATCCCCTGCAAAAAAAGAAGAAAAGTGGGGAGAGGGGAGTGAAAGAAGATATTTTAATTAAAAATTGTACATAATAATTATAATTGTTGACATATCAGACTGCCTCCACCCCTGGTAGGTCATGTCTTGGACAATGTAAAAGGTCAGTCATTACATTCCTCTGGAACAACAGGAAGCTAAAGAGCTATCTATAACCACCAAATCAGCTCATCTCAAAGAAATGAAGAAGTTAAATTAAAATTAGAGAAGCTATGAATAGTGTGTTTTCTTCCAAAAGTAATATATTCAGGATTCCCAAACATTTTGGGTCAATGGGATTATTTGAAATGTGTTATGGGTTTTCTCACATAATGGTTGTCATAGGCAGAGGGCTTGCCCAGTCTCAACATAGCTGCCATGGTGCCCCGTCAGTTGTTAAAAACCCATTTCCAGAAAACAAACTGGAGAGACTAAAAGAAAAACAAATTGCTCGAGAAGCCATATACAAGGCAGAAGTGTGACCTGCATTCCAATACACTAAACCACTCTATTGAACCCACAGTTTTCTGCTCCATTGAACAATAGGCAAACCAGTAGTGCTCAGAGAAACAGACACAAAGCACAGGTAAAACATCTCCTCTTGCCCTGTAGAATATTATCTGTGATACTTCAGGTTACCGTTCTTTTTTTTCTGGATGGCAGCACTTGTTTCAGAACACCATGTATATTTTCTGCGGGGCAGAGTAATTCTTGGGAATAAAAGATGGTGCTGGAGACTGGCACTTCGTAGCATGCCTGCCACCCAGATTAAAAACAAATCCCCAGGAACAATCAGAAAGAACAGGGACCCAAGTGAGCACAAAAGGATGGTGCTTGCTATGTGTCCTTATTGGTGCCTATGTTGTAAAGCCCAGGTTTGTGTAAACCAGGACACAAGATTTGAAATACAACTGTAATCACTATACATGTGGATGTTTAGTGTGAATAATCAAATGGACACATGGATCAATGGCTGAATAAAATAATTATACTCTTAAAAAGCATCACTTTTTAGAGAGTTTAGAATTTAACAAATAATAATATCTTGTATGTGTGTTAAATTTTTCTTCTGCCTTTTTGATAAGGCAGCAAACAGCATGAAGTCACAAATGTAATCCAACATAATGTAAGAGTAATAAAATACAAAGTAAAGAAGTCAAGGCAGGAAAAATGTACCAATACATAGAAAATATTTTTCTTGCTGCTTCCAAAGTCGCTAGTCTGCACCCCACAGAAACTGCCTTCAAACAAACTACCATTTTTCCTCTCCCAAAATAGAATGAGGGTGTTGCCTCAATCATTTACCCAGTTCTTCCCACTTCCAGGTGTCATAACCTAGTCCAGCTGAGTGCAGCAGTTCTTTCAAATTGCTGTTCTTTCAAATTGTTGTGTTAAAGAAACAAATAGGATATGCCTCTGTAACAATATTCATCCCCAGCTAGCCCTTGACAATAAGATATTTTTAAAATCCTTTTTAAGGAGGATAGAGTGCCACAGTAGCTTGCCAGCTCTAGCCCCTGTGGTGTTGAACCTGTTGCTCTCATTTTGAGAGATCCTGGACTTTGGCCGCTGGTGAAGAGATGAGCTAACATTAAGCTGGATCTTCCAGCCAATTTATCCCTGTTATCAGGAAATTGGGAGGAATATGTTCCTAAATAATGAACCTCTCCATTCCTTAAAGTAATGCACATACAACATAAGGGAATATAGAAGCTTATATACTTCATAGCTCTGTGGTTAAGAGCAGGTTATCACTGAATAATATCATAAAATAGATTTTGAAGTCCTTAAATTGTGTTAACCTGGAAAGAGTGCTTGATAGTATACACCATGTAGCACATGTTGCCAGACCATGCAGTTTATTTCTAAAGCCAAAAGTCAGACATTCAGAATTTTATGCTTGGATCTATGTAACTGAGATCAGTAGAAATGATTGTTCCTCATCCTGAAATCTGATCACAGAAGTCCTTATCAGACAGCTTACAGGAATGTGCACCCATAAATAGCTAGTCCAACAACCAGTACTATATCGGCCTTCAAATGCAGCTGGCCTTTTATTCTGCAGATAGCAGGACTGTGAAGCAGCTGTAGGAATAAGATTAGGTTCTCCTGTGGAAGCACCTTGTATCCCCCACAGCTTTCCTGCTCTGTTCCATTCATAGATCCTCCTGGAACTGCTTTTGCAGCTAGTAAGGATACACGGAGGGTGACTCTACAGCAAGCCAGGTTTTCTTTACCATGAATTGCTATCCATGTGACAACATGCTCAATTGTTCCTGCTCAAATGGCTAAACAACCCCGGGCAAGCTGTTGCTGGATTATTTACTGTGATATGTGAATCAAAAATTATGGCTTGTCTCCATTGCTGCAAGCCAGAGTTAAAAATCAGCAAGTGGGCAGCATTCACCAGCACCTTGTCACATTCATGACAACCCATAGTTCAATGCAACGCAACACAACACAATGCAAAACAGGCTTGTTGTGATAAAAATGCAACCAATACAACTAGTGAGGGATATTATAAAATGGGGGGGGGGGTTATTCATTGGTGTATTAGAGCTTAGATTTTTTTTTTTCCAGCAGAACATACTGATAAAACTTCAAAATATTCATGTCACTTGTTCATTTTTCAATTGAAAGTATGTATGTCATTTTTATGTCTATCTATTACAAGTTTTACTGTTGCCAGATTTATTGCTTCTTAAGATACAGACTGGCTCTTCAATTTCCCTTCCATCATGTAACAACCTCATTTCTATCATTTTAGGCTGCCTTTGAGTGGAATGTAACAATTACAGTGATTTGAAATGCTGACACATTGCATATAAACTGTAGCTTCATTTTTTTTTTAAATAACAATGCCTACTGGAAAATTAGATGGGCATACTACCTGTGGTACTTCGATTTCCTACATGGTAATTGAGATTTGACCGTCTTTAACACTTCAGGTCTATTTCATGTCACCAAGTTCTATCATTATTCCAACAGAATTATACCTGCCACCAGGTATATATTACTTACAGGGTATGGTGCAGGGCTTTGTAAAGCATGCTGTACTGGCTAGTCAGAGTTGGGAAAATACTTATTTACAATTCCAATTAGGCCATTCATTTGTTCATTCATTCATTCATCTTATATTTTGCTATTAACTAGTCTGAGGAATTTTGAAGCATATTACATTTCACATTAAAATGACATCACATATTAAATCACACAAGAACAACATACAGTAAAATAGACAATATGCAGCTCGTGCAGAGTTGCAAGCAGTTTAAGACACCACAGAAGACTTCGAGGCTAACAGTCTCCTGGGGCCACAGGGCAATGGCAAATTCAGCCTGTTATCTATTATGCAAAGGACTAGAGGTTACCGAGAATTTTGCTTCCTCCACTTCAGCAAAGAATGCCAGGGTCCAGCTAGCTAAGGGACCAATAGCTACAGAGTAGAGAACCATTTTTACCATCCTTCCTGTGAAAACCTGCTGAAGACCTGCCCTGTGGCTGCTGAAGCAGAGTGGAGATCAGTCAGGTGCCAGGCACTGGTCTTTTCTCCATCCAAGCAAGAATTCCACCAAGGCAAATGATCCATCTGTCCTAAACCAAATCTGAATCATAATTCTAAAAATGTAAACTCTTCTCTCTCACCCTCTCTAACGGATGTGCTCATCTACATTTCCTTTCACTTTGTAAAAACTTGATAGATATACCGCATTTGATCCATAGGCATTTCAGAAATAACAGTTATTGGTAGCAGTAATAATTAATGTGCATCTATGGCAGGATCCAAGTATCACAGTGACAATAAATCAGTTTGCACATTATAGTTGCATTCTAATTCTTGCAGAATTCCTTGAAAGAAGCAAGTACTTTTCTATTACTTTGGGGAAATTCTTTACCACCACTACAGCATGTGGGAAAACTGCTCCTTGATTGGCTGATCCTAACTATAGAGTTTCTCCTTTGTACCAAATGCTTACATTTCAGGGACTAATGAATGCCTTTCGTATGCTTCCGAGTTTCACAAGCTGGTGCTTTTCTGCTGAGAATACTTTAAAACCACCTAGCAGTCAGTAAAAGGGGCCTAGGAATTAGATGGGACCCTCAAGACTAATATTAAAAAAGTAATTTATTAAAGGAATATTTTGTACATAAGGGAGTATTAATATTTAATAATACTCACGGGGAGCCCTCCGTGAGAGAAATTAGGAGGGTGGCTACTCGGAGAAGGGCTTTCTCAGCGGTGGCGCCTAAGTTATGGAATGCGCTCCCCAGAGAGGTCCGCCTGGCGCCGTCGTTATTTGTTTTTCGGCGCCAGGCTAAGACCTTTTTATTTAAGCAACATTTTAAATGCTAAATACAATTGAATTTTATCTGGCCAGGGCGGCTTATTTTATAATGTGTGTTTTAATTAAGATTATTTTATATGGATTTTAACTTATTGTTTTATCTATGTTGTAAGCCGCCCCGAGGCTTCGGCGAATGGGGCGGCATAAAAATGTTTTAATAAATAAATAAATAAATAAAATTTAATTTGGGATTCTCAAATTAACTGCTTACTGTTGATATTTAAGGATTCAAAAAACAGCAATACTAATTCAAGCGCCTTAAGGACTTATTTTATCTCAGGCCAAATTCCCTAAACTTTCATGCTAGTTTAATACTCTCTCAGTTAGGTTCCTCTCTTGGGTACAGTCCTCCTTTGGCATCACAAAGCTCCATTTGTTGTATTTCTGGCTGACTGAACCATTTCTCTGGGTTTTAATGCCCACTTGGGTAACCTTCTGGCAATAACCGAGGAATAGCACAGTCACCATCCCCAGTTCCTGCTCCTCACCAGCTTTGTATCATTATTTTACAAAGAATAGCTTCATTTTCAGGTCTTAGCTAGTACGTTCACTTTCTCCTTAGCTTTCACCTTTTACTACCAAACCTTCTCCCTGACACTTTCTCAGCAGACAGACTGACTTCTAGCTTCTAACTCCCTGTCAGAAATTATTTACCAGCTGCTCTTTTCCTCTTAGCTACAATCCCTGGCCAAGCAAAACTGAATTCATTTTATTTATTTTATTATGTATTCACTTAATCTATATGCTGCTACAATAGCTCATATCAGGGCTCTCTGAGCAGCTCACAATATTATTTTGTGAAATGAAATGAATATTCGATATTCATTAGATCTGGGTCCATCTAAAAATATTACAAGTAGTTATTTTTCACTCCCTTTTCAGAATACCAGCAGCTACAACTACTACTAGCTAACTACTAAAGCAGGCCTTCAGCATAGTACACACATAATAGACTTTCAGAGGCCACATAGAGTATTAACAGAACAATGGCAGTTATACAAGACGTATTTCTTCACAATAACTGTTGTACAAATGGGCAGAAGGAAGGTGGACTGAGAAACAGATGGCTAAGTCCCTTCAGGGATATAAAGGTCAGAGTAATGATGGTAATCTAGGTCTTCCAATTAGCAAGGTTTACAGCCTAATCCAAACTCCCTGAGTCAATAATAAAAAAAAGAAAATTTTCTCTTAATGTTAAAGTACAATCCAAAATGCTAAACTCCAAACAATGTTAAAATCTGTACCCTTCTCCATTGGTTTCACTCTTTGTCCTAATTTGGAGAAAAAATTCTTATGATACATCTGACATTTTCTTGTGGTCAAGACTCAAACTTTAGCAATTTTCATTGGAGTGTATTTTGGTAATTACTTGACAGGAATGCAGAATGCTTCATTCTGTGCCTTTGACTTATTTACATAATAGATAAATAAACCACTCAACATATGTATTAAGCTTTTCTGAAATAAGACAATGAAGCTTTCTTCAGAAAGACTCAGCATCTAGAATAGTTTTTCCCAACTTTGTGTTCCAGATGCATTGGACTACAATGGTTATCATCTCAGCCACCACACCCAATTACTATGCTGACTGGGGCAACTTAGACCAAAAATCACCAGATAACAGACTGCCCATTTCATCATCAGTAACTTACATGCAACACCTTCCATAATTGTTACTAGCAGATGGAATGCATAACTAGTGTAATAGCTGGTATAACAACAAACAAACAAACAAACAAATGGTTTAGTAGTGCTATTTTTCTTTTATAGCTACAATATTTTGGACTGACACAGGGAGAGAATTATTACACATCTAGTCATGGATTCTGTTGGATTCAGTCAGATTTTACCATGAACTATCAACATTTTCTGAATCACTGGCTAATAATACTGAAAGAAAAAACTCCCACATGCTAGTCATGAAAATAAAAAAGATGAATATCCTGTGCTTCTCATTATACAAAATGTACTCATTTTTAAATTGGCAGTTTTAAATTTTCATTATTAAAAGGGTATGGAAAACTAATGTACTTCATATTTAATATTTCTGGCTGAATGCAGCAGACAAACAGAAGACCCTCAAAATGTAGAGGTCCTTGATTATTTTACAGACCAGTATAACCACAGTGGTATCTTAAACTGAAACATATGTGACATAAATATATTGAAATACTGATTTTCATTTTCATCTTAAAGTCTCAGGATATAACTAAATGATACACTCCAATATATGTAAGTCCAATTACTATTTTTGTGTGCTCCCTTGTGATGAAGCAATTCAGATTAATTAGAAACCATTTAATGCCAGTCCCCACAAATCACCTCTATTCTGTGACTCTTCTCCAGGCACCTTCCCTCATAAGGAGTTCCCAATGTATGTTTATCCTTGTAAGCATGAATTCAGAATCACAGAGCGAGAGAAGAAAGGAAGAGACTTGCCCAGGAGTGGGGGGGGGGGGTGATATGGAGTATACAACTGATAGGCAGGGAAATATTAAATATTTAACTAAATGGCTCACTTCTAAGTTTGGTTTTTTTTAGTAATTTTTTTCAATCTGTCACACGCATTTGTATTCTTTCTTTCTTTTCTTCTTTAAATAGATATACAACCCAACAGACAGACATCTCAGAATGATTTAAAATCATGAAAAGACCTCAAACAACAATGGCATTACAAGAAAAAATACAACTATGAAAATCTCAAAATATTATAATATCCAAACATTTAAAATGCTAACACTATGAAATGGATATCTTAATAAGTAGGGCACCATCTTAGAAATTAAAAGTCTCTAGGAAGAGGAAAGTCTTGGCCTGGTGTCTGAACTTTCACAGCAAAGATGACTGATTTCCTTGGGACCTGCACTGAACAGAGATCAGGGGATACCACCATTGCATGGTGGAAGCCAGAAAGAACATTTTAAGATGGTGTTAGCCATCACAGAAGAACAAATAGGGGAGTGCATTATTTTATGTAGACTGGTTTGACTGTCAGCAACAACCATTTGAATTGCACCTAGAAACCAACTTGCAGTTAGTGCAGCTTACTGTTTGTTCAAAAAAGCCAGGCCCAATAATTAGGCTTGTTCCCTTTATTCTGCTATACTTGACATTTCTGGAGCATTTTCAGAGGTAGTCCCATATCTAATGCACTGTAGTAGGAACTGCAGGAATTGAGTAGTGTGTCAGAAATTGCAGACAGGCTGTCCGTGTCCATACAGAAACACTCTGGTATATCAATGAAAGCTGATAAAAAGCAGTTCACACCTCTGAAAACTTTGAGCCTCAAGTGGTGGAGTTTGGTCAATAAGAACTCCCCAGACTGTGACCATTCTCTTCCTTGAGGGGAGAGTGCAAACATATTTCAAGAAAGTTTAAGGTCAATTTACACAATAAGGAAACCACCTTCTGTTAGAATCTCTATCTCACTTAGATTCAGTTTCATTTTATTGGCCCTCATTCATCTCTTTACTGGACCTAAATATTGGTTGAAGATAGCTCCTGCTTCATCCATATTTGAGGAAAAGGAGAAAGAATATTTATTTCCTGCCCCTGCCCTTTCTTCCTCCTCCTTTCAATCTTCTCCTCACAACAACCCTGTGAGACAGGTTGGGCTGAGAATCTGTGACTGGCTCAAAGTCATCCCCTTAGCTCCATGGCCCAGTGGGAACTAGAACTCAGAACTCAAATCTCCTGAGTTCCAGGACTGCACTCTTAACCAATATGCTGCATGTTACTAATATGTAATATGTAGCTGGGCCTTCAGTGTAGGTGGTAATGTAATTGCAAGTGAACAGTCCAATGGAAATGCAGCATTGCACTAGAAACAAGTTGCTTTATGGCATTGTAGAGAGGGAAGTTTCCCTAGGTTGAAGGTCATCTAGGCCAAATACCCTGTTCAGTGGAGGAAATAATAAGATATGTCTTTTAGTGAGGAGTTCAAACTGATTGTCAGGGAAAGAATTCCCTTTTCCTTCACACCTTCTCTGCTTCTAAATGCCTTCAATGGACAGTTTCTAAGAAAGATCCATCAGTGGCTGCTGAATAATGGGTGGTTTGTCTCTGGGCCATTCTCATGTCAGTATCTGGGGGCATGGGGACATTTTATTTAAGCTGTATTCCTTACGATACCTGCTTTTGTTTTAACCATAAAAGTTAATCACTGTATTCAAAACCTCTCTCCCCATTTCTCTATCCAGCAGGTCAAGGCAAAAGGCTTTGTAAACATAGTCCTTTATTGAGCTAGCCTAGTTTTGCAATATTAAGTGCATGATGATAAAGTCATTAACTGGTAGCACCTATCTTTTTGATTGGTGGAGTTAACTCTTACTCTTGTCAGGAACTGATTCCAAACTGAATGCCCTGCTCCCTTAATCTCCAAAAGGGATTGGTTCCACCATCAGGAATGTCCATGCTATTTGTGGGCCAGATGGTGGAAAAACTGGGAATTACTTAAATGGTCTGCTTGCTTGGCTTGCCAATGAACCATTGGGCTAAAGACCTCACCTTCCTTGTGCCACAGTATTATCTCCCCACAAGATCCAAACCAGAGGCAGTCTTGTTCTCATGAGCTGCTTAGTTAATCTCACTCATTAACCTTTTCAGTAACACATTCCAATCCTTCCTATGCTTTGTCTAGTTTCCTCAGAGTCTGAGCTTTGGAATGCTATATTTGAGAGAAACAGGCCCAGTCCTACAATCACTCCTATTGTGAGACATTTACAGTTTGCACTTACGAGTAATGTTTAAAAGCTGGTAATAAAAACCATTCAATTTACCTGACTGAACAACTTCTATTCTCTTTTCCCAGAGTCCATGTGGAAAGGTCTGAAAAGAACATAGATAAAAGCCAGTATCTTCCTCGGTAGCATTGCTAAAAACCAGTGACTTGTTGCTTAGGGTTGTATTACTAACATGGACTTTGAATTTATATCTGCTTTCAACATGCAATTGATAAGGGATTTTGAAGACTGCAATTTTCTCTTTGTCATTGTCCTTTTCCTTAATCCAAGACATCTGGGATATAATCGCAGTCTTTGGATAGGCGCATTCAAGAGTCATAGCATTGACGAGTTTTATAGTTGAGTCCACGTATTTTCTTTTCACTGAGACAGAAACACAACCTAAAAAGAGACCCAAATAACATTAACTTCATTAAACACCAAACCACGATCACAAAACTCTCACTTGCACATCTCCTGATCAAGCAGTGCTTCCAGTGATTCCCCCCCCCCCCCCCCCCCCGTTACAGTGTAAAGATAAACCTAGCAAAACAAGCCTAGACATGATATAATTACTTGTAAGAAAGGGTTATTTAGCATAAGTTCAGCTGCAGTCTTATACACACTTATGCACAGCAGTGAACCCCTAATTGTATTTACTTTCAAGAAAATGTACACAGTATTGCATATAGAAACAAAATCTATACTTGTACCTTTACCCTGAATTAATTTCTTAGAAATGCATCCAACTGACTTCAATGGAACTTACTACCAGTTATGAGTGCAAGGATCAGCATGTAAAAAGATTAAAGTAAAAGATTATCCTAATATATCCGGTAAGAAATTTATCTTACTTTTATATGATTGTAGAACAGCAATAAAGAAGAAAGCTAGGTAATCCATCTCCAACAGTACTAAAAAGACATATGATAAAACTTCATGCAAGTTTCAGCTATTTCCTGACCATATGATGTCACTGATGATATTTTTATCCTCCTGACATGAGTAAGCAACAGAAAACATGTTGTTTCTCTTCTGGGAACTGCAGGCATATATTTCTGAAGTAGTTACACTACACGAAGAACTAATTCAACAGTGTTCTAGCTATAAAAACAGAGTCTGTGTATGTGCAATGTCTTGCAATTCTTGTGCAGTCCTAAGGTGCTTTTTTTTTTTTTTTGCAATGCAGCACTTTGCATGTCTATTCAGAAGTAAGTTCCACTGAGTTCAGTTGGAATTACTGCCAGTGAAGCGGGTACAACACTGCATCCCTAGGTTACTTTCCTACTTACCCCAGTTGTTCAGGTCCTTTTCAATGCTATCCAGCACAACTCCGTATTCTTCATCCCATACTGAAGCTAAGCCAGTGTGTAATTTATTCCTCCTTGTCTTTGATTCCATGTCCCCACATCCTACTTTTGGCTCCCCTGCATCACATTTTAGATGTTAAGCTTCTCAGAGCACAGACCTGTCTTTCATTGCTACTCTGCAAAGCAGCACACTGTTCATACTGAGACACATGTAGCCTTACCTCCATTTTATCTCATGTCAACTGACTTGGCTGAGAGTCAGAGAGCTTCAAGGCAGAGCAGATTGAATCAAAATCCATCCCCAAAATTATAAATGAACATTTTCTCCTCAGGCAAGCAGACTTTCCTGCTATGGAAATCCGCTTTCCTTCCTCTTCCCTTGTATACTATTCCAGTGTTGTGCTAAGCGGGATGGCTTGCCACTCTAGCAGAGTAAAAAATAAATACCCTGATCCATTGAGTTGAATCAATAAAGCTCCAAAATATCATCTCAAGTGAGCAAGCAAGGCTGTCAGTGCACTGGAGACAAACATCTTCACAATGTAGCTTCAAAAGGAAAGGATGTCTTTTATAGAGCACTACTCTAATGAGGAAAAAAGGCTGTTTCAGGACTTTGAACCTGAAATTTAGCTTGATTCTGGAAAAAGCAAAAATAAAGGCAGCAACCAAACACAAATCTATACAAAAAGAACCTTGAATATCCCCTTCACCCAAATATGCAGAGACTATATAGCTAAAAACACAGCTTGCTTAGATTATTCAATCCCAGTTTATCTACAGACAAAACACATGGAAGGGCTTTCTTCTCTTCCCAGATCTCTCCATATTAAGTTCTTTCCTGCTGTATGATCATTCACCACATTTCTGTATGTACTCTCATAGGTAGGTATACTATATTTAGAATTCTAAGTATGTTTGCAATATAAGATAATACACATTTAACAAGATGCAATGGGTATTCTCTTGCCAGAGACCATTCTAGCCACTAAATTGTATGAGCCACTGTTCAGACACGGGGTCATTGTTGAAGCTGTGCTAATGGCCCTTTTTAAAAATCCTGACTTTTACTTACAAATTTTTACCAAATAAAGTGAGGGTGCTGTTCAAATCCGAAGAGTGGGTGGAGACCATAAACCTACTTTCTGCAGGGTATAGGACCTTTCTAAAACACATCTTGAGATTTAATTTGTTTGCAACTGTTAACAATTAATCAACTAATACCATTAATTAACATGGTAACTCTTGTAAACAAGTTACCATGAGGTTAAAGAGAAAATACAGTTGTGGTGGTTGCAGATGATTTTCAAATTCTTGTTAAATTCTTGATTTTCACATTCTTGTTTAAGCTTGTTAAATTTTAGTGACTCCTTCAGCCTACATTCACTTCTTGGAAATGAGACTAGTAAGGAAGAGCTATTTAAAAATTAGAATTTCCATGCTAAACCATGATAGCCACTCTGAGGGAGGCTTGAGGGGCAGGAATAAGGGGGAGGGCTTTCTCCATCGTGATCCCCCCACTATTGAATGACCTCCTTACTGAGGCCAACCTTGCCATCTTTTCCTCACCCGATTAGGATGATCATTTATGCCAAGGCTTTTAAATATGTATGTGGATATTGAAGGCTTGAGGGGATCATACATTCCATACATTCCATGTGTTTTGCAGGTTTGCTCTTCGTTATATTAGTTTTAGACGTGTTTCTCCTTTTTGTATTTTGTACTGGTTTTATGAACTGTTGTAAAGTACCCAGAAAGCTTCAGTTACTGGAAAGCATTGAATATATATATTCTATTCTATATATATTCTATTCTCCCACACACACACACACACACACACACACACACACACATATAAAATATGGATGGTTCATGTTCTCCTTGGGGGAAGAATATATTCTTCCCCTTAAGGAGGACATGAACCACTTCACCATCTTAATTCAGTATATATAACATCAGTATATAAAACATCGCATTTGTCTCTGTGTCAGCCTCCTTCTAAATGTGACCATGGCACAATGCACAGGGTACATGAAAGAACAACACACTTTCTTACATCAGATGTGAAGGCTGCAAAGCACTTTGCCAACATAAATTAAGCCTTGCAACATACCACAATGAGAGGCACATAGTTATTTTGATTTAAAGAGATGAATAAACTCAGTACAGAATGAGCCAGAAGCAGAAGCAGCATGAAGACTTGGCTGTAACTTATAAAACATTAGAAAGTGTACAACATTTCACCGGCTTACTCTATCATTTGTATTTTATAGTCCTTAAATCAGATGGCTACCCTTGCATTTCATTTCTTTTTGAAAGTTCTGATTAAACTTGGCAATGAGACCTCATTCAAGGATGCAGCTACCCAAAGAAGGGGAAACCCTATTTGCTGTTTGAGAACTAGTTCTTACATTTACAGCCCCATAGAAGAGGCTGCGGTAGAATATCAGGTTGATAAAAGAAATGTCATTGCAGTAAACAAAGGGCTCAACAAAACTATGTTATTTTGTTTATTTCTCATTGCTACAATATTAAATGAGAAGACTTCTTACTAATGTTTTGTTCAAAAAATAATCTGTTGCCATCCAGTGACAGCACTGAAATGTCTATTTTTTTGTAAATCATTTTAATCAGTTCCATTCTCAAAACAACGTCTGACATGTATGTGTTGACAGTGGTTCCTCAATACCTCCAGACATATCATTACATGCAAAGGATATTTTTCCTTGAAACCTCAAAGAAAGATGCCCATTCTCCCATAGACTTCATAGGTTGCATGGGGAGGCTTGGGGTAAATAGTATTGCAGTATACACTTCTAATATCTCTTCATTGGCTGTAAGCAGATGTCTATTTTGACATCCACATTTCCCTTGAAAGACTGAAAGAGTTGTTAGGGTATGGAAGAAAGTGACAAGAATGATAAATGTTTAAGCTGAACATGATCAAGCAGAATAATCCCAACCCTTAATACTGATGCACCACAGATCCTTACGCTATAACTGAGTTGATATGTTTACAACTCTTGGGTTATACTTACTCAGTAACTGGTCCATGCAAAGGTACAGGTCGTCATAGGTTCTCAAGATTGTTGGGTTGGTGCACACATTTGGAATTTGAGAGTCACAGATGCTCTCACAAAATGGCCACCAGGAGGCAGGGACACTTGTACATTCATACATTTAAATGTGCCTTTAATACATTTTTTTCCTGGAAGAAACCCTTCAGTAGCAAATACATTATCTCCAGATCTGTGGAACCCACCAGCAGGACTTATTTCTATAGTGTATGGAAAATTTGCCAGCATGTAGAATCTAGCTTTCCTCACCCACGTATCAATGACATATTAATGACAACCATAGGAATAGCATCAGCCTGTGACATGTAGCAGACTTGGTCTTTTTTAGCTAATGACAGGGATAGTAATCTGAAGCTGGGCACTTTGAATTAGTTGGTCAGATGTCGCATTTGGGGGTTTAGACTGAGAGCAGTTCTTCCCTTTGTGAGGATGGTGGTCCTCTTAAGGTAGTCTGTCCCTAGGTACTAATACTGTATATCAGGATGGTTTCCAACCTTGGGGTCATTGAAAAAAGAAAACTTGAATATAAATGCAATATAATACTGGTGTGAACAGCTGTGTGTGTATTTGACTGATATGACTTGCACTCACGTTGAAACCCTGGTTGACCTGTGGAAAGCAGAAATGAACAAAGCAGCTGGCACAATTACATTTGGAGCATACTGTCTGCATTACAGCTTGTACAGCTCCATGGTCTTCCCCACTTGAGTTTAGATGGAACCTGCCAGTGGATTTAATAGAGTACCAGTGACTTCGTATATTTAGGTACATTGAAAGTGTCCAGAAAGGAGTGTTGCTGGGCTACCTGCAGAAGTTGACACAAGGAACTCTGTCCCTCAGAGGCCACCTGGATGTCAGGTGACAGAGATGGGTCCAGAGAAACCCCTAAGCTATAACCCAGCTTCTTTAGGGGGATTGCAACCCCATCCAGATCAGGAATCTCAGAAGGACCAGCCACTAACAAAATTATTGTCTTGTCCTGGTGGAGCTTCAGTTAATAAGCCCTCATTTAGTTGATTGTTGCAGTAATCTGATTCAGCATATCCACAGATTTACCTGATAAAAAGCTGACCTGAATGTTTGCCCCACTTCTTTCTCCTGCTCTAGCAGACTCAGATGACGCTTTAGAAGCACAGTGCACTATCCTTTTATTTGAGCTTTGGAACATAAATCAAAGTAGCATTCTCTTTCAGATGTGAGAGAAGTATCTGCCATATGAAAAGTTTATCCACACTGAAACTTTCCCTCCTCTCCACCCTTTTGAAAAAGATTCTGACTCCACCCTCAGGGTGGTTCCTGCTCCTTGAAGGCTGGGGCAGAGGAAATGCTGGAGACTTAACTGGTCCATTCACTTTGCCTGTAATCTCTTCACAGGTCAAGGAATGCTCCCTCAATATCCTCCCCCAACCCTGATTGTGAAATGTCTCCCTCCTTTTCTGGGATAGGCTTGTTCCCACACTGACAATCTTCACTAGGTAACCTTATAGCCATCTGCCCAAATCTGAGCAGATGATAATGGGTTAGAGCTGGGCCCCCTTTCAACATCTCTCCTGCTGGAACAGTATGATCACACTCTGAAGACTTCCTCTGAGGGCATTTCAGACAGTGGCATCAAGAAAGAGGGCCTCGGTGGTGGTGCCAGATTATGGAATGCTCCTACTAAGGTCTTTCTAGTACCCAATTGTCAAAGGCATGTAAAAACTTCTGGAAAGCAGATGCATATTTTAAACACATCAATAAATATTAAGGAGTGTTCCAATGCAACATTTATCCATATAACGATCATCTCTTTAAAAGGAACAACTTCACAGTATTTTCAAAATATGTTTTTAAGAAGCTTGAGTGATGGACAGGAATTCAGGAGATCCAGATTCTAATCCCCACTTGGCGATGAAGCTCAATGGGTGACTCTGATCAAGTCACTGAATCTCAGCCTAACCTACCTTACAGGGTTTTTGTGAGGATAACATGGAGAAGCAATCGTAACCTACCCTGGCTTCCTTGCAAAAGAAAAAAAAAAGATATAAAATGGCATTAGATTACATTGCCTATGATTGAGTTAACCCTTATTAAAGAGACACTGTGGAATCCAACAGAAATGAAACATTTTTTCACCATGGAAGAAATACAGCCTGAGATCCACACCTGCATCAGATAGATGCCAAAATACAGTGTACTGCTTAGGCAAAATAGGACGATCCAGTTCCCTATTTAATTCCAGCTTAAGCCCTTGTAGAGTATATTTATTTACTATTGAATATTTATAGACAAGGACTGTAGGTCAATTTGACTGATCATTCTCAATAAATGCTTCCAATAGTGAGGAAGATGCCAAAGCCATAAAAGTAACAGGACTAAATCAGATACTAACAAATCATTCAGTCATTGTTGGCAAATCATGTTGAGCCCACATAACTTCACATTTTTGAATTGTTTTGTGAATGACTAAAAAAACTTTGGTTTATTGAACAGGTAATAACCACAGAACAGGTAGTTTGCATTTGCAACACTCTACAAAAAGGGATGATGTAAGGAAGTGAGAGAACTGAAACCCATGAGCAGGTAGAAGAATAACTTGTCATTTATTTGGAATGCAACTTCTAATATAATTGTAATATACTATAGCAATAAAAATATTACTATAGTTACATGAAAAATATGAAAAGCAAGCAGTTGATGCTTTTGTCTGAAAATTTGGATGGAAAACACCTGAGACATGACTACTTATTGGAGAATCAAGAGAAGAGTAACCAACTATCTTGCTACACTGTTGCGTTGGTCACCAACAATTCAAAATCTAAGCTCAAAGAAACTAGAAAGGCACACAATAATTCGAAAAAGATGTTTAGTCTAACTTTATTTTTGCCATCTTAAGCTATTTGGATCAGCTGCATTTTTAAAAATCCATTAAAATAATGCTTTTTAGACAAAAGAATATTCATGTGTTTATGCCAGTGTATATCCTTTTCTTGGACATGTCCATGTTGTGGTCGTTGTGAAAAATTCATGATATGAGTAATAAGACAATCATTCTCTGGGTAAGATCTTTATTTATAAAGTTCAAATGTTGTAAAAAGTATATTAACATAATTACAATTTACATTATTACATTTTCAATCTACTATTTATAGCACCAGGATATTGTAACTGTGTTTCCAGAAAAATGAACAACTGTATTGAAATTTGTTGGTATAAGATCTTCAAATAGTCATCTAAAGAATCAGCATGGTAGTTTTCCTCTGCACAATGAGTTTAAAATTCAATTTGGGTTCTAGTACCTTTCAAAAAAACCAGTCCTGTGACATGCAGATTGCATTCCTTAAGTGCCAAGAAGTTGCACTAGGCTTTCTAGACATTTTAAATGATAGGCATCTTGCTTGCTTTCTTCTTGCTGCTGAAGAGCTAAAAAGGGAGAAAACATTTTTAATATAAAGAAAGTAATAACTCTAATAAAAAATGCTACTGCTTCTACCATTTCATAGTGTTGTCTTTAGCATCAGGATTAATGTTTCATTAAGTATTTGGTTTCATACTAGAATAAGTTTTATAGGAGCACTGGAAGCTGCCTTTTATTGAGTTAAACCATTGGTTTATCTAGTCTCGTATTATCTCTCTCTGGAGTTTCCGACACCATCATTTTTGGCTTTACCTAATTCGTTAGAGAGTGAACTTAGACTACTCCACTAAGCTACAGCTCTTCCCCAATTCCACAACAGCTTTGGGTAATTTATATAAATAATGCTAGAGTAGGTGAAGAACATAATGGTACTTTGATGAAATGCTACCCCAGATGCTATTTTCTCCCACCAATTATTTCCAGATGTGTACTTTATGTTGCATAAAGGATACTACTTTCTTGTGTTTCTACACTAAGCCTTTTTTGCTAGATAAACATTGAAAACACCAAATAAGTGCAATCCACAAAGTGGTGGTTCTATTTTGGAACAAGACAGAAAACAGGATGTACATGGAAAAGATAAACTAATCTCTCTGGAGTACGTTAGAAAACAATAAGGGTTGATTGATATCTGTACATAGGAAAGTTCCTTTATTTTCTATATTATTAGTGTATTTTCAGCTCTAACTTCATTCAGCATGGTTTCTGCACCAGTTTGAGAATTTGTTAATACTCAGTTCATATACATTTCTGTATACATGTTTCTCTAATATACACATTTTTGCAGGCAATTTTCCATGCTTTATGCCATTGTGTACAGTGTCCCCTAATGTACACATTTGTGTATGTTTATTTTAAAATAAGATGCATCACAAAATTCGGAGACATTCGAAGATGAAAAGTGAAATCCAATTTGCATATTAGTTAAAGTTAGTGAAAATTAGGTTAGTTCATACTAAAAAGCAAATCAAATGAAATTCTCTGCATTCCTAGTATATATCCAGTTATAAAAAGCCACAATGTGGCTCATTGAGCATTTTGTTATTTGTTCAGCATACAAAAATATTGCAAATTTCTTATTTAATTGTGTTCTGATTAGTACATTGAACAAGTGACAAAACGTATAGCCTCATGAAAGATAAGATCTTTTAAATCCTAGTGATCTGTCAACAGAATCAGCAAAATGAATTAAGTAACCCACATGCAAATGGCAAGGAGAGACTGCATGTAGGTTAATTTATGCACAATTGCCAGGGACCAATAGCTGAACTGTCAACTGAAAAACACTAAAAGGATGGGAGGCAAATGGCAAAAGTACCAAGGCACCAAAATCAGGGAAAGCTAGTATCTCCCACTTCTGCACTAGCTGAAGACTTGGGGAAGTGCTGAGATGGTAGAGGACACTGAAAAATGTCAGTTCAACGCAGAATCAAGAGATGTATATTGCTAAATAGGAAATCCCTCCACCCCTGTGCTTTTGGTTCACCTTCTCTTGCTATTTCCCTTCTTGTGCTTTTTAATTGACAACTCAATTGCAACTGTGCACACATGAACCTATATGCAGATTCCTCTTGTCAATTTCCATGTATGTTACCTATGAAAGGTATAAAGCAAGGCATATATGAAATTGCTCTTCCATGTTCAGACAACATACCACTTCACCATAGGGCTGGATAGAACAACCTTGAGAAGAAGCAATAGGTTTTGGGATGGCTTGCTGGCAAAAAATAAGCCACCCTGCAGACAGTGGTCTAGATTCAGATGACAGGACAAACCATTGTAGCTAGTTATCTGTGATGGGGTGTTATGCCGACTGAACCCATTCGCTGTCTTTTTCAGTAGGATGCATATGTACACGGTTGATACACAACAGAAAGATACATTTTGCCTATGTGACTAACACATCATAATGCCCAAGTGTATGGACAGGAAACACTGTGGATCTTCCTTCCGTGTAAAATAGTACAACTATGATATGCATGGAAAAATGTTTAATAAGGTTAATATTGATTGGCTTAAAAGCCAAAAGAAATCACGTAATACCCAATTTTTCATAACCCTAAGATATTTCCTTTAAAAGATTGTGACACATAAACTTTTCTTTCTAAACATACATCAGACTGTGCTCTTAAAAATACAAGGAGTGCCATACTGGCTCAGACCAAGCATTCTGTTTGGATAGGGGCCAACTAGTTCCCTGTGGGAAAACCAGAAGTTGCACAGGAGTGCAGCAGCACCATTCCAGCCATTCCAGAAACTGGCATTCACAGCTGTATTATCTTTGATACTAGAGACAGCATACATGCACAGATAGCCACCAAGTCGGGTAGCCATAAAGCCTTATCTTCCATGAGAAGATACTTGTTTGCTTCTTCCTTGTGCAATACTGAATATTAATAATCTCTTCACAAAATAATTGTAGAATCAGCTGCTTTCCTCTGAGATGGGAACAAAACTTTCTCCATGAAAACATACCTTTCTTTACTGAAATAAAGGCTTCATCTACTCTTCTTTTTATTGATGGATTCTTCAAAGTCACTTTTGCCTGTAGCACAAAAGAAAAAAAATCGAATGACTTTATTAATTCCCCCACGTTGATACTCAAGATCATTTCTCCTTGCACTCTTCTTCTGGCAGCGGGCCACAAGGCTCTGACATGCAGATTCTTAAGAATACTGCGTGTGAGCATACCATTGTGAATAGTGCTGTGGGGTGGAAGCAGGGGAGAGCAAAGGCAAAAGAGTTCAACAAAAGATAGCAATAAAAGAAAGCACAATTTCCCAGAACATGCCTGTTTGCAAAGCTCAGCACAACAAGAAGCTCTCAGCTGAATATTAAGCTCTTTATGAATGACATACATGCCAGCTACTTGTGGAATATAATGACAGCAGAACAAGCATATACGGTTTGTCGGAGGGCGATATTTTAAAGCCGTACATCTCAGAACCTACACAACAATTTATGCTGTTGCTATTTGCCAGTATTAATTTAATTTATGCATATCACCCATGCAGAAGCTGGGAGCAAATGAAAAATATATGTTTTAAGCATTCCATGCTAGTTTCCGTCTTATTACTAGGAGTTTCATTAATTAACTGGGTTAAGAACGGATTTTGCCATATTCCAGAACATATAACAAAACCCAAATCAGGGTTTTAAAAACAGGTCACAGTTTCGTTATTAATGGGTCTATCCACTACCTGGACTTCCTCCCGCTTAAGCTGAAGTAAGGTGGTAAAGCTTCTAACAACAACTGATCAAGCTTTGTGATGTTATAAATTGCTCACAAAGATTCCAGTTGCTCAAGGAGCAAAGTTGACTGTGGCAGAGCTTTCATATTGGCTAGGATTATAGTATCAAGAACATACGACTCTAAAACAACCTTCTCTAACCTGGTGCAGATATATGACAACAATTCCCATCCCTTGGCTATTGCCCATGTTGGCTGTGGTTGATGGGAACTCTAGTTCAACACATCTAGAGGACACCAGATTGGAAGAGGCTATTCTAGAAAGTGGGAAGAGTAAGGACTGGAAAGCAGGAAATCTCAGGAGGTGGGGAATCTCAGGGGAAAGTACTTCATTATTATGGTGCCTGAAGGAAAGGAGAATAGGTAGCAGCAGTACAGGATGTTCAGAGAAGGACAGATAGAAGAGAAAAAAGCCAAAAGAGTGTAATTCATGGCAGGTAAGCATAATAAGAATTGCAAGGTTTATATCTAGAAAGGGTTTCAGTGTCTTTATGGATCAGAGTAAAAGAAAAACAAAAGGATCCCCAAATAATTCTATTCCATGAGGAAGCAGCTTTGGGTGTTGAATCCTGTAGCTGAATGAACTAAGATTAACCAATTTTGCTTGAAGCTTCCATTTTTTAATTAATTTATGCACTGTTGAACTTTCCAGTTGTACTGCCCATGCTAATAGAAGGGTATGATATGTAACACAATACATAAATAAAAATTACAGTGCTTATGTGTAAATGTGTTAACAAGGGGACTAAATGTAAAAAAATAAATGCTAACCTTCTGATAATTGTGCAGCAAAGCCCAAAGTGCAGATGCTCCTATTCTTTGAGCTGCAGGGCTATCACTTTCCAGACAGTCAGATAGCAATGAAATAGCTTTATCTATGAGGAAGACAAAAGACCACACATGTACCAAAGAATAGACCATTATATCACAACTGCAGCTTTGCCAAAGCATTTCTGTAGGTCATTTGTGCTTCTGTGATAAATATAACAATACAATAGGTTTATACAAATTGGAAGAATTTAATTTCAACTAACACCTATGCCTTCTTCCATTAAAAAGCACTCTTTGTAAAAACAAATCTAGACATAAATAATAAATAAAGCAAAACATTTCCGATATCTTAAGTTATAGATCACATATTCCGTTCTGACTGTTGTGTATTAGCATAGAGACACAAAAGTTTTGGAATACAGAAAAGTACAACACTGCATTGTTGCTGTGTATAGTGCATACTTTACTAAAGCAGAAAGAGGATATGAGTATTAAGACTGCGATAAACTTTATAATCTACATAGAAGGTATATTTTGGAGACACAGCTGGAAAAGATAATGTGAGGTGCAAAGTAATACATGTTATCCTACCCTTTACAAAGTACGGACTCTCCCTTCATGCAAATATTGTGTAAATGCCAATCTAAATAGGACAGAGGTTCAATTAATAGGTGATTCATTTAACCATGGCAGTGGTTTTCAACCTATTTGGACTTACATTCCTTCTAAAGAAAGAGATGGTAATTGACCCAGCATTGTAAGACCTGTGGCATATTGCATCTTTCCTAGCCAAGGCTGGTACATCAGCAGCAATTCCTCCTAGCCACTATTATCCATATGCTGGCAACACTTATCTTGGTTTATTGCCATCTTTTGGAGGTCATGGGCACATTTGGCAACTTGGAAAATTATCCTAAGAACCACCAAATTGGCTGCCATTGGAGGCTTGTCAAAAGGCAAGCAACCAGCTGGAAAGTATGAGTACAAGGCAGAAATAGGGCCTGACCTCAACATAATGAAAAATGCCCCTAAACCCACAGTTTTCATTTTGTAGAAATCTTCTTCAGCATTTGTTGTTGGAGCATAGACTTGAATGATGGTTATGTGGCTAGGGTTTCCAAGAATTCTAATATGATCTGGTTGTATTTTGCATTATAACCCCTTACTGCTTACTAAATTGTCCCTTGATATTAGAGCAACTCTGCTTCTTCTGAATTTGTCATTTCCAGAATAAATCACTTTGTGTTTGTTTGACTAAAAATGTCCCATTCCAGGCCCCTTTGTTCCCTCACAGCAAGTAAAAGCAGTCCCCAAGTTATGAACATCCAAGTTATGAAAAAGCCATACTTATGATCAAACTGCCATAATGGTTACTAATTTTTAAAATTAGTGCAGGAAATCGTCATCACCATAGGGAGAGAGGAAGCAGAATGGTAGAAAGGGAAAGCAAAGCATGCCTTCCTTTCCCACCCATCCAGAGAAGGAAATCTCGCTGCCATTTTCTTGCTGCAAAGAGGCGGCTCTGGTGAGTTGGGGGGAGGGGCAGGGTAGAGATAGTCACACTTTTCCCACTTTCATAGGGGTCCTGTGACCCTAACCTCTACAAATGTGGAAAGCTGACCAAATATGATCAAACCTACCTACAAGATCGACTAAAGATGAACTTCTGTTTTTTCAGAAACGGAACTTGTTTATAACTTAATGATTCCCAGTAATGCTATATTTAACCTTGTTTTACAGTTCCCCATTTGCTGTAATTCATCCTTCCCACGTTCCAATTGTATGTGTTATGCAGCATTAGGCATTTCTTTTGTCTTTGTCCAGGCTTCCTTTTGGCTTTGATTCAGTGGTGCCATTAATTACAGTGCCATTCACACTTTTCAGTTGCTCTTTCCCAGTAGTTGGTTGAGTGCCTGGTGACCTGGGAGTCTCATATGCTGCAGTTATCTAGTTTTATCAAAGGACTAAGAAAACGTTTCTTCAAAGTTAAGAAAAATTCAGAATTGGTTTACCATTGCCACCTTCTGAGCATCCAGAGCCAGTGCTCTTTTTGGTGGAAGATCTTTCACCTGTGTCACATTCAACTATCACTGTTGCCTAGTAGCTGCCCTTAAGGAGTTTTGTTGCCCCCAGTCCCCATTACAGATAACCATTTTCTTATGTTGATGTGACTGTTACTCCTGAAGAGGCTGGATGCATCTTAGTCTGGTGTTTCACCTTTGACCATTTCTCCTTGGAGTGACCTGCTAGGAGACCAGACTAGTAGGACAGTCTATCTTCTTGATGGCATTGCTCTTGGTTTCCCTGACACTCTTAAACTCCCTCATCATGTTAAAGTGTGCGTCCAAGAGTGGGGATTGGCTAAAAAGGAACATTTTGCTTGTTCTTGAAACAGCTTCTGTGATTACCATCAGGCATAATTCAAAATTCTGGTCACTACTTTCTAAGCTAGCTTGGGAGTTTGCTAACTGAAGAAACAATCCTCTGTCACCTGAAAATGCCCCAAACCTCCATTCCTAATCAGAGCTCTGCCACTAGGTTATTTTGCCATATAAGATAGCCCTATTTGCCTCTGCCATTTTCAGGTGATGAGCCCCATATATGGGATGCCATCTGCAGAGGACCTTATGTGTTGCCAACCTTAACAAATTTCTTGTGCTAAACATTTTTTTTACCTAAACAAGGTTAAGGTATTTGAGCATGTTTTATACTGAACTGAACTGTGGTTTTATGTTTTTTACTGGTGTTTACTGAATTTACTAATGTCACAGATCTTGCCTTAATAGCTTTTTATTGATGTTTTATTTTAAGATGTATTTAGTTCAGAAATGTAGCAGCATTTATATACATTATTAGAAACACTGTCAAAACCTGCAAGCTATTCACTTCAGTGTAGAAACACCCTAGAAAGTTTCCTGAGCAAGCTTACAGAATTTCAAAAAGTATTACCATATGTGTCAAAATTAATTTTAACATATACATTTCTGAATACATAATTGGGTTTCCTCATGTCGCAAAATCTTATATACCAACAGTCTGTCAACAATCTGCATCGCTATAAAGCAGCACTACTGCATAATGGTACTATCTAAACAAGATGAGCAGTACCTACCATTAGCTAGTATCTTTGGTTTGTTGGCTGGGTTAAAGCAGATATTGTGCACAATTAGGAGAATTATGTTTGGATTACTTCGATGTTTGAACTTGGCCATCTCTATCAGTTGATCTAAGCTACCATTCAGTTTCACAATCATTTGCTGTCCATCTTCTCCAAATGATAAATTCAGCAGGAGCTTTAGCCAAGCAACAGCCAGTGAACCAAGGCTTTTATTTCCTCCTTTGGGCAATGAAACTGATAAAAAATTCTGCAGGAAGTTATTCTGGAGAATGACAGGGGCAAAATAAACATTAATAAGTGACATTTTCCACAGCTCACCTAAGGAAAAGAAGCTTCCTCCAAAAGTATCATTTTCTTTTCCCTCTAGAAACACTGAACAAGACATCAATCTAGCAACTATGTTCTAAAGTTTTGACAAATTTGCTGAACAATGCTTCAAATTGTAGTATTTGTTTCCCATTAACACATTGGTTTAGCCTGATCACAGTTTCAGCTGACAATGTCAGCCTACAAAAGCATGTCATTTGCTAAAATGTCCTGCATCTATGAAAACATTCAGCATTGTTCTGAAAGTGGTATGCTGTTTTCACAACAATTTCAATAGTTCCAGTCAGTAACAAATAAAGTCCTCATCTTCCTACACTGATTAGTCAATCCAGTTTATGCATAGTAATTAGGAAAAATAATTATAATTGGACATATTATTACAATGTTATATTCAAGCTGCATCCCACTGTAGATGTGCCTCATTAACAGGCAATTAGTAAACAGACTGAACAAACAGGCTTGGATCCAAACAAGTATACAGGGAAGACAAAATGTACAAGATTTGAACAGGCTAGCAGATGACAGTGCAACATGACAATGCCCACTGTCGTGCCCACAATGGCACAGTAGGAAAAGCATGGTGAAGAAAGACAGAGATAGCATTGAAATTCTACTGTGCTCTAAGGTTTTAAGAGCTTGTGCAAACTCTTGTCCAAATGGAAGAACTAGATTGATTAGTGTTCTGACACAACCTTTTCTACAAGGTCAGAAGCAACCTTTCTAATATGCAGAGGAGATTGCCTATGCATGGAAGGGCACCTTTGGATCCAACCGACAATATTTATGTGAAGAGTGGTGAATTTGTGACCCTCCAGATGTTATTGTATTCCAATCTACATTAGCCCTAGCTGGATAACCTGTGCTCTGGGATGATGGGACTGGTAATGCATAATTTTCTGGAAGCCATCTGGTTCCTTACCCCTAATTTACATACTTTCGACAAACATAGCCAGTGCTTTCTCTATCACAATGGTCTATAGGCTCATTCCTATTTTACTCTAAATCACATTTCTTCAATATATATACTTAGATATGTCTTAAAGATCTACCAATTTGTAAACTGTGAATTGCCAGAAAGGCAATTTTTGGATATCCATAAAATATAATGTGTTCTTGCATAAAAAGAGCCCTGCACCTATTCATCTGAAACTTGGCAGCTTCAGTTTTTTCACGATGATGCTATGCTTTAAGTGGGGTTAAAAAGTGAAACAGCACATACTTAGTGTCTCTCTCTTTTTTAACATCATGTTTCACAAACTATTTTTGCTTATTGCTGTAACATATCAGGCATGCAGTTGTTGGTATATGCCATCAAGTTGACTCTGATTTGTGGTGACTGTATGAATGAAATTCATCCCAAACGCTCTGTCCTTGACAGCCCTGCACAAGGCTATGCCTTCCTCTATGGAATTAAGCCATCTCATAGTTGGTCTTCCTCTTCTTTCCCTAACACAATTGTCTTCTTCAGTGACTCTTGCCTTCTCATGAAGTTTGAAAACTTCAGTTTCATCATTTTTACTACCAGAGAAAGTTCTGGTTTCACATGATCTAGGAGCCACTTATTCATCTTTCAGCCAATCCACGGTATTCACAATGTTCTCCAGCAATATGTTTCAAATACATACGTTTTCTTCTTGTCAGCTTTTTAACTGTTTCACCGATACATAGAGATCAGGAATTAAATCGTGTTAATGATCTTGGCCTTGGGGATTAGAATGGGCCATGGTTTTATTTTCTATAGTTTGGGGCATATTTTGTTTAGAATTTGGACTTATTCAGTCACAAAAACAGATCAAAAGCATGTAATGATTCCTGGGGAGAAGATTAAACTGCGTGATTCACAACTAAACTAATTCACATGGCCATGAAAATGAGCCCCTCATAAGGACTATTAAGAATAAAGTCTGAAATTATTTAGCTGTACCACTTAATTTAGCAGCCACTTAAGAAACTACTATACCTGCAAATTCCATCCAGATCTGCCAATGGAATAGGGAAAAAAGTATAGCCATTTTAAGATTTACTCATGATAATTATTGGAAGGAATGAACATGTGGATGTTTTAATTTCACCTTAGGTCCAGTACCCAGGTTAAACTGACTAGAGTTGAATTTGGGCATTTTCTGAACTGAGGTCCAATCTGAATCCTGTGGTCAGTGCTCACCCTTACATTTTACTTCAAGACAGGACAGCACAAAGGTGGGGCTACTGAGATGATTTTAAGAGCAGGGTTTCTGGCTGCAGGAGCTGAAATGCAGAAAGCATTTGATCACTTATCTGCACCTGAAAGACTACAGGATAAAACAGCTGGCTTGAAGTTATCTATAGTAGGTTCACAGATAGTTAGAAATATAAAGATCAAGTCAGTCAGTGAAGCCTTTATTAGATGTTCTTCCTGTTGCCTTCTGGTTGTCCCATTCCTGCCCTGTATGAAGACTTGCCTAACACCTACATTGTTTTTGTTTTGGCCAGGAAAGGCATTTCAGTTCCTTAGGACTTTTAGATTTTATGGGATTGTAAAGGTTTACCTCTCTCCTACCCTACCCACAGTCTGTTGACAGATCAGTTTGTTGCCGCAGTGTCTTTTTAAAAAATATTTTTTAAAAGTCCGCAAAAAGATTGTTCAAGTCCATGCTTTTAGTGATTTGTCAGTTGCCCTGAGTGCAGTTTTGCAAAAATTGTGAAATACAAATTTATATACATGTAACTTAAAATGAGATAAAACACTTGCTGGATAGTTGAAAGTAGCTTTAACTGTTGAAAAATGTATTACGCCAAACTTATCAGGAAGAAGATAAGTTGCTTCCTGTTTCAACATTGCTTGTCTGTTTCCACTGTCTTGCTTCAAGAAGTGAGAAGGTCATGAGCTTGAGGAGGAAGAGAATTGTCTTAATGATGAACTGCTTTAAAACGTTTCAGACATTGAATGGTAATGTTCATCAGGCATAAGCAGGAAATTACTGTGCAATCCAAAGAAGAATTATTGTGTCAAAACAAACCAGTCATTTCTAGAGAAAACCACTTCCCATGCTTTTCATTTACAAGGTAAGTCCATAGACAGAAGAAACATATATAAATATCAGGGGACTGAAACCCACCTTCCTACAAAAAGCAATGCTGACACATGCCAAAGTATATATAATTAAATATACTGGAGTTGAATCCACAAATTATGATAACTTTATAATAAAATATGCAACACTAAGAGCTGGTTATGTGGAACAGAAGCAGAATGCACTCTGTAGTCATTTTGACAGACTAGGCAATAGCTTGGCTGATAAGAATATGCATATCTGTTATATTAGTGATTGTACTTATATTTCTGTGGATTCAGTGTCAATTGTGGGAAACTGCACATACTTAAAGGCACTTACTTTATCAGTTTCTAACAAGAGGCCACAATGCAGAAGCAATTCTTCAATAAATATTATTTTATTTTAAAATATAAATGTATAGAGTGGGAACTCAGACACAACAAAAATAAAGGGGTAGGATAATTTACAAATTTACAACCCTAATATTAAGATATTATAATATGCAAGATTTTTTATATGTTACCTAGGGCAGTATGTAATACCAGCACACCACTTGGGAAAAGCAACGTGAGCACAATATCATTAGTATTTCCTAAAGGAAGAGAAAAAATGTGGAGATTTGGAAGCACCAAAATTTGGGCCTCTGTCTAGCAAGCATAAATGACATTATGGTAGCATTTTTGCACACGACCTAAATCTCTTTCTGAACTTTGGAAATGCATTCAGGGTGGTGTGTGCCTACCTTCTGAAGAATCCCCTTACAGTCATGAGATATAACCAGGTTAGCCAGTAGATTAAAGGTCATCTGCTGGATGACACTGTTCTCAGCTGGAGTTTGAGATGCTAACTTCACAATGCTATGCATTAATGAGTTCCCAGCTGCAGTTCTTTGAGCAGTTTGAAGGGGTGACAATCCACTGCTTGACACACACAGAGAGCCACAACCTTTAACAATTGAAGCATAAATATTAGGTTGTATACACAAATGTACATACTGTCACAGTTTCCATATAAACATGCATCTAAACATAATAAATACCCTTTCTATACTCCCATATAATTTTTGTTACCTAGGTGTAAGTGATCAGGCATACTTTCTCTGCTCTTATATATTATCTTATTCCTTAAAGCACTCTTTGTATGTTGGTTGGCCTATTAGGGATGGGGGAAAATAAAATATGCATTCATCCTTCCCAACATGGAGCACAGTAAATTTAGGGAATATTTGGAAGATAATGGAGGGCATGAGGTAGGAGACAGAGTTGAATTCTACAGATTTTATTAAAAATACAAAACAGAAAAAAATGCTCATGTCATATTTGAGCTGATAATTATGGGCACCTGCATACTATTAATGTTTTTTCATTTATGCATTATTTTTATGGTAAGGGCACATACATGGGCACCATGAGGATTCCTGTGATTGAATGTTTGTATAAAAGAAGTTTGCAGACTTTCAATCCCAGTCATGGCTGTGACACCAAAAGGCATTACAGGCCTGCCCAAGGAATAGTGGACTAGGCAAGGACTTCAGCATGCCTAATTTAGCCTGATTAATTCATGCCATAAAACATGCCATGCCATATTATAAGCTGCTTTTGAGTGTCCCCTTTGCTTAAAAATAGCAGAGTATGATGTGACATATGCTGTTTGAAAGCAATAGCCCAAAGCCTGCCCCAGGCATGCAGAATCTTGGACACGCATTGTTCTTTAGTTATCATCATGAAATACAATTTAAACCGATGTCGTGTTTTATAAGACCACTGGGAAATTAAAACTACAACTGTGAGGATGCACCCAGTAACCTATCTTCAGAATCTATTCACAAATTACAGGCTTCATGAAAATATGTCAAACTATTTTTAAACACAAAAACTTATTTGCATTCCATGACATCCCATCAGGATTGGAATCAAATTTTCAGGTCTACTCCATTATGCTTTAGATATATTCCTACATAAAATAAAGTTGTAAGTAGAAATTGAACTATTAACCCCATACCTACTAATCAGAGGTTCATACAAAAAATCACCACTAGATATAGAGCTACTTATACATTCTTATGCTGTAGCTTTAAGTGACTTAGCCACCTACACTGGAAGCTAAACATTGCTAGGTACAATAGAGATCATTGCCTTTATCTTTAAAAATGCTTGCAACTTTTATAACTTTTCCTTCTTTGCTGAAACAATATGGTACATATGATGCTTTGTTCTTGTAATTTAAGAACAAATCCTGGTAGATATGGGTAGAATGTTAACACCAACTGTTTGATGCTCCATACAAGTACAGTTACTGTAAATGTCAAGGAAATCTTGATCAAGCATACATTTGGTTATTTGACAGAGTGAACTATAAATCCCATGCAGATAACTCTGTGCTGGTATTATTATTTAGAACTTGCACCTAAAATACTGGAAATATATTTGCTAGGAGGGGAAAAAAGGTAGAAAGAAATGCTGTCAAAGGATGAACACATTATGTAGCAAACTCTAAGGAGGAAGGCATGTGTGCTATATCAATTTTCATTCATATCGCAAAGGGAAATATGAGAACTTTCATTTGCATAGCACAAGAAGGAGGAACAGAGAATACAAAACAAATGCTAGCTGTGGTTACTCCTGTTTCTTCCTTTCCTCAAAGCTATTATTCCAATTAATGCTCTAGGACTCACTTGCACTACAGAAAATAGTCTGAATCATCTCCCACCTGAAGGATAGTTTGCAGTATAGACACAAAGCAAATGCAGAGCTGTTTGCATCAATGAGTCATCCATTAAAAGCCATGGCCACAGTGAATGGAGAATAGAGATAAGGTGAGTTCCAAGAGCTGCTGCCTGCCAGACAGGAAAAAGACGACAATGTAATACTGAAAACAACTTTTGTAAGTGGAATTGTGAGTAAAACTTAAGAGTCTGGCAGTTCCCTAACAACAGCAGCATGACATGGTACTTAGAAGCGAAAGTTCTGTGGATAAGGAACCTGTACACATAGCCCAGTATGAAGATGCCATTTTGAGCCACTTCCCATGATTAAAAAACAACATAATGCAGCCTTCCTCAACCTGGAGCAGTCCACATGTTTTGGACTTCCACTCCCAGCATCCTTGTCCATTGGTTATCCTGATGGCAACTGATGGAGACTGAAGTTCAAAACACATGGAGAGCACTGGGGTAGAATCCAATGGGATCTTTCTGCCCCCACCAATTCCCATTCAGAATCAGCAGGCCTCACTGATTCTGTTGCAAAGTGAGACTTACTGCCTATGCAGGCATTCCATAGAGGAAGCCTCCAAAGAATCAGATGCACTAGTTTCTGGAAGGCAGCAGGTCAGCAGAGCTCCCTTCTGTGAGTTCCACCATTTGGGACTGCTCCAGAAATGGTAAACTGCCACTGCGCAAACAGTGGAAGGCCTGCACAATAGTACTGCAAAGTGGTGGAGGTGGCAGTGCCTCTATTCTGCCTCTAGTTGGAAAAGGCTGGCATACGATATAGGTCGGGATTTGCCAGAATGAAACTAGAGTCCCAACTGCCACTCACATTTAGTAAGTAGCCTCCCCACGCACAGCCCCCAGTACCTCTGAATAACTAAAATTTTCATAGGGCAGAATTCCCAAGGTGTAATGCCAGGAGTTTCTCTCAGCATGTCCCACCTGCACTGCAGTCGAATGTTCCATGGCTCCCTTTTCACTTACTTTGCAGTTTTCATTCTGAAAGAAGCAATTTCGTAGGAGCTGCATGACAAGCTTTAATTCTTTGCTGAGATTATCATCCTAGTGGAAGAAAAAGTGGTTTTGCATCAATATCCAAACAGAATCTACTGTATATGGCATATATAGCATGTCTTGTTTCTGGTCTTATTTTACCACACTCCAATTGTATCTTTCAAGCTGCTGAAATTCTAAATGATGAAAACAATCTTAGCAAATCCAATGACTGATAACAAAACGGTTTGTTCTCAAAAGAGCAGTGAGGGGGAAGTGAAAAAATCGGACATCAAAATGCTTGCAAAGGCTCAACAAAAGTCTGTCCTTGCATACAAAAGCACATGTTAACATAAGATGCTTTATAATAAACAGTTTCACTTTTGAATACTAAATATTGTCTAAAAAGACTCCTTGGTAGAAAGCATTTACGTATTCATACAACTGGCTTTTGTCACACACAACGGGACTAGGTTTACATGACTGCTATTGTATCCATGAGCAACCCTGCTCAGTTTACAAATTATACTAAACAATGGTGATTGCCCACCACAGCTTGAATACTCGAAATGGCAACCAGTGCACACCACAACCATCTGTGGGGTTTTTTTTTAAACCCTGGTGGGTGCTGGAAGTTGTGGAAACCATCCGTGTATTTGGTGGTCCTGGATAACTGCTCACAATACATTCTGGATTTGCTTTGCATGATGACATGGACAGATCATTTGCATGACTCAATGCCAGCTTGGACCAATGCCACTAGGGCTAAGGCAGCAGGCCAGATGCCCTGCCACCTAGCCCTTCATAGGATGCGAGAAATCAGAGGATGCAGCCACACCCCTGATGTCAACTGGTCACCAGCTTCACTGTGTGTTAATTTTCTTTGACTGGGGAAAGGCTGCTTGCAGTGAAGCCATTCTTGTCATCACCTCAACTACAGGACACTTTCCCTGCATTGCAAGCTCACTGATAAGGTGAGAGCCCAGCTTGATGCAGCATCTACCAACCCCATGAGAACGGTGCACAGGTGGAGTCGGCTGGCATAGGTCCTGTAAGATTTGGCAAATACTCCACTGCCTAACAAAGTTGACCAGGTTGGACTGGACTGAACACAAGTATACTAAAGAAAATTTCTATTACAAATAAACTTCAAGACACAGGAACCAACAACTTCTTTAATGACTTGTCCCAGACCTTGAAGCAAGTTATCTTTCCTAAGGTTGGAATGTTAAAAAGACTTACTAGGGATCAAGCACCACTAATCACAGGGAAACTTACTTCCTGGTAAACATACATGGCATTATACTGAATAATTTGAAAAGAAGGAACACAGTTCATAAGATTCCATACTTTTAACATAAAGTTTGTACAATTGATTTACTTTTTTCCTTTGAAATGCTTTTCCAGGCCTCAAAGAATCAAGGTTCAGTTGTGCATGAATATGTTTCATCTGTTCCAGGCAGGTCTCTATGAGGTTGGCTGCAATGAGAAGTGAACTTTATTTAACTGCTTGTCCACAGTCAAAAACAATTGTAAGATGTGCAAGCAAGACATCAGCCATTTTATTTAAAACCATTGAGTCACCTTTTTGCTTTCATATAATTAATGGTGGAATCCATGCATGTTTAAACAAAAAAAAGTCTTCCAGCTCCCAGCAATCCTTAGACACCAATGTCTAAACCTACATAGGATTGTGCCCTAAAGCTCTTTATATTACTTAAATTGAATTATCCAAATCAAAATAATATGCTCAAGCATTCCAAGCATAATTGTTTGATGATAACTAGTTTAAATTTATCTAAGCAATCATTCTCATGAACAGTGAGTTCAATACTTATTTCAACAAAAGCAAACCCAAAGTATGAGGAAGTGGTCACTGTACTCAAAGGACACTGCTATTTGCAAAGGTGAAAAAGTAGCCTGAGAAGTGATCTTTTTCAGTGACTACCAGGAAACATAGAAGAGACAGCTGAGGTGGCTGGTAAATAAATTGCTTTCCTGGAGGCCCTGATGGCTCCTAGCACCTCTCCCAATTTGGTGTCCTCCAGTTCCTTTAACTGCAACTCTTGTCAGATCCATCCAGCATAACCATTGGTCAGGGTGTTATGGAACTTATACTAGGAGCTGAGAATGGCTGCCTTACAGAATTATGGGCAAAAATGGCATGGGTAGTTAATCGACATCCTGAACAAGAACAATTTTATTAGGGAATGAAAATATACTTTACATGCCCTACTAGTTTAATATATTTTGGTAGCTTAAAAGACTGCCTTCAATGTCCAGCTGCCTGTTTTCACAACATACACAGTAAACCCAAGAAAATAACTGGGGAAACAGAACTGGGATCAGACCTCCATGCAAATCAGAGCAAATCTAGAGGCAATGTTGTTCATAACTTAAGCTTTGATCTGCAAGACAGTGGGAGTTGGGGAAGAGCCAGATCTGGCAGGACCCGTTTTCATTAGACTTGCCTCCAATCCACACTGCTTATTCACAATAGGGATAAAATACATTTGGTAGTGGATATCACATTTTCCCAAGGCTGTGCTATTTATTAATGAATCCATGAAAGGTTTTTAGATCTGCAAGGTTCTCCAGGGCCCGGAGTAACATTACCTCAGAGAGTCAAAGACATTCCACTGACAATGCCTATTTGATCCCACCATGTGTCCCTATTAAGTTATATGGGGCAGGGAGCAAGTGGGGAGAGAAAGAAAAGCTAAAATTATAAGTATATTCTAGGCAGAATTTACATACATCGATACAAAAAATGCCAATAATATGAAAGCTCAGCTTAATTGTAAAAATAGCTTTTCACATTGTATGGACTCCCTCAAAGTCAGCACATCTTAGGAAGATGGCAGTGCCTATTTATTGACATGTAGGATGAAAGCAGAAAAAATTGAGGTCAACTGTTTAATTTTGTTCTGATTTCCCTAGCAGTGAGTATAAGAAGCAGCCCACAATCCAGTCACCATATTCTCTGCATTTATGAGTTTTACATGTCATAGAAACCCAAAAACACCTGCCTTGTGATGTCAGATAAGGTGGTTACAGTGTTGACAAACTAGCTTTTTGTATTCATTACACAATAAAGGCCACCTGATTTAAAGCATGTTGCTAGAATATGGCAGACACTCACCTTCCGAAGCACATTTCTGAGCACTTTTACTGACAGCCAAAAGGGGAAGCAGCGCACTTGCAGAAAAGTGTTTCAGCACATCTAGAAATGATTTTCCTTCATAGTTCTAGCAACAAATCAACATACACCAAATTATAAACACATACTGCAGAACTTTTCACCTTACTCATCTGAAATTTTCACTTACACTTTTCTTGAGAGGAACAGATTCTAAACTGCTAAAAAGCTTCAGGCATTAGGTGGCAATGGCACATTTAGGGGAACAAAGAAGCATCACAGAAGCATCTTAACCTTGTGTAAGAATGTGGGTTCTGCTAAATTCCTACAATGTAACATATACCATGAACAAAGAGCACAGAAGTCACTAACCATTCCTTGTCCCACATCTCTCTCCCAAAGTGTATTTTCCATAACTGTTTCTCTCATTTTTGGGTCATTCTTCCTGTCAGACACTTGCCAACAGGAAAGCTGCTAGGGAAAACTAATATCAGCACCTCCTCTTGCTCACAGGTTGTATCCACCATCCCTGTCAGGATACTGAAGGCTTTCAACTTTACTTTGTATAAAGATGCTTTGGTGAACTTATGTCTTAGCTTGCTTGCCTGTCTCTTGATTCGGGCTTAATCTACTTGCCTCTAACTACATTAACTATGTGCATTTTTAATGAAAGAACCCTATTTTCATCATGTGTATGAAAAGAGTGAGAAGTAAATGAATTGTTTGAGAGGATACCAGTATGGATGTGTAAGTAAAGGCATTTGGAACATTATACAACTACATAACACATTGAACTGGCTGAAGACAACTGCATATTTCAAAAATGTATATGCTTAATCTCTTGCAAAGCCCAGGAACAGCTCCTGGGCAGATTACTAAAGGGTACAGCCTGTGCAACTCTTGAAGATATATTAAGAACAGACCACTGATCATTATATAACTGGTATCACTATGACGAGGATCTGGCAGTATGTGGTCAGGATAACAAATGATGTTAGACAAAGGTAGCTTGGGCAACCAGCAACCTGAACAGAATAGAAAGACCTGCGGAAAGTAGGCTTCTTTGGAAAAGAGTTCTACAATCCAGAGCAATGTGACACTTTTGCCATCAGCCCTTCTGTACTCCTAGACTGGCGATCTAACTTGGAGCACTCGTTGTCAATAACTATATTCCTCCTCCTTGCATGGATTGACAGAGAAAGAGGATGAACAAACACACCCACCACTCACACTTGTGTATTTGTCTATGCTTTTGAGAGTTTCAACTTCATTTGTAACAAATGTGAAATGTAGTGTTTCTTGCTTTTTCCTTTACACAAAGGTCTCAGTGATTCTTTATAGTGTTGCATCCACAACATGCCTTCACTTTATACAGGAATTTAGTGACAACCTGATTCTAATATGTGCCTGCAGTTGTTAAATCTAGCTTTACCCTCAGTAATATCTACAAATTAACCCAGTATCTCCTCAAAAGAGGCTGGAAGAACAGATCCCTTCCACTCTAAGTGACATTCATTTTTGCTCACACTGGTAAGTCATCATTACCTTTTCACTGACTTGTTTTTTTTTTGCCATGACGACTATCAATTCTTCATCGTTTGTGCTTTCAAGCTATTTTTCCTCTTCTCAGTACATAAACCTCAGGCCATCTTTTGTATCCTTTCTTCTATGTACCTGGTTCTGATACCTGTGTCTGCTTTGATTTCACTACTCTAACTCCTTTCCCTGCAATTATATGCTTTTTAAAAAAGGAGCAAGTGAATTCAGCTGCTCCAACAGTGTTATGTACCCTTTCCAGAGTTGCCTTTCACAGAGTGATAGAGTTATTACCAAATTGTCAAAGAGCCTATCAGTATGACAGGCCATATTTTAATTCCTCCCCAAAATCCCCTACTCAACCCCTGACTTGTCTGCCTCTTATGCCACTCAATGCTTTTGTCTATCTGCTCAGATGCCACAGTAGGTAAGCTAGCCATCATTTTCTGGGTAGCTGTAGAAACTGTAGATCAGGCTTGAATTTGAAGACCCACAAATTCAGAAGAGATAACATTTAACAGAAGTTGCAAAATGATATGACGGAAAGATGGCTGTTGGTGAGACGTTATATTGGTGAAGGGCAGACCCAGAATGCTTAAGAGTTATATTTACATGCATGTTTTTTGGTTTATTTCCTGGTATTTCACTTATTAGTTTTGTGTTCCTTTCCTTTTGCTACTGTGATTCTCTCTTACAGTGAGCTGGTTGGAACTGAAAGGAGAAACCCTGAGCTCCTCCTCATGCACTGCAAGGAATCTGGAAGTGCTGGTTTTCATTTTAGATTGAGCGTAATTTGCCACATCATCCTTGTCTACATGTAGTTAAACTCTCGTTATTCTTAAGTACTGTTGGTTGAAGCAAGCCAACTTCAAATTGCAGTTTAGAATGCTGATTTGTTTTAATGAGCCATACTTAAGCTTAATCAAAGTTTGTTAGGGCAACCTACTAATTTTCCAGTATCAAAACGGGAGCAGAAGCTTCATATATTCTCAGAACTATACTGTGGAAAGAGAAATTGAATGGAGATGAAACCAAGGTTCTGTTGCTCCTTTGCATTCTTCCAATTTTCCATGAAAAAAATTATTTTGAAACTTACTGGAAATTCAAATAATTAATTTGTAAATTAAGCATTTTGTACTAATTATGTTCATCCTCTTTTCATCCTTCCGCAGTGTCATGTTTTATTTCTTCTGTTCACATATTTCAAAAGGTAACAGAGGAAATAACATCAATTAAGCAAGTAGTTGTACATGCACATTTCAAGGAACAAAGAATAAGTAAATAGACAAATACCTAGTTAAGAGATGCATTCTCAATAGAGTACAGTAATCCAGAACTGCAGCTAGAATACCAGTTTCCATTACAATAATCTGTTAGGCACCTTGTCCTTCAAAATAATTAATCACTATTAGACAGAAGTTGACATGTGTGGAATTGGGTTGTTATAAGACATCTACAGCCCCTTTTAAACTGAAATGAAGAAAACTGTTACCAGTTCATATCAACAGAAAGAAATCTGAAAAACAGACTTCAGGCCACAGCTAGTTGATGAATACAACATCTTAAATGAGATTCACTCATCATTTGGTCCTAGACAGTAGCTGTCCGGTGTATTTTTCAATCCTGTAGTTGTGCAGCAAAAGTAATACTTTTGCCAGAGTCATCTACTGCAGAAAAACTCAAGGAAACAACAAAAAGCTCAAAAGAAATCATTAGAAGCCTAATATATTTGGGCACAGAGGGAAAAGACACAGAACTATGGGTAACTGACCTGCTAAAAGAACATGAGGATACCAAGGCATGAAGTGCTTCAATATTTATTACTAGTCCAAGGCTCAAGATGAAGATTTAGATGACAGTAAATCAAATAAAAACAAATTTTATTTTTTCAGGAAAATGGGGAAAAAAACCTTCTGGAATAGAATTTCTGCAAAGACACTGACTTCCTGCAATGACATTGATTTAAAGTGGGTAAGAGGATTTCCTTATCAAGTTCTCATGAAAAGTAGTGCTCCAGAACATCTTAATGTCATTAACAGCTTAAACAATACTATGACTATGATGGAGTGATAATATATCTGATACGAAAAGTCTTGAAAGTTTTAAATAAATAGATACAGTAGGTTTATCATTTTGAATCACTGCATATTATGGGTAAATAAATACCTTTGTGCCTCAGCAAAACCATAGCTCAGAAGCAAGTGCGACTGCAGGAATTGGAAAATATACTTCTTTTTTAAGTGGAGTTCAGTGAAATCAACACTTACTGAATATCGGGAGTGCAGCATAAATGTTTTCTCTGCACTGTCCTTGAACTGAAGAAGTTTTTCTGAAAGCCTGATTCAAGCTTAGGCTTCAAAGCCATTCCTATTTATTGTCACTGATTATAGTGGGACTTACTCCTGAACAAATACGGATAGGATGGCATGTAAGGGTAGCATTCAGTGCTGCCACTCTGTTTACACCACTTCGATAGCACTACCATTACGTGTTCTCTAGTGCTAATTCAGTAGCATAAGCTGTCCCAACAGGTTTCCTTGGAAAACACCTTGTGCCAACAAACATAATTGGCATAGCCCTAAAGGTAGCTTACACTAGCTACATGATTAGCGCTAGGGCTTTTGTAAACCTTCCTGAGACATTTGTAGTGGATGGGCTAGAAAAGCTTTAAATAAATAAATAAATAAATAAATAAATAAATAAATAAATAAATAAATAAGGCAAAGAGGCAGCTTCGCTGTACTAAATTATGGAGAAATCCTACATTCATAGATTTCAGTATAATGGCTATTCATGCAAGAAAGAAAGAAAGTCTGTAGTCATTGCAGAAAAAGCAGTTATCCCGGATCAGTGCTTTTCTACTAAATATTGTTAATGTTATATGAGTGCAATATAGTACTAAGACAGTGTGGAACATTTAGAAAGGCCTGGTGCGCATCTCTGAAAGGAACTTATAGCATTGCTTTCATGGTAGAGACCACTGTCATTAATCTTTCTTATTTCTCCCTTCCTGAACAGTGTCACCCTCCAGGCCATGATCAGAGCCTGGTGGCATTAGGCAGTACCAGGTCCTCAGCAGTACCAGGTCCTCAGCAGTCTAGCAGGGCCCCAGTGCTGAATCCTGCCTTAGCTCCCACCCCCATTCTTCTCTTGGTCTGGGATTCTAAATTCTAAGGAATGCCGGGTAGTTGAACTAACTTTTTCATTTCCCACAGTGCCTGACTTAGCATCACTCTCCGCACGATGGGAAATTAAAAGGGTGACTAAACACATCAAGGTCCACTAGCGGAGAAGTCTAAAGAACACACTGTCCAGGGCCTTCTTAAATCTGGATCCCCCCACCACCTAAGCTCCAGAATGCGATTGTCCATATTTTTTTTTTTTCATGCTTTCCCTCAAGAGCACCCAGTACTCTGGCTGCCATGCTTTTCTAAGTCAACTTCCCTTCCTTTAGCCTTTCAACTACTGCAAAAATGCATCCTCCTTTATCTCTCCACACCTGGGAACACTGCAAAATACAACTAATTATTAAGTATATTTGGATTACCAGTGACTTTTTAATTAAGGCAACAATCCTATGCACACTTACCCAGAGCAAGCTCCATTTTCGAGTAAACTTGAAATATGAATGGTTTGCAACATCTTTAAGCTATCTTTGAAGCTGTGCTGAATATGGCTCATTGTTCATGTCACACTTTTAACATTTTCCCCAAAATGTTTCAGCAAATGATTGAGAGGAAGACACTGTATAGTAACTATTAATTTTCTACCTGAATTATCAGTTCACAAAGCTTAGCTACATATGGTCGGCTTCTCTCATCTTCATCTAGGAGGAAACCCACTGTTGGATGGTAGCAAGCGCTGTCTTTATTGCTGAGCTTTCTCTTTCCTTCTTCGGAAAAAAGAATGGCAAGGAACTGTAAGCAGGTCATGTACAAATTAGGGCATCTGATGGAGAGATGTGTACATTCACATACTGTATCTAAAAGGTCAAAAAGATACACATTTTATATTTCAACATTGACATATTCGGGCACTCATGTAAAAAGCATATAGATCAGGATCACTTACACTGGACAGGTTCACTCTTAATGCTAAACCATGATGGAAACCACTGTGCAATGGTTTGTCATGTTGCCTAAACCTAGCCAGTGTGGAACAGCATACTAAGGATGGTCCCTGTGCAACCATGGAGAACAAAAATGTCCTGTTCTATGATTTCCATGCTTCACCACGGTTTGTTCAATTGTGTGACTCCAGAAACTGCGTTTTAGCATAGTTTCCATGCTGCTGTCGTAGAGTCCTACAGAAAGAGCAGCTGGTGCAGGAAGAGATGCTTCTGCCAGCATTCTGTGCTGCCCAGATCTGCCTGGCAACAGAAGCTCTGTGCTCCCTTTCACCTCTCTTCATACAAAAGCCCATCACTAGAAGCACCACCATCTTCAGCAACAGCAGCCTTGGAGATAGCCACATTTGGTGTTCTTCTCTGATCACTGCTCATGATTGGCTCTCCCTTTGTTTTTCTGGTAGAAGCATTGTTTCCCTTTCAGCAAAGTTGTCCCTCCAGGTGGAGAGCACATGAGCTGCATGCTGGGCATCACCACCGCCGCAAGCACCTTAAAAAGCCCATGCCCCCTACTATGACTCTTGTCCTGTCCCCTGCTCGTAACTTGGCCCTGGCATTCCTTGGAACTGTCAATAATAGCCCTGTGGCCTCTGAGACCACTGACACTCACTGCTGCTAGTTGTGAGGCAGGAAATCCATGCTGCCATTTCCCAGTGGATCTGGGAAAACCACCTGCAGAATTCCTACCAGCAGAGCCTCCATTTCAGGAGCGGCTATATTAGAGTGCTCCTTGACGCCTTCTGCTCACCCAGCTGAGAGATGCAGCATTGGTGGATAGAACCATGGAACAGATGCTCTCCTCTGCACAGCCCTATGAGCAACTCTCAGCACCCCTAGCACATTGCAGCAAGCTAGCTGTGCATGTGGATATATAAGGGTATATCTATGTAGTCTGTAGGACAGAAGGAATGAACAGTAGAACTGGGGCACCTGCATCCAGAGCAGTGGGGAGCTGTGGGAGGGTGAAGGATCATATGCAGCTACAGCTGGAAGTCTGCAGAGCTCACACTGCCATAAAAGAGATTGCTAGCCTTATTAATACCGGGAGTGCTTTTTCTTCTGGGACAACCCTGCTTTCCCTGCCTGAGTCCTTATGATGCTGCAGAAATAAAGCCATGCTTTGCAACAGGGTGTGGTTCTTGTGGGAAGAGCTGGCTGTGGAGCTCAGTGGAGAGGATAAGGAGGAATGCCAGATGAGGCAGCTCATAGCATGTCTGGTATGCATGTGCGTGTGCCAGGACTTCCTGCCTCCACACATGGCAGGAAGATGTCATGGGGAGATGTCGGGGCAGTGGCTTGGGAGGGTGGGGTGTAGGACACCAGGTGAGACTGGCTGTAGCTGAGGCATAACAGGCAGCAGGAGAGCGGACAGCCTGATGACTTCCATGTGCTTGGATATGGGGGTGGGGAGAGTGACCCTTCCAGTGTGTTTGAGATCTCTGGACACATCTGCCACAAGGAAGGGAAAGGGAGAAGCTGTGGGAGTGTCTGCATAAGCTGCACGTTGGCATACAGCATGGCAGCACAAGGGCAAGAAAGGGGAAAGGCAGAAAGGAGGGGGGGAGGGGGAGAGGGAGAGAGAGAAATAATAACTCTGAAGGAGTCTGCATATGACCCATCCACTTTGCTCACTAGGCAAGGCCAATTTGGGGAACAGGACAGCTCCCTCCACTGAAAAGTCAGTAACTGAAATGTATCTCCTACTTGTTCCAGGAAGAGTCACCATCCTAAGGTGAGGAATGTCCTTCATGAGAAAACAAGCAAGCAAAAAACACATCCTTTCCTTAACTGCTAAGAAACGCTTTTGTGAAACCTTAGAAGAGACAGACAAAATATACAAAGTACATAATAAAATACCACAATGTGAGAACTGCTACATTCACACCTTTGAACATTTAATATTATAATCAGAAGTGATCTGTAGACCCTGCAGATATTAAGGAAGCTGAAAAACAGGTAGGTATACCTATTATTGCTGTCCAATGCTTTGCAAGTGCTGCAGTCACAGATGGTAGAGCAATACTGCCACATTTTCTTAACAGTGTAGCCAAAAAGCTGAATAAGTCTTCCCAAGCTTGGTGAACTGCAGCTGATAACTCAGTTCCTGCCAATTAGACATGCATTAACAAAATACAGAGTGAACAAATATTTAGCTGCATGACTTTACATCAGTTATAAATCTCACAATTAAAACATCCAACTGGATGATATCGGTCTTTAATATCATTCCTTTTAACCATGATCTGTTTTTTTAGGAAAACTTTGAACATCATGCTGATGAACTCTAATAAGTCTTAGAAGAAGGAGCTGACATGCTTCAGAAGTAAAAGAATTCTAAGAGTTTTCATTAGAATCTGGATGTCACAAGAGTTGCAATACAATCCTATACATGTCTAACTCATGAGTATGTGCCATCCAATGGGATTAATCCTAGGTAAGTGGATACAGTTCTGCAGTCTTAAAATGTATTTGCATAATGCAAAGTATTCATCTGGTGAAGTTGGAAGCCACAGAAACATCTGGGGCTCAAGAATGTGCTGTGTCCTCTAGACTGCAAATAGCAGCAATTTTGACCGGTCCCTGCTCCTAGGCACCAGGACAGCGCACATGATGAAAATGGCATCAGTACTGCTAGATCCTGACTGATTCCACTGAAGGGATTAAGAGAAACACCATGATGTTGAAATCAATCAACTCACATTTTCTTATTCAGTAAGATATTCCTTATCACACATATATTACCTAAGTCATCCTTAGAACCAATGGAAAGTACCACAAAAGCACTTTCCAAAAGAGATGGCAATAACTCATCTTGCATCACAAGATTAGTGTCTATCAACAAGCAAGTCTGTAGGAGTTGAGCCAATGATGATACGAATTGCAGTAGAAACAAAACCTGTTTAAAAACATAAAATGATTTAATTCAGCTATAATTCAGTACAAACCAAGTGCACAATATATTTATTGATAATGATGTGCTGTACACTTACCAAAGAGTAAGCAGTACTAAACTTAATGGGACTTAATTCTGATACAATATGCATAGGGTTGAACTGTTAGTGTCTAGAAAAGTCAGACGACAAGTAAGTATCTGAAATTAAGGCCCAGTGAACTTATTTTTGTCACAATTTATAGGAATATTATGACCAGAGAACCATTTAGCAAAAATTCTGTGCATATTTTGAATCTAAACAAAGGACCTTATCAGAACCGGCCATTAGCACCTCATGAATGACTTTGCAGGTTTATAAGGAGAGGTTCAAATTGAAAATATTAACATGAATAAAACATGAATAAATTCCATTACTTTCTTAGAACTAGAATATATGTATAATCTGTCCATAATTTTTAAATCCAGTTCCTATCCTACAAAGGAAGCAATATAGCTTCTTTGAAAATGCTACAACTAGGTATCTTATAGTACAACTATGTATTTTATTTAAATTAAATACATGTTTCGGTGTAGAGCATCTAGAATTCTATAGTTGTTTTAACATCCTTAATTAGTGCAGCATTGCATTTTAGCAACATTACATTTTTAGTACAGAATGGGAACTGAACAGATGAAATCAGGCCTCTAATTTAGTGGTCTTCCTATTGGGGATGGAGGGTTACCCCACTTAACAACTCTGATACTCTGTTGCTTATCTTTCATTTTAAGGAGCATATTCTTCACACTGTAATCCTGGCCTATCATGAACGACATAGCAAACATACCAACACCACATACCTAATCAGATTTGGTTGCCAAAGGCAAATAGAATCTAATTGTCTTCCTTCAGCACAAGTCCCCAGTCTGCCATGGCCGTGCAATGCAAGGTGACTCTCCTTGTTTGCTCTATCACTCTGACTTTTTCAAATCTCAAAATGCTGCAAAACACCTCTCCCATTCTGGCTGTAGTCACACACATACTACTCTGGCTATAGTCATACATAGTATCCAATATGACTATCTGGAGCAAACTACTGATGGAGAATGTGCTTAAAGAAATAATCTTGAGCACTGCATAACTTTCAAGGGATGTAAATGGCAATGATTATCTGCATATTCCGCCCCAGGTACTCAAGAAATAACTGAATTATTTCTGAGAGAACAGTAATCAAATTGGCTCATAAGTAGGGGTATATTCTATCTTTACCTGGCACGAGAACAGTTTTGTTCCCTTTCAGAAAAGCACATACAGAAAGAATGCCCTGCTTCATCAAGACTGAGAGTTCAAGGAAACTTGTTCATTTTCATGCATCCCAATTTGAATTTCCTGGTAGTTTTCACATTTTTATTTTATATCTGTCACTTATATACTTAAGTACGTGTATCCAAAAGATATATTCTAAAACAAATTTTAATAGAAACAGAATAAAGGCAGTATTTTTCATATATTATTTCTGAGAAGCAGAAATGTTAGTACCCAGTTAAAGCAGCTGATAAAAACTGCAGTTGATATGGCACATTATTGATCTAGCTCAAACTTTATCTTTCCTTTCATTCATAATAAGGTTCACATAGGAAGGTGAGATCAAAGATACTTTGATGTCACTGCTCTGTATTCAGTTGCACTGCATAATTCTGTTACTGGTGTTGTTGAACTACACAGCATCTAGTCACAAATCCAAAATCCCTTAATGATTGATGGACCTTATTGTTAAGGCACTTAGACATGCATACATGTTAGCGCTCCCTTTGCCAGATTTGAGATTTGACCTAAAGATAATGTCTCCACCCTACAAGCACACACACAAACACAATACAAGCAAGAGTCTAATTTTCTTCAAGGACAATACCATAATCTTTTTGCTGCTAGCAGAAGCATCTCTGGCAGCTTAAGGCAATAGTTGCAAATACTTATGTAAAGTTCAATTTTGCAAAAACTGATGAAGTTTGAACTTTTAAAAAAGTTAATTTGGTTCTGAAAGATTATGGCAATAAGAAACCAGTAACCATGAATGTAAAGTGGCTGCCCTGCATGAGAACATACAACATTCCAAAATGTCCTAGGAAGAAGACAGCAGTAGGTCTAAACATAGGAAGTGAGGAATCATTGGGATGGTGGCCAGTGACAAGCGGGGTTCCCCAGGGCTCTGTCCTGAGGCCGATACCGATTAATCTTTTCATCAATGACATGGAAGAAGGGGTGAACAATTTGCTGATCAAATTTGCAGACGATACTAAAACGGGAGCAGTGGCCACAACTGAGGAGCAGGTACTCCAGATCCAAAAGGATCTGGACAGACTATAGAAGTGGGCAGGAGACAACAGGATGGTGTTCAATGTGGATAAGTGCAAAATCTTGCACTTGGGGCATAGGAATAGGTGTCATAAGTACAGGTTAGGAGACAAGTGGCTGGAGAGCAGCACTTGTGAAAGGGACCTCGGGGTGCTGGTTGACTGCAGGCTAAACATAAGTCAGCAGTGTGATGAGGTGGTTAAGAGGGCGAACACCACCCTTGGTTGCATAGCCAGAAGTGTGGCTTCTAGATCGAGAGAGGTATTACTACCACTCTATATGACTCTGGTGTGCCCGCAACTGGAGTATTGTGTTCAATTTTGGGCCCCTCATTACAGGAAGGATATAGCCAGGCTAGACCCAGTGCAGCATAGGGCCACAAGGTTGGTGGCCAGTTTGCAGGGGATGGGGTATGAGGCAAGACTGAGGGAACTGGGTCTCTTCAGCCTGGAGGAGACTCAGAGGGGATATGTTGGTGACATACAGGTATGTGAGGGGATGTCACATGGAGATGGGTGGAGACATGTTCTCACCTGCAGAGGAAGGCAGGACGCACTCCAACAGAGCAAAGCCCAGGGAACCAAGGTTCCATTTAGATTCCAGGAAGCACTTCCTGACGGTTAGGACCCCGAGGGTGTGGAATGGGCTTCCACGAGAGGTTGTTGACGCCCCATCGCTGAGGGTGTGCAAAGATAGGCTGGACATGCACATGGTGGGCATGTTGTGAGCAGAGCTGGCTGGAGCCAGGGGTCAGACTAGATGGCCCGGGAGACCCCTTCTGACTCGCTCTCTTTCTATGTTCTAAGTGTCCTACCTGATCAGACCAAAAGCCAATCTGCTCCAGTATCCTGTTCTCCACAGTGACCAACCAGATTTACGGGGTGACACCTTAAAAGTGAGTCATATTTTGCTATTATAAGCAGAAATCAGGGAGGGAGAGAGAAAATGTCTCAATACATTAATCTGATTTTTGCCAGTGTAGGTGGTATGAGGATGGTATGTTCCATTTTTGAAGTACGAAAGCTAAGAAATAGGTTAATTTTAGAAGTTTAAGTGTTACAAGTAACCTCCTGCAGTTTGACAGGTACTGTCACTTTTCCTCCTAGGTTTCATTGGGATTTAAATTTATTGGACTGTTTCTCTTTTTATACAGGAACTGTCCAGAAACAAGGTTTTTTAGGTTAGGAGGAAGACGCAGCATGTGCTGCAGCCCAGTAGTAAAATAATATGGTTGTACTTTATTATTAAAATTCAGAAGAAATTTCCAACTCGTTTTATGCTCTGGCACTGCATAAGATCTGCTCATAATCATCCTGTTCAGAAGGAAGGCAGAATAAGAGTAAGTGTGGCTGGTTACCAGGGAGATAGGATAGAATGCAGAGGAGGAGAGTTATTATGACAGTGAAAGTTAGCTAGGGAGGAAAGAGAGAAATGGAGGAAAAATAGGAGCTTCAATTTTAATTCTGCTTTAAACATGTAACAGAGCAATGCTATGGTCTCTGGAGAGCATCTGTCTAGCTGACATGGCTTGCTGATTTAAGCAAATATGAATTTGCTTGTTCTTCTTAACAGCTGTCTTTGCTAGTGACAATCATCACAATTTCTTTTGTTTGTAACTATATGTGAATGTGTATCAAAAGGCTGCAGACTACTACTTGATAGTGGCCTCCTTCATTTGACTTCATTTTTGCTTGGAACTGGCAGACTCAGTGTTTGGCTTTTACTTTGACCCCAGCTTTGTATTTTATAAAGGGAAGGGACTGATGAGTTTTAACAGCCAGTGACCCAGTATTCTTAACTCAGTGAATGACAGACTAAAATTTATCTTTCAGAAGAAAATGGTCATTCCTTCCAATGGAGAGGTGCAAATAGTGGAGTCCCACCAGGAACTAGATTAGGACCAACCATTTCCAGCTTATTCATGAATGATCAGGGTGTTGGATTGAGCAGCGAAGCAACCATGCTTGCTGATGGCAATAAATATTTAGGGTAGTTAAACCAAAAGGGAGGCCCAAAGTAGCTTCAAAGGGATCTCTCCAAATTGTTGGAATGGTTATAAAAAAGGAAACATGGTTCAGTGTGAGCAAGGGTGAAGTGAAGATATGTTGGGGCAAAAAATGAAATGAAGTTGTTGACATGGTGCATGGCTACTGCAAAAAAGCTGCACTCTGTGTTAGGCATAATTAGGCAAGGCATTAAAAATAAAACCAACAATACTATAAAAGCCTTATACAAATCTATGGTGTGATTACATTTAGAATACTGTATATAGTTATACATAAAAAAGAATATTACAGAGGTGGAAAAGGTGTGGAAAAGGGTAAAAAAAGATCAAGGGGCTGGAACAATTCCCCTATGAAGAAAGGGTATAACAATTGAGAATATTTAGGGTAGGAAAAGCAACTAAAGACAGACATAATAGAAGTGTACAGAATTATGCAGGTGTGAAAAAGTATAAAGGAAACACGTTTCTCTTTTTCCATAATACTAGAACTCAGGGTCACCCCATGAACCCAACTGGTGGGAGATTCAAAATAGCTAAAAGGAAGTACTTCTTTATACAGTTCATAGTTAAATTATGAAATTCACTTCCATGAGATGCCATGAAAACCACCAATTTGGATTACTTTAAAAGGAAATTGGACACAATAAGTGAGGAGAAAGCTATCAGTAGCTCCCAGTCCCAATGGCTGTAATCTAGTATCAGAGGCAGAAAGCCTATGGATCCCAGTGATGGGGAACTTGGGCAAGGAGGTACTGTTACTGCTTGTGGATCCTGTGGGCAGTTGGCTTGCCACTGCATGAACAGAATGGAAAACTAGATGGAACATTGATCTTCTGTTCTTGTCTAGAATATGAGAATGGAAACAGAACCTGTTGATACTGTACTGCACCTGCAGGACCCCTGAGAAAGAGAAGAAAAGTCCGGCTTTACTCAAGAGATCTTTTGGCTTAATGTTTTGAGTAGGTCATTTTTTCTACTTGAGCAGACTGAGATGAAACTTTAGAAGCACCGTCTTTAATTTTATTCTTGTTTTGCCATCAAGTCATTTCCAACCTATGAAAGTCCTCCAAAATGTCCTTACTCAGCTCTTGTAAATTCAAGACTATGGCTTCCAATTTGAAATAAGTTCAACTCATATTTAGTCTTTCTTTTCACCTTTACACAACTAACCTGGAATTTTGCATACTCCATATGAGATGGCTGAGGCAGAGGTGCTTTAATTTCCATGATGCATCTCTCTATCAAGCCAGAATTTACAAGACTAAAACAAAACACAGATAATTGCGTTAAGGGAACAGACATTTAAAACATAGTCTAGGATGACTGGATATCTGAAAAATATGGAATAGTTTAGTTAGTCCAGAAACAGGAATTTGTACACTCAAACCTTTTCCCTGACTCATGTTGTCTAAGACCTTTGTTTGGTGAGAAATTAGTGAGCCCTCTCCCTTCCCCTGTACATGTAATATAACATGAACTGGTCCTCAATGTAAATATGATGACCCAATCATGTGAAGAATGCACTGATGAATTTTTTTTCCCTAAAATGAATGAATGAATGTGGGGAAGAAAAACAAGTCTTATCACCTGGGAACCACAGTTTATATGACTGTGAATGTTTCTTTTTCCCCATTAAGAAAACAGCAGATAGGATAAAGAGGGAAGGTATGGAATGTCTAATTTGGAACATGACACAGGGAAAGTCAGGGTAATGTTATTGGACTGTATTCGGGGAATCAAGTTTCTAGCCCCAGTTCAGCCATGAAATTCACTAAGTGGCTTGATTCTCACCCTGACCTACCTCAAAGGGTCATTGTGAGGATAAAATGAAAAGGAAGAAGGACATGTAAGGCACCTTTGATTCCTTGGAAGAGAAAAAAGGCACTATCTATATTTATTAATAAATTTTAAAATACTAAAAAAGCCTGTCTTTCCTTCCACTGCAGCCCAAAACAAAATTGGTAATTCCCCACAACTGCCCTCCCATGAAAATATTGGGAGTCTAACCAAATATCCTGTTTCATTTGTAGTTGAGCCTTTATTTCCAGTTTAGCAAAGGAAGGCTGGTTAAGTGTCCCATTTAACTTAGGATCCCTCAAGTTCTCATTCAAAGGACACTGATCTGAGAATGACGGCCATAGATGTCTTTCAATGAATAGACCTGCATTATATTGCTGTCAAAAGTAGATTGGTTAGCCTTGGAAACAAACTGCAAACTGCCATTGTTCAGTCAGTTTGAGAAAAACCACAGAAAAAATCAATTGGCCATCTTATGAATCTGTGGCAAATGTGAGTTTTGAACTGGAGATTTTCATGTTCACACTTGCAAGTATAATACAACTAACCATCACTAATGCCTTATTAGCATGTAGAATGATCTACCAAAATCTTTCCTGAGTTTCCCTCTTCTGCTCAGAGGACAAGGTATAAATATATCACAAACACTTTCAATATAAATATACCAGAGCATCTGCAAATGTTTGCAAATGTGCTGTTTTCTGGTCTTGCAGTTTGCACAACCTGAACTTGCTGCAGCGCTGGGACACAAGCATATCATATTTCAGTTCCCCATGAGAAGTGAAGTTTAACAGGGCTTCAAATAAACAATGTAGGCTCTGGACGGATCCAGATAGAAGGAGGTGGTCTTTCAAATATTTTTGCCCCAAAGGCGTTTTGAAGTCTGTATGTATCATCCTTGAACTGGGCTCAGAAACAAATAGGTAGATTAATTATTTTTGTCAGTTCACAAGTTAAATGAACTATGAATCAACATCAGACAGCTGTCATGTTTTGCACTAGCCCTAAAAAGAACTGTATTTCTTTTCTTAGTCTCACTTGAACAAATAACTAGTTATGGTTTTGGTAAATTCCCAAGTAAAAGTTGCTGAACTATTAGCTATTTTAAATCTGCTGCGTTTTGCAAGATGTGATAGCCCTCCTGGCTTGATTTTAGAAGTACATTTTGAATTCTCAGAATATCCAGCACTTGATCAATATCTGTAACAAAGCTTTGGGTGGCATTTGTTCTATTAGGGCTCTTCTCTGTTTGTAACCTAAGTAATTATTGATCTCCTACCTACTGAGAGCAGTTAGTGTATGTGCTCGCTGAACAGCATTCCCGGTGTCTTTTGGAGATACAATCAGCAGGTTGTCCAGCAAGCTACAAACAGCTGAGAGGAGAGGAGGTGTGACCACTGCACACTGCTTAGGTCTAATGAGAGACTGCGGGGAATCCTGTGGACTCGAAGATGCAGTTGTGGCTGTGTCACTCTGTCCTACAACGCAAAATTCAAAGAAATAAATAATATTTAAGTAATATGATTATTTGGAGTTAAAGTGTAGATATTCATAATCCATTGAATAGGTTTCTCCCCTGCACATGACTGGTCAGTTTTCTTAGCAACATGAAATTCCACAAGAGCAGTTGCACCTGTTGGTTTCACCTGCAATTAGCCAGATATACTATTATCAAAATAATATTTGTCCCTACCTTGAGACAAATAATATGCCAGACAGAAATCTAGCTAAAAGGCATGAAGAGTGGAGAGAGTACAAGCTCAAACAGGCAATCAAGAATGCCCAAAATAGGTGGAGTGTGATAATACAGTTTTTAGTTCTTAAAATTTTAATTGCTAATGAGTAAAAATATAACTGTTAATGAGTGAAATCCAGAAACACTGAAAGTAAATCTGCATACAGTTAGATTTGTTTTGTTTTTCCTTTTACTGTTCCATGAAGACCGTGGAGTTTCAAAAGTGAGCTAGTATGTGATGTATGGAGGCTGCTCTTAGGAACAGGGTGGGAAAGCAGTTGTTTCATATATATGAAAGTGGTGTTGTGGACCATGGCTCTTTTCTCTTTCAAATGAATAGTTTTTCTAAGGGTTTCAGTATCAGCCTACCTTGAGCCATGAGTCGATTAACTGGCACTTCACGAATAATACTAACAGGTGGTGAGGTGGGTGCTTGCACTTCCCTAGCACACTCCAGAGATGGCGCTGCCGAAATGATCTAAGATGAAGCAAAAACAAACACACACACCCTAATTACTTCTCCTCTATTAGCTAGATTCCAGTGAAGAACTTTAGTGATGACATTTTAAAATGGGGCAAGAAGAAAGGCAACCGGAATGAAGTAAAACACAGAACAAGAGATTCGGGAGAAACTATACAAAGAGGGTTTCCTAGTTAACTCAAATCATGTAAGAGGACTTACCAAAGCCAGCCCAAAGGAAAAACACCTCCCCAGTGGTGCTGTTAGCATGGGGCTTGCCCTACTCAGAGCATGAAAGAGAAACATTTTCTTGTGTCATCACTCAGGCCTTAGCTATTCCTGGTTATGTTTTATAGAAGTACAAAAACCATGAGTGCAGATACCATACAGAACAAATTTTACTGGCATCTTTCCTTTCGACTTTCTAAGGTTTTTTCTTTTTTTCTTTGTAACCCCATGTGATACCAACTCCTACTTCTCTCTAAGTGTAGTACCAAGGAAAGATTAAACAGGTTCTGGAAAATCTAGCAAATGTTGCTCTCATCCAAGTCTGATGAGCTTCACAGCTCCTGCTAAAAGCATCCAGCAGCTGAGAGGACCCTGCTGTAAAGGAAGTATCATTGTTTCACAAGAATTTATGGCATGAATATGGAAGTATGGCCTACCTGGTTTCATAAACCCTTAAGAAGCAGCAGCTGTAAAAGGGCTCTGACAGAAAGGGGTTATAGTGCCCTAGAGTCCCCATCTCCCTGCAGCCCACTGGGCTGTAACCTCTACCCAGAGACTCCCCGGTCCCCGATTCCAGACCAGACACTGAATTCAGCACACAGCAACCCAAGCACTGGGGGGAAAGTATTTTATTTAAGGAGCTAACAAATAGGGGTGTAGGATCTAAAATCACTAAGACACAAAATGGTACCATTATACGCAAGGAAGGAGAAGAAGGGGAAAGAGAATTGAGAGCAACACAATTTACAGGTAAAGAAATATCAGGGGAACAAAATGCTACAAAAAGGTAGCACTGCAGGCTAGCCAGTCTTAGATGACAACTGTTGGAAGAAGGGGAGGGAGAAGGGAACAAATTAATCTGTGTGCATGAATGTTTGGATTGCAGCCTGTATATTGAAGTGCTTACTTATATGATGCCAACAGTTGTAAAATAAAACAACCACTTTATATTGTCCTGTGCTGTTGAAAATTTAGGTAATTAAAAAAATGAGAATTGAAACCACCAGTAGAAAAGACCTACTACCAGAAAACATCTTAGATGCTATCTGGTTCTTTATTCCTAAACTGAGCTATCCAGTTCCTTTAGATTTTAGAGCTTAAGAAAAATAAGCTCTTAGATAGATAAAAATCAATAATAATTTCAACTACTTATAAAAATATAGCTTGTTATTTTCTCATGCCAGCTAAGCCCTTTCCAGTAATGGCTTCCCAGCAGGATAGCAGTTGAACATAGACATTTTCTGTGATCTAAAGTAGGATACTTACAATGGACATGTAAATCTTACTTAGTACTGGTGGAAAAGAATTGTCTGTAGACAAGCAGATGGGAAAGCTTTCCTAAACTGGGTAAATTATTTATGGACTTCTTTACAATACTGGTATACAGTAATGTAACTAAGGCATTTTCAGAATTTGGTTTTAGGGACAAAACCCTTTTCATTAATTCTCAATAGAAACTGCTGAATGGCTTACATGGGAAGCTGGTCTATGTAGTCAAGTTCTGACAACACTGACCAGTAGTGGTTCTCCAAGGTGGCAGGCAGTATTCTTTTCAAACCCTGCCTGGACATGCTGTAGCTCAAACCTGGGACTGCCTGCATACAAAGCATTTGCTTTACCATGAGCTTTGGCCCTTCCTTAAGCATCGTATGTCACACAATATTTTTAGCATTACCTGGTAAAAACAAATCTCTCTGATGGAATGAAGAACAGACAAACAAATAAGAAGATTAAAGCCTAAAATTAAACAGAACAACAGGCACAACACAATGAAATCCCATTTCCTTGGACTATACAATTAAGCAATGTTTAGTTCTGCTTACATGAACCACTTGAGTAGATGTGAACTCACCACAGTGTCAGATGTTGACTGGGAATTTGAAGACTGGCTTTGACTAGAATGGATTCTCAAAAAAGAGAGAGAATCATCAAGATCTGGGGAACAAAAAGAAAGAAATCCAACTTTTTAACAATTCAATCACTTCCCCCTGCCCATTCACAATTTTCCTTCAACATCTTGTACTGATAAACAAAAGGAAATCCATGTGCATGCACAGACGTATTGATAAGACATTATATGCTTTTTCCATATTTGACTGCATTCTGAAGAATTGGAGAAAATTCTAAGATGTCTAACACCTATGTAAAGATTACAAAAATGAAGAATTCTACTCAGTGTAATTTGAAACAGAATTAAGTATAGAAGCATACTAGGTGAATGCAAGGCATAGACCACTATCATAGTGGTATCATCACGGGTCATTTAACATACTCTGCCATTCAAAGTGAGCACTAAAATCAAGAAGACTATGGTAATACATCACTTTACTGAAACTTAGACCTCCAGGCTCTTGCATCAGACAGAAGGCAGTACCCTATTATATCCATATATTCATGGGGCCCACCACTTGTGCAATCAGATATGAGCAATTCTAAGAAATAACTCAAAAGGAACAGAAACACTCCTTTCTAAAATGGTGCAGGCCACCCAAGCTCACAGAATAGAGTTTCACTGATGCATCCCAACCTGGAAGCAAGTGTTGTGGAGATTATTTTTAGGGGGGGGGGAATCCCTGCTGCACAAGCAGAGGGACTCATGAGCAAAATAAACCCAGCATTAAGCAGAATGGCTCTCTGGACACTACCCAAAGCCTGTAACAGTTATCAAATTTCATACATAAATCTCACAATGCTCATCTTCCCACTTTTCCCTATTAAACATTTATGGTTTTGTTTGCAAAGATCCTGCTGGCTCCGTTCACACCAGGGATACTTATTTTCCCCTCCCCTTCCCTTCCCTCCCTGTTTACAGCTCCCAGTGGGTCTTCAAAGAGTCATAGTTCCCATCAGAATAACTCTGTGTATTTTTTTCCAGAAGCAGTAACCTACAGCCATCATCAAACTTATTTTATATCGTATTTAGCATGAAGTTTCATAACTGTGATAGCTAGAAACAAGCTTCCCAAAGTTCACTTTTAATGGCAAACATACCCTTAACCTGTAGGAAGTTTCCATGCTTCCTTTCAACCCTGGAGTTTTAGGAAATAAGCAAAAATTAACCCAGCAGTGCATAGAACCCCTGCCTTCTTCACAGCTCCAAATGTCAGAGGAAAGTTGGACATGGTGCCCCACTACCCTTTCCTACAAGAAACAGTGGAAATGGGCTTCTTTGGCAACCAAGGTCAGGACTTGACTTAAAAGCTCCTTAGTTGTGAATCAGCATGGGCAGGTGCAGACCATGAAAATTTATGGCCTGTCAAAAATTGTTGGTGTCAGCTGAAAAAACATGTCAATTTACTTTAAACTTTTGAACACCCTATCCCGGAAATGTGACAAAGTAGGAATTCCCTGTTGGAATTTAAAGACATTTGTTCATATCTGTGGAAACTGACCACATTCTACAAGGAAGAAGTGTTTTCTGGATGAGTTTCTTCCTGCCAGCATCCCCTTCAACTTCAGGCTCCTAGGTGCTAAAGCTCAAGTATGATTCAGGCATAATAAGTCCCTATGGATACTTATCCTACTGGACCAATTAAAGCATTGGTACCACGTTACAATACTTTTTTGAAGCTAACTGAAAAGAACCAGATACTCACTGTTATTTCACACAAGAAATCCAAAGTTGGTATCAACACTATTCAGTATCATACTGCAGCCAGTCTGGCTCTCTTTCTAGCATGCCTGCACCATACACATGTTTTTAGATACCCATCAATTTTATTCATAATTCATATGTTTCATTATGTCTATTTCAGAGGATATGTCTAATTCCGAGTGTATGTATGAAGTCGTCCTTCTTTCCTGGCTCTCACCAACCATTTACAGAAATTGAAAGGAGAATATTTTATAATGTATTCTTCACAATGTATGACTAAGATAACCACTTAGAACAGTAATGTAAAATGCTTGTATAATCATAACCCACATGCTGCCTTTTTCAGTGTCTTTTTTCCCATTGTACTACAGATTCATCCCTTTTGAAGTTCTAATTAATTTTCTGTACATGCTCTCTATACTCCATTGTTATCCTCTCACAAAGAGAAGGAATGAATTATCCAATATGATTTTTTCTACTTACAAAACCACATAACTGCTTCTTGCATCGAGGTATATTTCCATTTGGGACACTATTTTAACTTTATTCACAAAAAGATAATAATTTAGAACAGTCATGCAGTTTAACAGTAGTTAAAAGTAGAAACCGTACTGACAACACCTAGAAAACTAACTAAAATTCAAGTGTCATTTACCATTTATACTATTCTTTTCTGCTGCCAGGCTGTCTCCCAAGGAACAATTGAGATCAAATGTACACCGACCTAGGTAGCACTCATTCACCATCTCATTTAAATGCTCGTAGAAGTGGCAATGATATAGCAAGGCCTGGAGGGCAGTTTTTCCAATCAGAGATAGACCAGATTCTTCATCATGCACGCAAGGTCCCTGGGAGGGGGAGAAACAGAAAAAGACCTTGTCAAAATGTTTCCTTACAGCACTTATTGTCAGTCTAGCAGGTTTACCCCCTTCCCATCACAGGAGGTATGATCAAGGATCATTGTGTCATTAAAATGAAAATGCGACAGTATGTAGCTTATTTACAGAATTCAGCTTCCTGAAACCTCAGCTTTCATTTTTTTTTAAAAAAGCAACTTTCTAGCCCTTGTGGTTGCTGAGAATTGCTTGACAATGTGTGAGCAATGTCAGGTGAATCTCAGAAATCTGAACTGAAGAACTGCTGAAATAGGCAGTTCAGCTCATGATTCCTAATAAGTACAAGACATGTGCAAAATAGTAAAAACTGCAGAAAGGTTAGACAGAATAAGTGAAATTAAGGTAATGTGGATAATGTATACATTTGGGGATTAATTTATACATTGCTTAGGCATAGTATTGTTTTCCCCACTGCTCCCAACTTCTTAGTACAAAGAAAATAGCTCTGGGCATCAGAGATTTATGAGGAAACAGATGAAAACAACTGAATAAAATGTGCTTGCTGAACTCAGCTGGCAAACATTGATTTTTGGCACTTTCTGGACTTTGGAAAAGGGAGGGGGGTCACAAATGTTCATGTACTGAAGTACCATTTGTTCTTTTCAATTTTTCACCAATATAAACATTTTACTTATTTCCAGCACTTTTGCTGAAAATAACACACTCATAACAAGATAAATAATTCTGTGCAGTGTGGTTCTTTTTGGTTCTAACTTACAGAGTGCCAATCAATGTGAAGAAAATGTCAGCAATATGTATTGATAGAATTAAGCATGACAATGGCCTAATTTTGGAATTTCACAGATGTTCAGCATGATGACACTGAGTCAAAGTTCTGATATTTGGTTCCACTGATGCCAATTTACAATTACCACAGAGGTGTCCTAAAACCCACTGGAGTCAGTTACATGTTAGGCTCTTTTCTGTGCAGTGACTTTGACTACCTTAAACCCGCATAATATCTCAATTTACACGTGTTGGCTTACTGACTGCAAAAGCAGTTTCATTTTCAAAAGGGGGGAACCTAACGATCAGGTGAACAGTAACATCAGCAAAACAATAACTTATAGGAAAGCATTAATTATTATTATGCATTACATAGTCTTCCAATTATCTTAATACAGCAACAATATATATTGCTTTTTTAACATCCAATATTCAGATAAATACTGTCTAGACTGATTTAAACAGATAAAACATAAAACTTGTTTTAGGTAAATCATTTAATTTTTTTCATGTTTTCATTTAAACTTTACTATTTATTCACATATTACTGGCATGGATAAGAAAAGTTTACTCAAAGACAGAGAGTGTACAACCAAAGTTGTACCACTTCTTCTGCTGCTGTGTTCAGCAGCGCTTTTGAACTGTGGAAAAATCTTGCAAAATCTTAGAATGCTGATTATGCATGGCTCTAAACTGTATGACAAACCTTCTTAAGTCCAGCATAACTCCAAATAATGCCAAAGAGGTGTGTACAGAGCTAATTTTGAAGCCCACACATGAAAAGTGCTTTTGTCAATCTATTTAAAGAAAGTCTGCATTTTTTTCAATATTAGTGATATCCTAAAAATTAAATTATATCAGGTATCCCTTCTCTTTTATATGAAAGCATATTCACAGTCTTAAATAATTTGCCATGCAAAATTATCTTGTTTTATTAAATAATGATACATGCCATTTCTTTACATCCATGGTGACTACATCAATACATTTGCAGATGAATGGTCTAATTAAAAATGGCATACTTTCAATCTGCAATATGAAAAATTAAAACACTAATCTAATACCTATTAATGTTTTCAAACTATAATCACACACAGTAGCCTTGAGCAACATTGGTTTTATGTGTGTATATCAGGAGAAAGGAGGCAAGAAAGATGTATAGGAACATATATTAATGAAACAGGCATTCATGACATCTGCAGTATCGTGGAATCTTATGGCAGTGTTTTTCTTAACATTATTGTACTTATATAGCTCCTTCAAAATGAACTTTACAAGAGTGGAAGGGAACAACCCTGAATGTGTTTTGCTACTGAAATTAAAAGATTATGGTGGCTCACTTAACAGTTCTAAAAGGTGCTTGGTAAATTTGACAATCCTTTAAAACATGTGAGAACAGCAGCTGGGATAAAATGGATATGTGTTAATCTGGAAGTGGCAACAAACATTTAAACAGTATTTTGAAAGTATTTCATTTCATATTAAAAACCATTAAGGTACAGGTTCAAAACCAACAAGTTTGTTGTAAGCCGTCCAGAGAGAGTAATGGACGGCATACAAATTTGATAAATAAATGGGGTGTTTACCAAATCCTCTGTATTAATCTGTGCTGACATGTGTTTTCCCTTACAATCTGGAATTCCATTTACCTAAATCATCTTTCTACACAACTGCAGTTACCTAGAACATTGGGTGCCTGTGTATTCCTCTCTTTGGTGCCACTAATTCTGAAGGGAGCTGAGATAGGAGCCTCAACAGTTGGCCATCAGCATGGGTAAAAATGTTGGACTGAAAACATCTGGCTATTTAACACTGAATTGCTCTCCTTGAATCAGGTTTGTTATTGGATGTAATATGGTACATTGGTATGTTATTTCAGGAGATGCCTCATTTCTGTCAGGACTATAGACCTGGAAGAGCATCAACACCAACAAGATAACTATTGCGTGAACTTTAGAGGTCACTGTTGTCTCACTATCCCAGTGCCTAAGAAAAAGATGGTTCTGAGGCTGGGAGCAGCAACAGAATTAAAGCAGGAACTTCTAGTGATTTAGGAAAAGTCCTCTGACACATTTGTTCCCTGGTACCTCCCTTTTACTACAACTGCCTTTGAAGGAAGGAAACCAAGCCAGGAGCCACAAGTTACCATTTCATACTTCCAATGACACCTGGTATCCTGAAGACAGACAGTTTTAAAGAAGACACTTGTTTCTCTTTGGCTCCATAAAAGCCCTTAGGCAGACTCTTGTCCACTGCCTGGGCACACTTCATTGGAGCCATCCTTGCAAGGGCAATATCCAGCCATTACTCAGATTTTATTAATGTGAGATACTTTGAAAAGCATGTTGATTGAAAAGCAGCATATAAATATTGTGATACAAAGTACATATAATAAATGGCATACATCAATTACCCAAAAGTTACTTTCATGGGGAGGGTGGGGGAAACGCTTGAAGTGAATGGAATTGGCAAAGCTAGGTGATTCTCTAGACTAATTTACAACACATTTTTACACCCACTATGTAAGGTTAGCATAACTTTACATATATGAGGTTCAGGTGTTGTCCAGTACAGCCAGAAATCCTTTGATTAAGGATCAATATAAGAGAGAGAGAGTGTGTGAAGTGGGGAGGATCTTTTTGCCCTTCCCTCCTGAAAGTATTGGAGTCATTATAAGAATCTGCATTTCCTTGCACATCTAAAATGTATCTAAGGCAGCTGGCACCCTTTGTTCCCTTTAACAAGAGCATAAAATACCAGATGCAATCCTACTGATGAACAGCGACAACAGATCAAGTCAACTAGTCACCTGCCAAATGGGGTCTTTGGCCTCTTCAGTGGGCAATGGAATCACTAATAGATTCTGAAGAATAAATGCAGCCTACAAAGAGAAATAAAACATCAACAGTGCCATCTGGCTGCAGTTAAATAACCTAACTCAAATAGCCAGCTACAAATATATACTAAATCACTATGAATGCAATGACTGCATTTAAGGCACAATCTTCTATTTTAAGATTCCAGAAGCTATTTGAACGTTGAATTTTTCAGTCATCAGTTTAAAAACATTTCAAATGTTATATAGTACTGTACAACTGAAGAAATTTTTACATGAAATCCTTACCCCAAATCATAGCATAAATAGATGAAAATTTGGAATAGGTGCATGCATACAACTTATTTTTTGTAGTAATATCTTTAACTGTTGATACTTCAAGCCAATTCTCTGAATGTTGCCTTCTGAAAATTATTTGTACCTTGTTTATGTGGTATGAAAACAGTTGGCTTCTTTCATGTTTAAAATAACTAGGGGGCTCTTGTTTATTGTACTGAAAATTCTTACTCTTAGTAAAAATATAAGTAAGGAAAAAACTTGATAAGCACAAGAAGGTGACTTGGGATGCGACCAGGCAATCCTGAAGTGCCCACCAAAGTAGAAACATCTGGCTTGTTTCTGGTCTTCCTACATAAAACATTACTTCTATTCATCACCTCCAGACATACCCCAAGATAGAGAGCTTTCCACCATTCTGCTTTGGCAGACTCAGATGCGATTCAAATAGTGCTAGAACTATTTAAGGCATCATGCTTAATGTCCCTTATAAATTTTACTAGGTGAATTTTAATGAAGGGGAACTGTATTGAACAAAGGAAACATAGGTTTTAAAACTTATAAATACATTGATTAACTAAATCCTGATATAATCAAGGTAATAGAAACTTAGGCGGAAAATATTTCTAGGTATTATATTCTTTAAATCACCTCCTTGGTTTCTTTTTTTCTTAATATTTATGATTCCAGCCAAAGCAAACTCAAGAATTAACTGGAGAGGTGCCTAACTCTGTCCTGGCAGAATTAATGAAACTTCAAAATGATTTTCCTTGGCCAAATCATGACTAATATGATTGAATATTTCTTTCAATTTAAATCTGAAAGTATTCCATGTAGTTGAGTGCTTTATCTTAGCCAGGAGGGAATAAAGAACATATTTTGTTTTAGGTTTAAAAGTGCATTTTGTATACATTTCACAACATTCAAAATGCACCCTGATTTAGAACAGAGAATTTGGCATCTGTGTTCAATAACCCAATGGCAGATGGAATCAATTATGGAGATGCAACACTTCTAAAATTTACAGATTTTTCCCAATTGGGAGGATGGCAAGTATTTTGGGAACAGAATAATAATGCAAATAAAGGTTTAGAAACAGATCCAAATTTCACCTAAACTACAATTATGTTTCCCTTTGACAAATAGCAGAAGATCACATTATTTATTCATTTCATTTTTATACCACCCAATAGCTGAAGCTCTCTGGGCCTTTTGGGATGCAAGACTGAAATATTTCTTTATCTTCCTCACCATAATTTTTGGGGCAAATACTAAAATGGTGACTAGGAAGGGAAGGATTAGAGATTCAGGATGGTGCTGCATCCTGAAATACCTTTTCAGGAATGTATGAAGGGGCTGAGAAGGGTATATCAAAGATTTGTTGTATATACTGCCTTTTGATTATGCAACTACTGACTACAATTCAAAGGTAATAAAAGCAGTGTTTCATTAAAATGTGCCTTTGTGAATTCTATCCCAAAACAATATTTTAGAGGGACTAGGATATGCCTACCTCTCTTCGGACCATGCTGCATTCAGATTTGTCCAGGAGAATGTTAATCACTGTTCCCCATAAGCCTCCTGAAATGTTCTGGCAGCTTTCAGCTAAAGCAAAGCAACCTACTTCAAGTGATGTAAGTGCTGATCCGATTGCGAGTGAGGTGAATTTCACCTAAAATTAATGAGAATCAAATAAATTTGCATATTAAAATCCAACACTGTATTAACCTTGTAATTATATTTCATACAAATTTTTCATTACCCAGAAGTACCTGGAAAAATTATGAAGTGGTGGTAAGTACAAATACATAATTTTAAAATGTTTTGTCTAAAACTAATTCATAAAAAAAATAAAATACATACAGGCTTCTGCATTCTAATACACACATAAATCAAGACTCAAAACGTCTCAAGTCTGTTCTCTAGGTCTGTTTCTCTGTCCATGGAACCAACTTCTCTTACCCCTTACTATTTTTAAAGTGGTATATATTTGCTGGTCTAACTACCTTCTTGGGTAAACAATTCATATATTTCTCTTTGCCCAAAAAGGAAACAATAGCATAGGAACTATTCATAATCCTTCCAACCAACTTATTAGTTCTAGCACAGGTCAGGTTTTAAACCTAACATCAATTGGGAGCATATCCCTTCTCCATCATTTGACCCTCAAATCAATACTAAACTCAAAACAAATGATCAGATGCCTTAGCTGGGAAGCATTGTGGATGCATGGAAACAACCATATAAGAAAAGGCACAGTGTTATTTTTCTTCCCTTAGAGAGTAATTGTACTTTCCAATGTATGAGATATTCTCAAGCTTAAGAAGAATGAACAAGGAGCCATTAAGGTGAACAATGACACTGACATCTATTAAAGAGAAGGCTGACTTGTGCTGGAGCAATATATGCAGTGGGGAATGTACCCTAGCAGAAAAGATGAACAAGGCTTTTGTTCTGTAGTTCATGTTTCCCATGCTGATCCTTGTTTTGAGAGGGGAAATACGCTTGTTAAAACAGCTTTTCCGCTAACTGCCATCTTGGATTATAAGCAGGCATGGTACTGTCAAGCTTATCCCTCCACTTTTCCTTCTTCCTAAGGGGGGGTGGGACACACACACACAACTTTTGTACGTATAACGGCTATTTCCCCCAGCTGCTTTCTCTCTTTTCTCATATGTGCAACAAATGTTTTCTACAGTTTACTCCAGAGGAGAGCAATTTGCTGAGCAGCAAGGGCCACACCGAAAACACATCATAAACCAAAGGACTAACACAAATTTATAAAATTTGAATCATTAGTAGCATGTAAGTAACATATTTGCACATTATTTTAATGAATATCTGCAGAGAGCTGGAGGATATGCAGCACTTATTCAACAATGTACTTATTAATTCATTTCCCTTTGCCATATTTAAAGCTGGACATGAGATCCAGCCTAGCAAAGGTAATGAACAACTGGTTTTAAGGCTCCTTCATGTTACCTTCCCAGTGCAGATTTAATGCTTGTACAGCAAGGTAAATTTACATGCACATGCTGGACATGAGGCAGAACAGGGCTAGTGGAATACTACTTCTACTCCAGCTAGGTTTGGCAGAGTAAGGCCAACCATTCCCTGCTTGTTTTTGCTTTAATTTTCAGGTGGTGTGCCATTTTCTGTTCTAATTTCCCTGAAACATTCCCCTTTCATCTACAGTCATGGGATCATTAGGTACTCTTGGAGAGGGTGATTCCACAATAACTTCAGATGTGTAATTTCAAAAATATGAAGATACGATTCCAAGATAGGATTGCACTAACCTCTGGGTCTCTGTCTACCCATAATGGAATCAGCCAAGCCAAGCCTTGCCGAGAAAGGGTTTGTTCTTCACTATTGTCATATGGCAAGAACCAGAGAGATACCCAGTCCTGAAAAGAAACATTTTTGTTAAAACTAAAAAACCCTGAATTCGAAACCACAAGTCAGCCTCTATAAAATGCAAACCCTTTCTAGTTTTCTTCCACAATTTAAAATTGTGCATTTTGGTGCACTAGAGAGATACCACTTCTAAGTAACTACTGTGGTAATGGTAGAAATAAGGCACTGGAAGACAGCAGTTTGTACTTTAAACATAGTAGTGCTGTAAGCTCACAAAGGTCATATATAATGTGGTAGTAATAGGGAACCTGGTAGTAAAAGATGTTTTCGTTTTTAAGGCTCAAACTTGGTCACTTGCATTTTCGAACTTTCATTGAAATGTAATTATTTAATCAATACTTAAATCTTCTGAGGCAACAAGAATACCAAGGCTCTGTTTCGGTTGTTGTTAATCAAATCATGTTATTCAGGACTTTTTTCTTACCTCATTTTGGGCCTGAGCCATCATTTCGTGGGACAAGTGAAGCAGACAAAGGATGGCGCTCTTTGTAACACCTTTCCCCATGAAAGACATGGCATTTCCTCCCCATTCAACATAAAAAGATGAGATGACCTGCAACAAGTGGGAAATTCACAGGGGGGAAAAAACAACAGCATGACAGCTTTTACACAAGATTTAATATGATATAAACTGAACTGCAAGTATGAGCTGCTGACCTTTGCAGAACTTGCAGGTTAACTTCACTACATATACATTAGCTGTAACTATCATGTCAAGGATATTTTCAAGTATTATAAGGGATAGTATTTTCATGTGAAAGAAAGAAATCACAGGAGTCTGACTTAAGAGTCCACTCTTGTAACTTGTTTCCTGTTTCCTTAAACTATCAGGTTTTCTCCTATATAAAGTAGACAGGATGTCAAACCAGAAGTTACCTAGCTATTCTGCTATCTTCCTATACAGTTCTGCTTTGATTGTTTGTTTTTTTAAAGAAGGAGCTATGTCAAGCCACCACTCTAATGACAAGGAGAAGTTACTTCTTGCTTGGAAAAGTACAGCGATCCTAACAAATGGTAGACGGAACTCTAACAGCCGCTTTACTTCCACAACTAAAATGCTTTAAGGCAGCTTTTCAGAGCATACATACACAAAGGGAGGGAGGGAGGGGCGGGAAGAGATACGAAGGTCTAGAAAAAAAAATAAATTTTGGAAAACATCTTCTCCAATTTCATATTTTTCCATTTTTCCAATAAAAATGGAGATTTTGAAGCACACTCAACTTCCATCCTTCCCCTGAAGAAATGTTCTCTTTTGGAATGAGGGAAAAGTTCCTCAAAGTGTGTAATACATTTCTTGAGGAAGACAATTTACATGAAAGATTTACATGTATATTTTTATTTATTTATTTATTTATTTATTCAAACAATTTCTATGCTGCCCCATTCGCAAAAAGCCTCGGGGCAGCTTACAATATAAGCGCAGTTTACAATATACTGTAGATGTAAATTTCACACAACTCCAAGAGGGCATTGCCACCTTTCATGATATGAGCATGTAGGGCCAATTTCTTGTGAACGGTTGTTTGGCTTCTGCTGGTGACCACTGGCCAAGTTTGGAGATACTAAATATAAGTATCTGGAAGCTACTGAATTTGTTTCTACAAAACTACATTTGCAATCCTATACTCACTTACCCTGCAGTAAATTTCACTGAACTCAGGGGCTTACTTCTGAGTAAGTATGTATACGATATCCTGGTAAATTGTATACACATGTCAAACAGAACAATTTTATTTGACAAGATAAATGATACCTTTTATATTACTAAAATAGTAAAATCAGGTTAGGGTCAGTAAGTATGCCACAATTTTCAACTGTTTCCCAAATTTCTATTTTACCCAGGCTCCCTGGCACCCCAAAAGCACTATTCTTCCATGTTTTCAAAATTTTCAGAAACATTCTATCTCTAAGTAAGAGCCAGGATAGGATAATCTATTGTCATATTCACTCTGGACCATTTGCTCCTCGTTGAAAGGGCTCATCTATACCATCTTTTCTTGTGAATGGAGCGTCACTCGCAGGGTAAACTGGAAGAATGGGGTGGCAGGGGAATGATAGTTTCATTTTATTCCTATCAGTCCCACTGAAAAGCTACATCAGGTGTTGAGGGACCCTACAAAACCATAGGAAAGACACTCTAAAATTCACCTCCTATCCTTTCTTCTAGTTGGAGCCTCTGCTAGATTTCATAGAAACATAGAAACAGAGCAAGTCAGAAGGGGCTTCCCAGGCCATCTAGTTTGACCCCTGGCTCCAGCCAGCTCCACTCATGACATGACATTTCAATACAATCATTAAGCATTATATTTTGCTTTCTGATTGTACTAAAACAGTAATTCATAACCCACTTACCTCAAGAAGCCCTGCTAAATATTTCTTGCAAATTGTAAATGGCTCCATGGAAACAGAGTATGAACTCCAACCTGGGAATGCAGTAATATGAACCATTCCTCTTAATGTTCTCTCCAAAGAAGGCAATCCATAGAAATGGGGTGCATCTGTTACACGCAAATACTGCAGAAGTTTCAGGGCTAGCTCTGTTCGGAAATAGCCAATAAGTTCTAGGTCTTTTCTGTAATAGACACAGAAATATGATAACTCAGGCATGATGCTTTATTGCTTTACAACAATCATCATTTAGGTAATCGAAGCTAATGTACTCAAACAAAAGGTGAAAGCATGAGAAAAGCAGAAGCTACTGTCCCACAGAAGTATTAACCCACCTTAGGCTTTTCTATATTTTGTTGTGTCACAATTTGAAATTGAAATAGATTTTATTGGCACTGTTAGCACTTAATGCACACAAGACTCTCAAACTATATGAATGTGCAAGGTATTTTTTATTGTAAACATGGAAGCAGGGTCAGCAGCCATTGCAGCTGCGAGTCATGTGGGGTAAGTCTCTGTGCAACCAGATCCTGCAGTGTTTGCCCATCCTTCCTAGCAAAACTCCTCCCTCTCTGCCTGACTCGACAGGGACAGTTTGTGGAAGCCGCTCCGAGGCTTCGGCGGATGGGGCGGCATAAAAATGTTTTAATAAATAAATAAATAATAAATAACTTTGAGGACTTGCTACAGTTGGATCAAGGTCTGAACTTTGACTGGTTCTTGTTTTCAAACCACTCCAGTGTTGCTTTGGCTGTTCAGGATCATTACCCTGCTGTGATGTGAACCTCTGCCTCAGTACCAGGACACTTACAGACCAATACAATTTTCCTTTAGAACGGCTCTGTATTTGGCTCCATCCACCTTGCCTTCAAACCTGACCGACTTCCCAGTTCTGCGTGAGAAGCATTCCACAACATGCTGCTGCCCTCAGCATGCTCCACAGTGAAGACGACGTTCTCACAGCAATGAGTGCTGCTGGCATTGTCCAACACACAGCATTTTGCAGCAAGGTCCAAAAGTTCAGTCTTGATCTCATCAGATCAGAGAATCTTTTTTTCACATTCAGTATGTCCCCCAAGGCTGTTTTGCAAACTCCAAATGGGCTTTGATATGACTTTGTTTCAGCAATGGCTTTCTTCTCTCCATTCTTCCATAAAGTCCACCTGCTGGTACTCTGGGGATTGTTCACTGTTTAATGGTGTGTTTTTTTAGATAATCCAACCCTGACTGGTGTTTCTGTGCTTTATCCTGGTGTTGTTTTGATAGCTCTGCATGATGCTCTCTAACAAAGTTTGGAGCCTTCCAGAAACGGACGCATTTAATCTGAGATTCAACTATTTTTATGTGTCTTCTGGAGCCAGTGACTTACACAGCAAAGAAGTGGAATACTCATGCAACCAATACATTTTAGTATGTCTTTCTCTACTTAACTTTTGTGTCACAAGAAAAATATTTTGCACCTTCACTGTGTTGAGTATTTGGTGTCTATCAATTGGTAAAAGAGGCAATGAAGTCCATTTCAATTCCAGATTGTAATATTTGGAAAAGTCAGAGTGCTGAATATTTTTTCAAGGCAGTATAATTACTTGTGTAAGGACATAATGTAAGATACTGTAACTGAGAGAGAAGACAAACATGAAGAGGCCAGAAGGGCTTCCAGTTTCAAGAAAAGCTCCCCACGCCAAAAAAAAAAAAAAAAAAAATCCTAGAGCTCTTGTTGAGATACAACTTCTATCATGCTAAGCCAACAGTTTTCAAACTATGTTTCAGGTAGCTCTGGAGCTCCTTAAAAAATGGAACAGCAATGTCTGAGAAACTTTAATAAACCTATAATAAATCTTTCAGGATAAGAAACTATCCCAAGATGGGTTAGAAAAATCAAAATCTACCTCCTGGGCCCTGACAGCTGCTAACAACCAGCATTTATACAGCTCAATAAACCAGTGAGCAAAAGAGAAGACAAGACTACACACACTTCTCTCGGAAGAGAATTTCATAGCTGTGGAACTACCACTGACAATTCCCTGTCTTGGGTGTGTGTGGCAGGAGAAAGGTTAGCAAGGAAAGTTGAGGAATTTGAATAAGAGAAAGTTTAAAATGCCCACAGACAGAATTTAAGTCAGAGAATGGAGTAAACCTAAGAATTTCTATCTTGGGCAAAAAGCAAAGGCAAACTGCGCCTCTGAGTCTTGAAATAAAAAGTGTATTACATAACAGCTACATTTCCTGGTCAATAGGAGCAGTTGAGATGTCTTTAGAAAAAAAACCTCTTCTCCTTGTTGCCCATCACACTTAAAAAGGTTGAAGGGTCTGGATCAATTTAATAATCAAATTGTTGTATTCCTCACTTCTGGACAACACCTTTTATGCTATACCTGTCAGAAACAGACATGAAGCTGAGCAGAAGTGTATTAAAGAAGGCAATCAATTCTTTCTGCAGTTGTTGTCTGACAGCAATCCTTAGGTCATCTACTTCATCTTGTGCTTGGGATTCTGGCTGCACCACAAGGTCTAGCAGAGATTTTGGATTCTGGAGAGAAGATCAGTGAAACACCTTCAGAATATAACTAATATTTCATTAGCTATTCAGTGCAAGAGCTTAGGAATCAGCGGCATCACTTACATGATAGAGAACTTGTGCATATGGCATGCCAAGCCAACCTTCAAATAAGCATTGAAGAGAACCCATTTTGTTTTGTTCAGCTGTGAATTCTGGTTTGTTTGTGTATAACAAACCATGCATGGCTGGGTTCAGGCAACATAATAACAATTTCAACAACAGGCAGGTCAATGGCAACTTCCACTGAGGCCTTATTCAACCCTTCGGATGTTTTCTGAACCCAGTCATAAATGCAATAAATGGTTATAAATCTATAAAGCAAGAAGATATTTTAGTTCAAATTTTCTTAGTAAATTATGTCAAATGAACTGTACTGCAATCCCACACAATAAAGAAACTATGATATTCAATAAGCACTTTCCTAGTGCTGTGTAAATTTCAAATGACCAGATGCTGACAGACTCCCCTCAGAAAAAGCACAGATTTAAGAAGCAGTTTATCACTGGAACACATCTCTTCAGACACAATGAGCCTTTGAAGTCTATTTTCTTTTCTGAAAAAAATGAATGTGTTTATCATTCATTCATAGCAAGAGATTTAAATTCTGTACCATGTGCATCCAATTTATCCTGAGAAACAAATGCAACGTTTTGTTGCTGGGAAAACATGCTCCATTCCCATTGTGCACATTATTGTACCTGCTTTGTGTGAAGTTCTTCTTTAGCACAAGACCTGGTGCAAGAGTTTACAGAGATAATTTAATATGATTCCCTATCTTTTAATAGTTTTAAATCCCTTTAAATAAGGCAAAATAATCTGTAATGGCAAAAATGCAGGAAGATCACCCTTTGTGAAGCATCTCAAAGGGGAAACTGCACACAGCTCAGCCACTGCAGTTTGCTTTACAATAAAGAGCTGTTTGTGCTCCAGGCAAATGAGGAACTCTTCATTTATTCATGTTGCTTTGGATCAAAACAATTTTGTGTAAAGTTCTAGAGAGGATTACCAGCTTCTCAGTGCTTCTTTCCCAGTAACGGCTGCAGGAATTCTATTTATTTAGGGTACACTTGTATAAGTTGGGCACCCAACACAATGATATTCTGTTTCAGTGCAGAAACTGAATTATGAATATGAGAACAAGGGTACTAGATTGAACTGTAGCAGAGGTAGGAACGCTGGTTCTTTTCAGTTGTTTTAGACTACAGTTCCTATAAACACCTGCCAGTAAGTGCAACTGTCAGAGAATACTAAAGTTGTCATGTGTAACATCTGGAGAACATCAGATGTTCAGAGAACCCCTACATTAGAGGTTTGCTTCTGCTAAGACTTGGGAACCATTGTCAGCCACAGTGGAGAGTATGAGATTAAGTTAAGCATAGGCAATCAGTGGTCCTCCTGATGTTTTGGACTACAACTTTCCTTAAACCTAGTCAACATAGCCCATGGTGAGGAATGATGGAGCTGTAGGCCAAAACATCCAGATGGTTACAACTTGACCACCCCTGTGTTAGATGAGTCAATTATACTTACTGGGCGTAAGCAACCTAATATGCTGGATCTAGTCAAGAAAGAAGGGCATAGGAGTGAGTAGCTGGGTGCATTCTATAAAAGGATGCTACTATTTGCACTGGAAAGAAGGGTTAAAGAGTTTTTTGCCAGTGGCTCATGCAGACACAGCCTGTGCTGCTAGACCCTACTAAATTGAAAATAAGTATCCTATTATAATTAATTGCTAATTGGGCTCTTACATTCTTCAGGACTACATCCAGGATCCATTTTAGGTGTTCAACTTCTGAAGTAATCTTCTGTTCCTTCAGAAAGGTGTTTAGAAAATGAATGACATCAGCCAATAACTTCTCATCTTCTGAAGAAGCTGGAAGCACCTGAAGAAACCTTCAGCATAAACAGAGGTTTTGTTTATGTATTGGTACATCTTTAACATATAGCTTGTTTGACGTTCCTACTATTCTACAGGCTTGAAAGATCAAGTTAAACTGAGAACTTTAACGAAAGCTGGTAATACTGTACCAGCAAGAGAAAATTTTAGGAACATAATGGTTGAATGCAAGATATTTTTAAAAAAATTAAACAAAATAAGAATTCAAGCCATGATATCAATATATCATGTGACAAATGGGAACCCATAAAACTTCTCAGTGAGTGGATTGACACAACAAAAGAAAAACAGGCTGTGTTTTCCTTTGTCCATCCTTCTGTTATGGCATTCGTGACTCACACCACATGCACAGACAGAACAGAAATTACTTCTGTTAAACATCTAACTGACCTGGGGACCACATGGGCCATGTAGGTTAGAAGAAGAATGAACAACCTGAAGGGGGAAGTGCAAAAGGGGTATCTACCCAATGCTTGGCCCAATGCATTAGTTGAGCATCAATTATCTTCTTGGGCTTTTGATTAGGTTGAGTAGGGGATTGGAATGAAGTTGAATGAACTGGAGGGAAGGAACACAGCTGTATAACAGCATTCTTTCTGGATCTTCAGCACATCCATCCTATTGGAAGCACTTATTAAGTAGGTTTGCACATCATGCTAAACCATCCTGTGAATGGTAGGCTGGATTACTTCCTTCACTACTGGAAATATGTATTGGGGGCTGGGGTTTCACACACCATGCTGAGCTAGTCTACATATAAGCCACTATGGGTTGGTTCTTCACAGAACATTCTGCTGTGTGCCTGACAGGCATTTGGACTTACTGTTACCCCTCAGTCCTCCAGTCACTTCCAGCAAAACCCTCAATGCTCTCTGCAGCAAAAGCCATCTTGTTTCCCCCACCTGTACCAATCACCAACTCTTTTTGCTTGTTTGTCCCTGTTTTCTCATTTTCTAGAGCCTAAAAAGGGGCAATTGGGCTTGCATTATTGATTTATGGTTTTCACAAGTGCTCTCTTATGGCCATCTAGCCTTGCCTTGTCTTTTTCAGCTGCCATAAGGAGAAGTCAAGTGGAGTAGTTAACCTACATAAAACCTGATGAAGACTGCATGTAGGCTAATTTGTACACAGTCGCCATGGGCCAGTTGCCAATTGAAAAGCACCAGGAAAGAGGAGGCAAAAGAGGCAAAGGAAGAGTGTCAAATTGAAACAGGGAGAGCCCCAAACACACAAAATATCTCCCCTCAGCAGTGCAATTCTGTCAAATTTGAAGCATTTAAATGACAATTCTAAGGGCCCTCCACCTTTTCAGCACTTAGTGCAGAAAGTAAAAATAGTAACTCCCACTCACTCCCACTTTCATGACTTCTACTTTGCAGAATTTACTACTGTAGTTACTGAAGGTGCAAAGATTTCCTCTCCATTTACCTCCAAGGCTGATCAGGCAAAGAAACCCAGGAACCATATCTACAAATACTTGCTTTTGGTGAATAAATATGATACAGAGAGTCATGAATGGACCTACATTGCCTAATCAGTGCACTGCAGCTTCGGTTTTAACATCTACCATGTCTATGGATCTTAGGTCACATCTTAGCAAAAACTTTGAGTTTACTGAAGCATTTCTTTTAACAAGGGTTTGTCTCAATTGGCTAATTATTGAAGATAATGCTTCTTTTAACTATTCTTTTTGGCAATGCTCAATACTTGTTTCTTTATGTGAATAAGCTATTCTTTGCAATGGCATGCTTTAGAATTTACTGATGTATATATTTGCCAAAATTATCTCATTACTTCCTAAAATTATTGAGTGGTCAGCACAAATGGATTCTCTTTTGAAAGTTAAAATACTGAAATTCTTTTGAAAGTTGAAAAACTTATATTCCATTATTGCAGCACTCATCTCATATAACACAATAGAATGAATATCTTATAGCAGTTCCCATATCTGAATGGATGATGTATGACTGCCACCTGCAAATGTTTGAATATTTGATATTCACTTGTTTGGATATTTGTATGCTTTTGTTGAAGTTGATTCTTAGAAAGTCACACACACACACTCTTCATCTGAATGCACCTAAAGTGATACACAGAAATTTATGCAGCTATATTTTTCTCCTTTTTTGAACTTCCAAATAAAAAATATTTTAAAAATTCTTCCTATCATATTGCAATAGGAGATCATTATGGGCAGAGAAACAGGAGACACTCCTATACATGCATTGTAGTGTCTCATTCAATGTTCCAGTTAGCCTATGAATTTGAAAATGCTATTTCTTCTCACTGCTAGACACAGACAGGTTTATCACTTTAAAGATATTGGCTCTAGTGGCAATGCTTTGGAGGACTCCAAAGAGACTGGTTATCTTTGAAAGTTTCAAAGCCAAATCTATTGTGACAGATGGCTTTGTAGCCACTTATGTACCTTAGACTTACATACTGACCTGCTTAATGCTGATTGCCAAGCCAAAAACTTCAAAGTAGCCCCACAAAGGCCACTGCTGCACATTAATGCCAGTCTGTCATTCAGAATATAAAAATTCATTCTTGTGACAGCAGCCCTAACTTCCCTGTGGGACACCGCTTGAATGATTGAATTAAGACAGTCTTGCAGTCCACTGGTTGCATGAGTTATCCTCAGTGTAAGAAGATCCTCAGAAGAGAACTTTAATGTATCTGAAAATCTGAAATGAAAAATTAAATAAAAATAACTGTAGGCAATAGTTAAAGAGAGACTAATGAAGAAATTAATGTTTTCATCTTCTTTCCTTTAGAAAATGCATTTTAGTTAGACAGTATGCATCTTGTTTTAGAGGACAGGCACTAAATATTACATGCCTATTATAATGCCTATGTTTTCAATACTTTTCATTTACTACAACTGGTAATACAGTAATCTTTCACAGCTGGTCCCAGGATATATAATCAATAACAAACATAAGTGATAAGCAAAATGTCTCATGCTCAGTCTGAAATTAGTACAACTCAAAGAAGTTAATATGGTTGGAATTTGGAGCTGGCCTCAAATCAGTCTTGGCCTGGAATAGGAATCCAGCCCAAGAAAGAACCAATGACTCACCTATCTACCAGTTCTACCTCTCTTTCGCAAGCTTACCCTGGTGAGAGGAGGCGATAGCAACGGGAAAATATTTGTAGGAGGACACCTAATATTTAAAGCCTGGTGGCGTCACAAGTATATGCTGGAATATCATTGATACCAGGAAGATATTATTCATGCTAACAGACACTGCTGGGCATGTCTGTGGGTTTATTCCATTCTTAAACATGTGACCCTGCTGCATGCCAGTCTTGCCACTGCCACTTGCCCCTCTCTACAGCAAGTTTGTCAAAGGTAAGGGTAATAGGAGAGATCCCACTGGTACTGATTAAATCCTTTGTGCTGAAACATTTGAGGGTTAGAACCAGGTGAATCAGCCCACAAGAAATGCCAATCTGAAATGTTATCCCCCTTGGCACAATGAGAAACACTACAAAATCCTATTATTAAAAAGTTCATAGCGACATTTCAATCATGTTGGTTCCTAGAACAGGAAATGGGCTTCCCCTTAAACCAAACCAAACCAAACCAAACCAAACCAAACCAAACCAAACCAAACCAAACCAAACCTGACTGCTGGGGGAAGCAAAATATATAATTTTGGAATTCCTTTTGAATAGATAAGGCTATTCTATCCAGTAATGACAGAACAATGCTTGCACTTCTTAATATGTGATGGGAATCGGCTGTCACCTTTCATTAGTGGAAGGCAATATACTATCCTGTATGTGTTGGACAAGAGCTTTCTTGTATGTCTGGAGAACACAGAAGCCCTGACTTTCCTCTTAAGGAAACTCAGACTTTTTTCTTACTTATGTTAGCAGACCACAAGTGTCATTTGAAGTCCTGAATCCTAATAAGCTTCCAACTGTCATAATGAATCAATTCCTCTTAATTCCTAATGGATCAAACATTCAGAACTAAGATAATTTTGCTATCCTTCAGAAGTACAAGCTGATACCATCTTGAGTGAATAAGAAGAGATTAGCAACTGCAGTATGGATTAAGGATTATAGTACAGTACACAGTATGGCAACCAGTAGAGCTCAAACAATTTCACCCAAAATTAAAATGCTGCTTCAAATTCTACCATGGACGCAGATTAATAGCTTACTGTTCTGTTGCTGTCTCATAACTGGTGAGTTTTAGTATGTTATCAACTCCATGGAACCAAGACAAATTCCAAGCCATTTTAAACATGTTTGACACAGACTTTGAGGCCCAGAGTTCACCAGAAAATGGCAACACCACTGAGTTGGGACTCACGGCATGATAACCAGCAATTCTAACAGGTAGATGATACCTTTAAGGGGGAAAAGAGAAACAGTAAATGTTAAAAAGCTGTTTTTCCTTAGGTTTTGGCTGAGAGGTGACATAAAGGAGAACACAAAATCACATTTTGCAGTTTCCAAAGAGAGACATAGTACAAATGGCAGCAAGGTCTTCAGTTAACAGAAGTATACTGCAGATAAGAATACCCAAATGTTACATGGGACATGTTTGCATGTCACCCCAACACACCTTGGTGATAAGCCATGTAGGCTGATTGCCATGCAAGCAACCCACAAAGAGTCCGACAGAGAATCAGCTTCACTATGGAGTATTGGCCCCCTCCTCCACATCTGCCCTCTCCTGGGTATCACAACCATCACCATGGAAGAATCAAGTTGTTTCCCCACTTGCTGCTGCAATCATGAATTATTTTTTGCTCAATGAAGCTTTTTCCTTTTAGCTTTTCTTTTTGGCCACCCACCATGGATTGTCATATACTGTGAATCCAGTCACTGTATGCCTACGAGAAGACTACGCATACAAAAGATATGTTTACTCTCCCTTGTGAAGTCTATTTATGCCAGCCCACTGGTCTGATAGCCCTTGAACACTGAAAGCTAAGATGCATTCTTATCATTCACTTTCTAGAGCAAAAATAACAGCCTGCCTAAATTGAAAGATGTGACAACATTTCTGAAAAATTCATAAACTTTAGTATTCCAGCATGCTTCCAGGGGATGCAAACAATTATTGGGAAGTCACCAGGAAGTGTTCTACATGGCAAGTCCAGAAGAAGCTTTTGTTCTGAGATTCTGTGACATATCAAAGGAAAAATCTGTTGACGTGGACACTTACACGCTAGGAATGCAAACAATTGTATTCACAGATGGATACTTCAACTAATAATGCAAAGCATTAAAATCAAAGCTATTTAGGTCATGAAAAACCAACAAAAAAGGCACTTTGGATTTGTATCCATAACAAAATGTATGTATATTTTGCTATACATAAAATATATAAGAGAACATAGATTCATTGCAATTGATTCCCTCAAATTTAAATGTAAGAAAATTGTAATATTTTCTTTATCCCTTTTATTTTTGTTTGAGTTTTTTTTTATTTTGGAACTCACAAAAATAAAACAAAATTAAAAAGAAGGGTGCTAGTGTAATACCTGGAGGTTTGGTTAATGTAATCAAGACATAGAGGGGCTGTATGCTGTAACAGCTGAAGTTTCTAATAGCGAACCTACATGACTGGGAGAGGCTACACACTATCATACTCGGACTTTCAAGGCCTGCCAAGTGTTATGATGGGTTATCTAAACATTTGCTTTCAGAAAGTTATTAAATTCACAGAAAAGATAAATATTTTTGCAGGGATTAGTCACTCTTGCTGTAGCAACATTACACAAGGGATGCTTCAAATATAGTATAAGAATCAAAAACATCTTACCAAGTTAACAGTCTGTTATATTACTAGTGATATATCTTGGTTACAAAAGAGAGACACTTACCGTCTCACAATAGCAACAGGCAAACTAAAAGGGAGAATGCTATTAGAATCACAGGAAAAAGTATCAGCCCTATAAAAATAAAATAAATTTATATTAAAAATACTCTGTTAGTTAATCAGTAATTTGTATGCTGGCAAATTCAAACAATACTCCTTATAACAAAAAGATTAACTGAGTCTGAAGCTGTTTATTGTTAAATACATTCCATTATTGAGAAAGTTATCAAAATGGGGTTTTGCAGAATTATCAGCGCTAAGAATACGTAATATATTAACTGTTAATTATCTATTTGATCTACAGGATCAAACTGAGATATATACCAGGATACTATAAATAACTTCTGCTAATACATTAAAAATGTCTGGGACTGATTTCAATTTTGAGTTTATTATATTGACCCTTCTTAAGTAGCATTGCCGCCTGTGGCATTGCTTTGGATAAAGACTACAAAACCTTTCACTTGAATGAAGGAAAAATACTGGATTAAAGCTTTCTAATGTTGTATTTCTTAATCTAATGGACTTCAGCTTATTCACAGACTTGGTTGAATTACATGCGCACTTGAACCCTACCCACCATGCGGTCTCTACATAGTTCTAGGATGAAGGATAAGAATAAAATAATCTCTGGCATTCCAGATGATGGTAGTTATAAATAAAAGAGAAAAGTGGAGATGCACAAAAAAATTTAAATACAAACTTTATCCATAAGTTATCCTAGCTGGTACAAGAAACAACAAATATTTTGGCTTTGTGGGTAAACTTATAGTGTACAAAAGCAAACTATTAGAGCAGCCTACCACATCTCTTTTCTTGCTGCTTCATCAAACAGTAGTAGAAAAAGCAATGCTGAGGCTTCACTCACAATGGCACCATAATCTTGGAATATCAAGGCCACTAAAAAGAAAGCAAAGGATTTTTTTTCTCCTAAGCATAAACACAGTGCAATAAAAACCTACCATGCTACTGACTACTAATTTGAGAAGAATAGCCAAAGTTTGGATTTCTTTTAAACCATGACGCCCCATTCAAGACACAAATCAAAATATGAATCCATCATGCATATCTGCAGGCAAGAAAATGCACAGATGTTATAAATATTTTATTTCCAAAATTTTTCAATATTTTCCTACCTACTACTGGCTATATTTTCTAATTTTTAATCTGAGGCCCATATAACACTAAATAAAGTAATTCATGTGTTTCCCTTTTTTCATAATTTGGTAAAAAAAAACTTCAGATGATCAGAAATTATGGTCATTTGATTAACCCTTTAAAAATCTAAGTGTTGGCTTCACGCATTCAAAAGTGTGTATATAATTAATACTAATATTCGTGGTATGCCAAGTGTCATACGAACAATATCGCAAACCATGGGATTTGTTGGGTAACCCTGGGTATAGAAGGAATGAGCTTATGCCCTGCAAGTATGAATGATGAATGATAGAAATCTTGCTGAAGGGCTGAAGGTATTTCTCTTAACCTGAAGGTATTTCTCTTAAAGAGATTAGACTAAAGGACCCTTAGAGGCATGGCCTGCATTGTCCTCAGCTAGCCCAATAAGTCCACTGAAGATGAGGAGAACACCTGGAAATTTCTATATAAATAGCAGCCTGAAAAGCAGACAAATGAACATGCCTTTTACTCATAGAAAACAGATATAGTCAAGGAGACAAAGAGGTCAGGACATTAAGAGCAAGCTCCATCAAGCATGAGTTTGAAAAATAATAGAAAACTTTCTCCTCTCATAAAAGCAAGTCTAGAAGAAAGAGTATAAGAACAAAAAGCAAATTAAGCTCAGAATACAGACCTAGCAATGAGCCCAGAACATGGACTACTTGTATGCCTACTCTGAAGCCTTTCAATCCATCTATCTATCAGCAAGGCACAGTGCTCTTTATTTCTTTAGAAATATAGAGTAAGATGGGTGTGCAGTAGGAATATTTGCTACCTAAACAACACTAGGCTGCTCTGTCTTTCCTTCTGAATAACCTCTTGTTTCTGTTGTGTCCATGTTAATGAAAAGCTAGGAAACATTCCCCTGAGACCCCAGCAAAAGATCCTAAACCTCTTTGAGCTATCCAGGAAGACAAGCACCCCTCTTGAGATCACCTAGTGGAACACCATCATGGTCAGAGGCTATGAACAAAATAACTGCAGGTTACTCATTGAAAACAGTGCCAGAGGTTACTCTCTCCCTCTCACCCCTGCAAATGTATACGTTAGGTGTTCAGTTCAAATTGGTGTTCAGTGTGAACCAGCTAACTCAGTTCTATTGTTCAAGCACCTAAAATTTTTAAATGACCTAATCCTAGGATGTGTATCTGCTTTCCTCAACGAGGACACTATATGTCTACGAGAACTTATAGAAAGTAACTATATGGCCAAACTGACATTAGAAATAAACCAAGGGAACTTTGGAGTTACTAGATATAGCTGCCAAATTAAAAATGGTGGCTTCTATTGTAAACTACCAAACTAAATATGACTTAAGATAGCAGTCTTTCTTAATTTTTTATGCAGAATACTTAACACTTACCAACTTAGTTTGTTCCTTGAATTTCTTGAAAATGGGTAATGGATAGGTAAAGTACAGGGACTATTATAAGAAAGGGCTGCAGAATAGTGATAGAATGCATGCTTTTTGCATGCATGAAGACCCAAGGCCAACTGAAGGCACCTTTGGTTAGAAGGATTTCAGGAAGCAGGATTGGAATACCTTTGGAAATTTGGTAGTCAGCATATACACCGGAAAAAACACTACATTTGACTGCAATTTATAGTATAATTCTTTATACTGGGGAAAAACCTTTACATTAAAAAATCTTGGCATCAAAAAATAGTGAGATTTCAAAAAATATTCTATGAAAGGCTGTTCCAGCATTAATTTTATCTAAAGTAATAGTTTAGAAAGAACATTACATGAAAAGAATCACAGTATTTTATACTTGGTCCTGCTAAGAACACTATGACTTTTATCATTTTTTAATGGTCCACTATCTACAATTTTCACTATACTTTTATGAATTTACCTCGAAGTAACAACAGCAAAACAGAAGGCTGATAGGCCAATGCCAGCCGTTGTGCTGGATCTGCATATACAAGTTTCCGTAAAAGCATGAGACACGGCAACATCATACAGTCCATGATCTGCCAAAAACAAAAAAGGCTTTGTTAACGGAGGTTCTTTACAAAGCATTGCACTCAGTGGAGCAGTTCTTTCTTTGTGCCTGCCCTTTTTGCTTTCCTGGGTCCATATAAAAACCAAAGCAAAGCAAAGCAAAGCAAAGCAAAGCAAAGCAAAGCAAAGCAAACCTTGGAAGGACTTCAAAAGACCTGCACTGTCCTACTGCTTCTATTTTCTTTTGATTCACCTATCCATGACTCAAGGTCTAAAGAAATCAATGCTAATTTAGACAACTCAGCTGCAAAGGTATATATCTAAGGGATATACTTCACAAAATATTCTTCGTTTTTCTTTCTCACTTTTTAGCTCTTAGGGCAGATGAAAATGGGAAACGCATTAGACTATACATCCAAACTCAGACATGGATTACAGAAGGTATCATCTCTTTTTGCTACAGCAGAGAATGTCTGCAACTGGGTTATGTCCCAGCCAGCAGGGAAGAAGACCAACATAGTGTAGCTGTAACCCTCATAGGCAAAGAAACTATTGTAGAGAAGAAAGATTACTCACACTCCTGGATACATTCCACTTGATACATGGAAGCAAATGTTACTCAACTTTCCACATAAAAAGGACTTTCATATACATGAATAAATCCCTCACACATTATTTCTCCTTTTTTGGTCACAATTGAACACAATGGTCCTGATATCCATGTCTATGGTAAGTGTGTGTGTGTGTGTGTGTTACAGACTACATCTTCATATGGGAAGCTTCCTTTGTTACAAACTGCAAGAAGCAACTTTAAATATTTTTATAGCAGGGGGAAGAATAGAAGGATAGGGGAGCATATAAGCCGGAGGTTCATTCTGGCTTCTGAATATAACAGCAAAACAAGAAAAAAAGTTACAAAGACAGAGTTAATAATAAGTCATCTTGGTTTTGCTTCTTTTCACCCTTATTGCACTTTATGATAGCATAAAGCGTTCTGCTGCTTAGTACTAATTTGTACATGGTTTATGTCAGCAGAATGAAAAACATATATTCAAAGAGCAATATCCCATGGGATGCAACTACTTATGTAAATTACATTAAGTTAATGCTACATAATTTACAGTAGCAGCTGCATTCCTTGGGTATTGCCCATTACATTCTTCAAAATACACATCCCTAGACTTGAAGAATCTACCATGATTTGGCATAAGGCTGAACAATCTGTGGTTTTCCAAATATTGTGGGACTGCAACCATTGTAAGCTCCAGCCAGAATGGGCACTGGTAAGAGATGGTGAACGCTACAACTCTACCTTACCTTGAAGGTCACAGGTTTTCTACTTCTGGTTTAGCCCCATGGGCACAAGCAAAAATGAACTTATGTAAAGCCTTAGCCTGAACCCACCCCCATCTTCTGCTTCACTATACTGCCGAAAGTCCAGTACTCAGCTTCACTTTACCTGTTTCCCAATATGTTATGACATGTGAACTGGGAATCATGGTTTAAAATAAACCCTGAATTGTTGTAATAACTGCCTGTAGCTTATCTGAAATCATGATTCCTACTAGCAAAAAGCCAGTGAAACAATTCTAGTTTATTTTCAGGTTCCAGGCAAATAGAAAGAAGAGAGGGGATAACTTTTCCAAAAATTATTACATTATTTCCCACCATTTTTTTCTTCCAAGGAACCCAAGGTAGCTTACATGCTTCTCTCCTTTCAATAAGATGAGGCTGAAAGTCAGTTACTTTTATTACAAACTGAGTGATTTTTGAGTAAAAAATTAGAACCTAAAGTTGATTTCCATTGAACTATGTGCTTAACGAACACACACACTCTCAAATATTTTATCTAATCAAGCACAAATATGAAGAATACAAAAATATGAAGAATCTATTACAGAATACAACTGTTTATTTGAAGTATAAGTATGTTGTTTCTACCCAAAAATATTATTACTGAGTTGATCTAGAAAGGAAAGAAAAACAATATCATACTGTTTATAAGGATTTTTTATGGCTTACCTTTCCATCTCGGTCAACACATTCAGTTAAATAAGCAAGTATCTTGTCTATTACACCCATCTTTTTGATAATGTGATGGATTTTAGAATCTAAAAGAGGAATAAGAAAGAAATAGGTTCTGTGCATGTGTATACACATTTACCAACATTATAACACTAGATTCTGAAGTATCATGCCTACATTAGTTATGGTATGACTCCAGGAAATATCTCCCTTCAATGTGGTCATTAAACCAGAATTCAATAATAGGAATCACTAGTGGAACTACCAAAAATGTTGCAGCATAAATGTTCCTGCTCAAAATTGCAAAAACTTCATTGCATTCCTACCCGCTTCATTTTTTGTCATACCAACCCACCTATAGATGGTTGAAAGTACTCTACCTTGCATAATTACAGCTAACTGCTCAGCTGCAGACTTCCTCAAAACTAGATCAATAGTGTCAGAGATAAATATATCATACAGTTTTGCAACTGTCTCAGCCTAAAAACAAAACAAATGCATACCGTCATTTCTGTGAAATAATATTTGTCTCAATCATTCTCCATACGTAGAAGAGTACCTCAGTCCTTCTGCCATCAGTGCACAACACAGCACACCTTCAGAAGTTGCTAAAAGAGTGCATCCTCTTCTCATAGTCACATTACTAAAGAAATTTCTTATGGACACCTCCACAAGTAGAAACCACAGTTTTAGACAACCTTAAGATACAAACTCCCAAAGGCCTGATTAGCCAAAACCATATACATTCGCAGCTGCTTTATATTTTCTGGACTGTCTTTTCAGGAGCTTCTTGCTCATCCTTCTCAGGAGTTGAAAACTGTAGAACAGGACAGGAGATCCCCTAGAAGACTTTCCAGCAACCTTAAGTAGAATGCCCTTGAGAATCCCTAGCATCTTTTTGGCTTTGCTTGGATTTGCCTGATTACCAGCATCCCTTCCTTGCTAACTTCCTTCTATACCCCAGAACGCCAGCAATGCCATTCTGTCCCCTATCTTGTCCTTCTATCAGAGCTCCTCCTCTGTACCCTCTTCTCTTATTATCCTGTCTGTCATTTATTCTTCCCAGGTTCTAATTAAGTTCCCCCATTTCCCTTTCTCCATTCACTCTCTTTCATCTCTGCATCTGCATGACAACCATGGGTTAAATGACTATGTCATTTCAGCAAGGCCTGTCTCCTCCAACCTCAGTGATAATCCCAGCTTCCCTAGACAACTTCCAGGCCAATTCACTGGCCACTGGCACCTGGCTGCAACATCAGATGCAGGTGACAGAGCCAGTGGTGAAACCTGCAGGGCCAGAGGGATATTTCCAGTTCAATATCAATGTTGTTGGGTTTGTTGTTCACCTTAAAAACTGACTCTCTTGCATCATCCAGTTTGATTTCAATAGGCTTTGCCACAATAAGTAAGTTGGGAATGCTGGAAACAGCACTACCATGCAGTAGTGGGCGCTTCAGATTTGCATCTTCTTCAACCGTAAGATGAAACATTAAATGCTTGAGAGCCATGGAACGGACTCTAAAGAAATGAAGCAATTACTTACTTAGATTTTGTCCAGAAAAACCATTTCTTCTCTGTAATACAGTTTTAAATACGTACATGCATTGAATTTTAAAAATACTTTTCAAATAGAATAGAATGTTTTCAATCTTTGTTCCCTACAAATCTTGTCTGTCCTAGCTTCTTAGTGTTTATGTTACTTTCTTCTGTGTGCAGTCATTCTTGCTAAAGACTGGAAATTCAGTCAAGAGAAAGATGGGTTGTCCAAAATTACTAATTAATTCTGTATCGTGTTTGAATACATAAATTAGATTTAGTTCGCATGCATAAAACTCATCTGACTGAACCAGCTCCCAATCATTACAAGCCTTCTGAAAAATCCAAAAAAAATCTCAAACTGCTATTAATCGATGAATAAAAAAACCATACTAAATGCATCTTAATTCATAGTATTTTATAGACTGATTTTATATTGTCTGCATGGCCAGTCCTTATTTCTATCTCTAGTCTTTCATACTGAAATATGCACTTAATCTCTCCTTTGCTGCTCTTTGCTTCCAGGGAAATTACTATTGAACACAGTCTGTGTTCCCTCACTTTTCCAAACTAGTGGCTTTGACTTGTGCAGCAGTCCCCTAGCGATGTGATAATTTTCTTTAGACATTGAGCACCTTGAGAATGTTATATCATTCTGAAAAGATTTACCTAGGAGGACAGTTCTCACATGCACTGTATTACCATTCTGTCGTTCTTAAAATAAGCCATCTGGCAGTTCCATAGAAAAACTGCTATAAGAGTGCCCAGAGATTCCCTGCCCCCAGCCCCCAAAAACTGTTTATCTTCAGAACTCTGGTCAACAGGCAGACTGTGATGTTATGAATAATACTGACCCTTCACATACAAAGAGGTTTCTGTAGGTTTACTCACAGTGGTTTTTTTGAGAACAAAAGGCGCAAGGCAACCCTAAGTCTAGTAGTTCTTGGAAAAATTCCTTCTTTTTCAGCAGTTGTTTCACTCAGTGAGAGGATGCAGCTACCCAGAGGTTCTTCTGTGTCTGCATAACCCTAATTATATATTTGGATAACATAAACAACTTAGTGGAAATAATTGTCATGCACTGAAATAGTTTTCGTGGTTAACAGAAAATGAAAAACTGCCTCAGTAATTGGAAATCAGAATTTCCTAGGCCAAATCGAGCTGATAGGGCACTGCCAAAATGTTTACAAGGCTCATGCCCACCACACTGAACTGCATTTTTCACTGCTGAAATTTCCTTTCCAGGGAGGCATTAGTTTTCAAACCTTACTGCTCCTGCATATGCAAGTTCACAGCCACTGCTCCCTGACTGGCTATTGTTTCAGGGAACTATATGAAAGGTGACACAATCTTATCCCCCTAAGAATCCAGCCCTATTGTGCTATGCTTGCAGTTTCACTGCCCACCTACACTGTGCAGCACAATTTTTACTCCAGTCCATGTCTCATAGTGGACACACCAGTATATTTGGATGTGCAAAATAGGTCCCCTGGGTCCCAGCTCACTACACCTATTCTCACGTTCCCTAGGCAGCTAGGAACCACACGTAAGGGAGACTCGGGCAAAGATTCTAAGCCAGTTTATCCTGCTATTCCTTGCTAAATCATACATGAAAATGTATTATTTATCCTCCAAATCATGATCAGGAATGATTTAGGATACTTAGAAACAATATTACAATCAGAAAAATGTCAGGTAAGGCATTTGAACTCTTCTGTTTTAAGAAGTCTAATGCTGTGTAGTTTGCCGGCATTCAAGAATCAAGCAAGTATATTGATTAATCCTCTATTTCTTTTTTGCCTGCTTGCCATGCTTATATATTTTCCACTATGGTCAGTGCTGTTCCTATCGGCAAAACAATTAAGCTTAGCTCAAGATAAACTGTGCTTCAAGAAGCTGAGATTACCTGAAGAATTGGAACAACAGGATAAAGGGCCTCAATAAACTTGTTCCAAGTCACTGCTGCCATCATCAATCGGCCCTGAAGAAGATACATCAGTATAAACGTGGCAGCTGAACATACCTGTTTTAACGAGAGAAAGTAAGATAGTGCAATAAAGACAGGCCAAATCAATTTGTTGGTGTCAGAAAGGGAAATTAGACCATGCTTTGGCCCTTCATGCCAAATAGGTTTTGTGCTTTGCAAAAACATCCACAACAACTATGGTGAAATACTATCCTGAGTCTACTGCCTGTTAGCATCAATCCTGAAGTAGAGTGTAGGACTCTGCAGCAAGAACTGCCTCTAGGACAGGATCAATAAGGAATGGCAAAAACACCTTTCTCACCATAAAAATTAGGATGTGCTTACAGACCATGGTTTGCATTGCTAATCCCAATAGTTTGCTTCTGCTTCCAAGAATAGGGGTAAGTGTATTGGGAAAGATGGTCTCAATGCTATAGATAAATTTATTTGTATTTTCATGTACATAGCAACTAGGAAACATAATTTTTACTTCTTAAGAAAGCAGAGCTTTGGGATGGCAGCTGTAAAAATGTGATAAATAAGTTGCCTTCCTTTTTTTTCCTGCATTGTGTACCTTGTAACCAATGAACGATAGGACAGCCTGTAAGACTGCTTTGCATCATTGACTTATATAAATGCCTCCCTTTAAAATGAAATTTTCAGCCTAGGTACAAGCTGACCTTGAATTTTTTGGATAATAATATATGATAATAACAACAAAAATCATCTATAGAATTTCCAACTCCTACTGCAGCATTTTTCCTCTTTTTCCCTCCAATTATTCTATAAATTTATATTATGAATTTTACACTGCTGACAGATTCTGAAATTGTAGATATGCCTTTGTATCAATAACGAATTAGACTAATTAAAAACCTTCATTGTTACTTTATGATTCCTTCAACCAATTCCAGTGGCTGCCTTTTCTCTTTAAGATGGCTTCATTATTTAAACTGGACTCCTATGTGTGGATTCTGATCCTTGCAATTAGTTTACTAAGGTTTAAATATGCTACCTGGATTTTTCTCTTTTTATAAACAAATTCTATTCAATAATTGGGATTTAGTCACATCACATTATTGTATAATCTGTAAATCTACAAGATTGCTACAAGATTTTGATCATCTATGTATTATAAAGAAACAAGATCACTGGATATGATCATACATCACAGCAAGCCACCTTTCCAATAAGCCAATGTGGGTTGGTTGTTCTGTGAACAACTCACAGTGCACCCAACTGACAACCAGGTTCACCTGATCCTTCCCCTCAGCTTTTCTGTAGGCATCCCAGTGGACATCATGACAAACACTCTACAGAAATCAGGAAGGCCAGCATCTAAGTAAATCTGTTCAGGGTGAAGGTCCACAAAGCTTCACTTAAGAGTTAAAAAGTCTGAGATTCAAATCATTTTAACCTACAATTTAATTCAGAGATTGATACAATATCCAAAATGCAGTACCTCATGATGAGAGTCTTGAAGTCCAAAACTACAGATTTCATACAGAACTTTGGTATGAAGCAGGAAATGTACTCCATAGCTGACTACAGAAACAGGTGTAGTGATATTATGAATACCTAAACATTCCTAGAAAGAATAAGTAAAATAGTTAAACATTGTACTGATAATATCAAATTAACGTCCCCATGTTTCTTAGATGATGTATAATTCTCAACTTATTTCCATCAAGGTAATTATGATACCAGCTAAAGCCAAGAGTTACATCCTTGACTGTTGGCCTTGGTCATCTTCTTTAAGCAAGCAGCTTTCTCTATACCCTGCATGAGAAGAACTATAATAAAATAGGAAGATTTGGTAGAAAAATGGGGGAAGGGGCAGAAGTTAAAAAAAAAAGCCCAGAAAAGGACCCTCTTCTCTCTGGAGCTCAGTTAATGGTGCCCAGGCATCATTAACAACAGACAAGCGTACATCATACAGCAAAAGCTTCTGTTTCCTGTACAATACTACTAACAAATTTTCAGGCAGATTGTTGTTCTGCATGCATTCGTAGATTACAAAATGGAAGAGAAAATAGTTTTATTTAAAAAGAAATCTAAAATGCTTTGTTTTGAAGCAACTACAAGCTATTTCAAATACATACTTTAACAGTTTTGAGGCAGCAGCTATAGGCTTCAGCTCTTATGTTCAACACAGGATGGGACAACAGATGGAGGAACACCTTTTGACTCTCAGCCTGCAGAAATGGGCTTGCTTGGGCAGACTTCCAGCTACCAACAGAAATTATTCAAAGGATAAGATGGAGTAATTGCTTCAAGGCACACACAGCCAATTCCTTAAGCCTTGGCATACAGGCTCTCTAGCCAAGGCATTTAGGAGTTTTAACAAATTCAGTTACTTGTGCCTTCCTGTCATTACTTAGATAATTGTTACACTGCCATTTATAGAGCTGATATTCTGAGCTAATTTACCAGAAAGTAAAACCCAGCAACCTTGTAAAGAAAAATATTTTTGCAGAAAGATGCACTAAATACCCTTTCCTGCATCTGTCCTACCCACTATCTCCCCAACAGTGTATAGGCTGGAAATACAGTAATACCTCAGTTCATGAACATTTCTGTGTCACAAAACCTTATTTACATTGAACCTTATGGGAAAATCTGATTTGGTTCGCGACCAATTCGGTTTGTGACCAGAATCATGGAATGAATTAAGTTCATGAACTGAGGTACCACTGTACAAGGTCTTCAAGGAAGGAGCCTACTTTGTTTTGATTTCTGCTTCCTGTGCTAGTACATCATTATCATGCATATCTATATCTATAGTTTATAAATAACAAGCACCCAACTAAAATCATTTACTTCTCAAATTTATCCGGTATAATTTACAATGAAACAAAAAATTTAATTGAATATATTAAACAGTTATGTACTCATATTTCTATGGGGTGATATTCAGTCATGCAAATTGAGATACCATAAACTTACATGTTTGAGCAAAGACTGATGAATTCGTGAAGCAAGGGAAAGTATTGATGATATGGAAGGCTTTTTAGGCCCTGTTCTGCCAGCTCTAGCAAATCAAGAAGATTTTTTTCTCCCTGAAAATAAGAGAGCACACAGTTAAACACAAAACACAGTTAGAAGCAAAACAAAGAAACAAACTTAGAGAAGTTCTATTTAGGAGTTACATGAACTAAAATTGTATTTCAGTTGTACAGAATTTCAGTGTGTCATCTGTTAATTCCAATGCATCTAATTAGCAACAATAAGCCTCAAAAATCCCACGCAAAAAGTACACCAACCCTTAAGTGTACTCACTAGCTCCTAAATGAAACATTTGAATAACGCAACATGAGTGGACCTTACTGGAAAAAGTGAGCAAGGACAGATCAGACTTGCACAGGCCTGCTGACACTACAATAGGACTTCACCAATGTACATAATCTGAAAGGACAATCTTCTTACAAATGCATGCACAATTGATGGTTTTCTAAATGACTTTCAATAATCCCCAGCCACCTAGTCCAACTCATCACAGAGCAGTAGCACATACCAGACCAGATCTAACCCAGCACAACTCTGTAAGTAGCAAGGTGACTTTTTGGATGTAGACCAAAAAGTTAAAGCAATAAAGGGCAGCATCCAACTATGTAATTCTACGGGAGAAGAAACCAATTAAAGTCACATTTGTACAAGAGAACTTGTCCATTACTCTTGCACAATTATAATGAACATATACTGTCCATTGAAAGATTTCGGAAAGCTCCTCCAGCATAATTTGTATTTTCAAAATACTAGTGGAGACTAATCAAAAAGTTCTGGAGAATGTGGTAGCAGCTAAACAGCATAATTTTAAACTCAGAATGCATTGAATTTCAAAAATCATTAACTCATTGCCAATTTTCATGAAAGATTCTTGCTAGAGCTGGAGAATCAGCCCTGCTGTGACTATGGAATAGCAAGCATATCTTGTTGATTTGACACCTATACCCTGTGGTGCAGTCTTATGGGAATGTTGGAAATCAGATTACACAGATTCTATGCAGAACACGAGGATAACCTCTACACTTTTATTTATTTATTTACTTGTTCAATTTATACCGTCTTTTTCCTACAAAGGGCTCAAGGCAGCTTACATCATCTCTCCTCCTCCATCTTATCCCCACAACAACCCTGTGAGGTAGGTTGGGCTGAGAGTCTGTAACTGGCCCAAGTCACCCAGTTGGCTCCATGGCTGAGCGGGGACTAGAACCCAGATCGTCTGAGTCCCAATCCCATGCTCTTAACCACTACACCACACTTGTCCTACTCTGCAAAACAACTCAAGAGCTGATTTCAACTGTGTAACTGCAGGGAAGGAACCTGAGACTTCACCAGAATACGTGGTATCTTGGTGGCACCCATTTCTTTCCCTTTTTCTGGAACACTTCTGCAGCCTCAAAGCAGCATCCAGTTTGTTCTTTCTGTACTGACTGTAAATGTGCAGTAGAAGATCTGTGTGGATGCCCAGCTTCTGAGGTAAGAGTAATTTTCCAAGGTTCCAAGGTTATAGGTTTGCTCTGCTAGATTTAAACTATTACGAATAGAAGAAACCCATATGAAAGACAAATTAAGGCTTGTCACTTGACCACGCAAAAAATCACCCACAAGTCCCAAACAAACAAAACATCAGCAAGCAGGGATGAGAACATTCGAAACAGAAAACACAATCCTTTATCATCTTGTCTTTATTCCACAACAGTGATGAATACAACTTATTAATCTTTTCAACGAAGTGCATAAATACATTCACAAAAATTATACCTAGAAATTCTGGTAATTAAACTTATTTAGGCAATGATTCTTACCTCTCTGTGGACATCCAGCATAAAGTTACAGGTGCACTCAATTGAATACACAGCCTGTGCAGCTTGTTTATAAATAGTGTAGTCTTCCGAATTTGTTTGTTCCAAGTAAGCCGTGACAGATTCATGAATACTTGGGTATTCCAAAGAGAAAGGCATGTCCAGTGAAAGGACAAATAAAGCAGCCAGTAAGCTTTCTGGTAAAACGCTGCCGGCCTAAGAAAGAAAGAAAGAAAGAAAGAAAGAAAGAAAGAAAGAAAGAAAGAAAATGGTTTAGAGGAAAGGCTAATTGAAAGTCAGTATAAATATATAAATATATGATATTCCATTTAACTTTTTAAATGTATTTTTAATATATGCAAGGAAGAATCCGAAAGAGAACTGCTCCAACCAATTCTTTTCTGCCCTGATTTAACTGTACAAATGCTTGCACAACAGTTATTTCACATTTCCAGGGCAACTTGAAATAAGTGGAATTATTGCTTCTTGGAGGAGGCAAATAAGCAGAACTCATCTAAAAGAGCTCTGCTGCCGTCCTTCCTTTCATAGTGTTTCTACTTGTTTCAAGGCTTTGTGTAAGAGGGAATAAATCTTCCTTGTGTGAGTGGTGGGTTCCACTTGTGCAAAAGAATTGGCAGGGTCCAGCACTTATGGAAGGGAATCAACAAGGCAGAAAGGAATTCGTGGGGGCATAAGTGCCACACTGGATTCTGGGCACAATCTTCACAGAACATTATGAGAATTAAGCAAAATTATGAAGATTAAGCATAGCATAAAGCATTAAGATATGCTTTATGTTACAGTTCTTATTCAAACAAACAGGCACAATATTGAGGTGGCTGTAGAACTGGAGCCAAAACATTTGATTCAGAATGCATAAGTGGTCCAATAGGCTGAGACACTCCTGTAATAGGTAATGGTTGTCGTTACTGAACCAGATAATTTTTGGTATCTGAATTGAAAATGCATTGCAACAGGGGACTACACTTAAAGCAGTTCAAAAGCCAAGGACATACTGTAGTAACCACATTCTTACGGAAGCAGGACCATGTACACTGAACAGTACTATTGAGTTTCTAAGAAGAATTCAAGATAGTGACTAATACATTTCAAACCCTCAGTCTAGGATCTGCTGTGGGTTTTGTCACTATCACTTTCCGCTAGATCATTAATCTGAGGATCCCAGGTTTTACCTATCTGTCCTAGAGATGCTTGACTCATGAAACCATATCAGTAATGATATCCGTAAGCACAAGCTTTATTCTGAGTATTCCCTTTCAAGAGAGCTCACAACAGTCAGAGGTATTCAAAAAAGAATCTTTGCTTAAGAAATATCTCTAGATATCCCTATCTTCTAATTTATAATTTATTTGCTTCATAATGTCATGTTGTATTATTATGTGAATGTTATGTGAATGGGTGTTAAAGTTATGTTACCTAGCTAAATATTTATGAAATTGTATTCATATTAGTGACCAAGGGCTAATAAGATAGAAACAAAAATTACATATTTTTGAAATAAACTGATGCTTAAAGCAACTGAAGTTCTCATTCCAGAAAATAATTATTTAGAGGGCAGCAGGATCTACACAATGATGAGTCACTGTCTCTATATTACAGCTATAGAAGTATCCATTAGCTAAACACCAACTGCCTTTTATCAAACTTTGTAAAACGTAGAGGTACAGTTATTTCTGCAAAAGAAACAATACAGCCGGAAATAAGACATTCATTGTAGGACACAGCAGATTAAAAGGAATGCGAATAGCAGTGTAAAGATCTTTTCTAACCACCAGATGGCACACTTAATTTCCATGTCCGTGCTTTACTGCTTTTTAAAATCTTAGCTTGGCATACTTTTCTTTCAACTCCTGCAATGTGTATACTCTGAAATAAACACAAAAATCTTCAGCTTCAGTTCAGAGCACAGAAAACAACAAGGTAACCTGCTGATCCCATGATAGTTCCAAAATATAAAGTAGGTATTGAGCTACATCTTTACAGAACTAGTCAATACACATTTACTGAGCAGTATCTTACTAATCTGTGCCCTAATTTAGATCTCCTGCTTCCTGGCATGTATTTTAGCCTGAGGGCCACTTCAGGGAAATATTGATTTCAGTAGATGCCCCACTTAGTTTCAAGTGCATACACAGCCATACTGAAAGCAGTAATAAAACAAAGCAGTAATGAAAATTTAAATACAATTCTATTATTAATTTACTGACTCTGAAACTATATTACATTCCCTACGAATGTAGAAGAATGTCTGTCTGAAAATTGAAAGTAACTGCTCTTCTGCATATCAAACTCCTATTCCATATATATTGATCACCTCATGAATGATGTACAAGTAGGGGCCAAAAAATGTTTTCCCTAAACAAATTACAACTATTGACAAAGAAAGCAATATTGTTTATCAGAAGAACTGTGAACTGAAACCAGAGATCTCATTAGGAACAAAACTATTTCAACAGCAAAAAGAAAGAAAAACCTTATATGGATCATAGAGGAAACAATCACAGTTGCTAAGAATAGCTGAGAAGGAAAAGTCAAGGGTGAGAGAAAAGGGATCAGAATCCTGAATGCAACTTTTCAGGGACTATCATGTAGAGACAAAAAAGAACTATTACAACAGCCAGTGCAAGGAAAAACAAAAGAACAAAAGAGGAAAAACAACAGAATTCTTCCAAAGCATCCAAGGAACCAAATTCAAACATAGATAAAAAATGTTGAAAGGCCAATGGAAAACACACTATCTTAGCAGAACAGTGAAAAGAGACAGTGGAAGCAGTATTCAAAACTATGCAGAAGAGATAAAATGATGACAGACTGCTTCGAAGAGGAATCCTGTGAAAAAGCACCTCCAATATTAGAAAATGAAGTGAAACCTACTCTGAAATTTCCATTACAAGAAACATAACACCAGGCCACAAATGTGCAGGAGGTCATGTATGCAACAGGGGTGGCTAAACATATTATACTCCAATACTGGAGAGAGGGAAGAGTATCTTCCACACGAGAATGAGGTGATGATTCCTATTCCCTTCTGGCTTAGTTCTGAACTGACATGAGTGCAAAGGAGACCACAATAATACTTGGTCAGTTTTTCAGGAGACTCATGTTTAATAGTCATTGTATTTTCCACAGCTTCTTTTTCTATGATGGTTTAGTGTACATTGCCTCAAAGTATAACCTTCCTTCACTTTCCTTACATGTCTTCTACATTATCTGTAATGGGTATTTTCTGGCTCCTTTACCCTTATTCGTGATAATTGAAAATGTCCAAACTTTTAAAGCCCTTCCACCCAGCATCATCCCAGAAGCATCCATCCCATGTGCAGGGAAAGTGATGTATCTTACCTTCTCTACGGGGACAAGTGCTTGCAACAATCGAACTGTGAAAAGTGAAACACTAATGAACATGATTCTGTGATGTACTGTCATAAACTCTGGCTGCTGTGAACTTGCATTTCTGTTATGGTAGGATATGGTTTCACCTAAAGAATCTAGGATTTCAAGCAGCTTTTCTTTCTATAAATAGGAATAATTAAGTCAACATTAATGAACAGAATATACCAACTTACTAATACAGGTACGTTTAAAATGAAAAGAACTTCATACTTTACTCTATTTTAGATAGATAATACAGTGAAGGGGAAAAGACACATTTTCTTGTGCTCCTACATTTTTTAAACAGGTCTTTTCAAGTCTCCTTGCGCCACATGATGGTTTTGTGTAGGTTCACAAGAAGCTCATGGGCAGAATATAACAAAAGTTACACATGTGTAATTCAGTACACTACCATTTGAGCCACTGCTTATGCATAATGCTTGCATCACCTGTTGTACTACTGTTTGCATAACCATAATGCACAATTACTTGTGCATCAGAAAGATTCAACAGAGTTCTGCTTGTACTATTCCACTGTGCACAATAACACCATTGGACAGTACATCAGATAGTAGTACAAATCCATTTTAGCCTCTCCAACTGTTAAAAACCAAAAGAAAAAATGTCCTCCATATCCCTTTTTTCTAGGAAAAACAAGATCTATTATGGCAAGGCTCCTTTAAGGGCACCAACCCAATTGCAGATATACTGTCTAGGAAATATTTGTGTTACCTGCTTTTCAAAGGCAATAAAAAAGAGCAGTCTTGTGTAGTAGCTGAAAGATAAGCAACTGTTTTAAGAATGCTCTCTTTCACTATTTGTTATTTTATATTTCAAGAGTTTGCAAATTATGTTATTTGAAGAACATTTCACTTTGACAGCCAGAGATAAACCACACTTTGCTAGCTAGCTATCTCTGCTGTTACTCTGGAACAATCAGGAATGGGGAAAAGGCCTTAACAAAACGGAGAGAATAAAAAATGGTTGGAACAAATGGGGAGTTATTCAAAGAATAAAAGAAGGTCTGGGGTAGAAAATTAATGTAATAGCAAAATAAAACACATTTTCAACTCTACCCCTGCAATTTCACTCCAGTTGTATAATGTTTAATATCATTTTATAAATATCTATATATCTATATCTACAGAGAGACAGAAGTCTGGATATTAAACACCCCTTTTTGTAGATCTGCTGCTCACTCTAAATTCTTGGCATATACTAGCAAGTTATCAAAAAATGCAATAAATTTCTGATCCATTCATACAAAAGCAAACTATGAAATATAGATAGCAAAAAGGCATTTGATATTCTCACAAGTTCTAGTCCAAAGAGACTGCTGTCTTCCCAAACATCTTCAGAGATGGCATCAACAATAAGCAGAAGGTCTTCCGTGAGCAATTCTAGAACTTGCAAAGTCACTCTCCTGCCACCTATGAGTTTACATAGCATGGCAGTTAGAGCAATGGACAGCCATGCCATAAAATAATGCAGTAAAGGAGGATGCATTTCAATGGTAAAGTCCGCTAACTGTGTTAGGTTTTAATGCAAGTTGCTTAGCATAAAATCTCATTGTTTATTATATACCAGTAGTTTGAAAAATAATTGTTATTATGTTTTCTTCCATAAATGAAGGCTTTGAAAATATTACATTTTTAATAGAAGACTAATATATAGAATTCCAGGACTATTTACATGAAAAGACATACACAACACACACCTGTTCTTAAAAGAGGCACAGTATATTCCAAAACTTCTACACAGAACCTAGGAAGACTAAGCTGTTGAAACTGTAACTCCAAGGTGTCCTCATTTTCCAGTTCTGGCAAGTCAATGTGACCCATACTCAAAGGTGATGGAACAGATATTCTGGAATTTGTATTAGCATGGGAACTGCTTCCACTATTCAAACAAACAAACAAACAAACAAACAAAGAAACAATGATTCAGTTAAAAAATACAGTATAATTTTACAAGCTGCAATCAATAAGCTGCATGGCAAATACAGTTTCAATATTTTGATACAGTGTGTTAAGACACAGATGCATACTATTGCAGTTCTGCTTACCTTTAAGAAAAGAGGATGTGTAACTGACCATACCATAGCAACAAAGTCATATAGACTAAACTTTGACATTTAGTACATATCAATGTTAGTTTCCATGTGCTTGAAGCCTGAAGTGCCATCTTCAGTTACTATGGGCAGATGTCCCTAACCAATATGTAACTGTATTAATTTCACATCAAACTATGCCATCTGCCAACTTTCTCACCTGGAAGATGCTGCATCCCAATCTTGACCATCACCTCTGGGACGCTGACCTGTGCGCCCTATCACAGAGGGTCGAGGACTACTGCTACCAGGAGATGGATTCTGAGAATGAGAGAGTCTTCTTGCATCTTGCCCATGTGACATTGAGGAATTCTGGGAAATGGTACCTTTATAACAAATTATTATATATCAGACTATTACATGCTCCAAGTACAAAACTAGAGTAAAAATACTATTAATTCTGCTTCATCAAATCAATCCCATAGAAAGCATAAATTAGCTTAACACTTCTATTTCAATTCAACACTAAAAAGATTCCACTGTTTTGATACTAAAAATTTAGCTAGAATAATTTTAATTTATTCTAGGTTTCTTTTAATTCTGCTAGAATTAAAAAATGTAGCCAAAAGGCAATAAAAATATGTAAATATAATTAATTGCATTTTGCAGTGAAAATTAACATTTGTCTCCAGGTCAAGTATTGATGGAAATATGTGTAGGTTAATCTTCAACTGATAAGGCACAGAGAGTAGGATCATACTGATGGCTTCATCAACAAATGAAGTTTTGACCAACAGCTATACTTGTTTCCTATGTGAGCCAAGCAGAATAGATTCAATTATCCTTGTCATTTGTCCCTCAATAGCCCCCTCTACTTTGCTGCACCTTTGTGCCAGTATAATTATGTAACTGTCTAAGTGTACAAGCCTTCTCTTATGGAAGGTAAATATTTTGATTTCCAGATAACCAGCTTAGAATGTATACATTAATGATTGTTGTAGCAGTGCGCCAACAGTGGACAGAAAGTGGAATTCTGACTGACTTGCTGTAGATCAGCAAGGACTGCTGACTTCCAGTTATTTAACTTAGCACAGAGTGATAATTTTCCCAGTTAAATTTGGCTGCTGGAATTAAAAACCTTGGCATAAGCTTGGCATAAACAAGCTCATTTAGGCAATAGTGTCTTGCACACCACTCTGGTTGGTGGATCTTGGGGTTCTAGTAAAAGGCAAAAAGATGCAATAAGACTGAAGTTTGTCCACCTCCAGTATATTATATTTGCTTATTTGATTGTTTATTGTATCCATCATCATATTTGTATAATGTTAAAATCTTATGGGGAAGATGCACTTTATTTGCAGGAGCTAAGCACTGCGTAAAATCTGTGCACCTGCATATTCAGTCCCTTTACATCCCTTCTGCCTGGTAAGAGACCTGCTGGCCAAATTCTCCTAGATCTCACTTCAGTGGAAAACAAAGCTGTTGGTTAATGTCAAATAAAGAATCAGTTTAACAAGATTTAGTTATACACAAACCTGGTTCACTTGAGACAAAACTTGGATCTCTATGAAAATTAAGCCTGTTTCTTAACAAGACACATAACTGTTGCAGGCATAAGATAGCCTGTAAGGCCAAACGGTGTTGTCCATCTCCTCCAAGAGCTAGCGTTGTCAGAGAGAAAAGACTCTGAGGAAAATAAAACTATGCATTATTGGTATGATGTGATTTTGTTGGCACCTTAGATGGAAGAGAGTGGTACTGTGCAACTTATGCAAGTATATCTGTTGAGTTCAAGACAGCCTCTGGAATACATCCAAAGTTACATGAGCAGACTTCCTCTCACACAACAGGAGTTTCCCTTTTCCTCTGCCCTGCAATCCCTGCACACCATCTGCAACTGATAGAGACGGCAGTGCAAAACGTACAGGAAGGGGGAGCTCCAGTGAGGAGGGGAAATTGATCTACAGTCTGTTCCTTCTCCAGGTCCAGAGCTAACAACCCTTCACCTCTTATCTTCAACTCCAAGCCAAGGTTGTTCTGCTTCTGTGCTTTACCAGTGCTCAAAGTTCACTGTTACGAATAAGTGCTGAGGTAAAGCAAGTGCTGAGATAAAGATCTGCATTCATATCTTTGAACTGCTGGGGTGGGGAGTGTAAGGCCTTGTCTTCTGCATTTCCCACCCCCTGACACTAACCCTAAACTTGTGGTGAATTTCAGAGGGAGAGGGCCTAGCAAAATCAAATTTTGGAGGGCTAGTAAGGCCAGCTTAAAAAAAAGAACAACACCCCTCTTTCTCAGAAAATGAAACATGTGCATTAAAAGCATTTCTAACCTGAACAATCTTTGGTCTTTGGAGAAAGATCTCAGCAGGAAAGTCTTGCATGATAACATCTTGTAGAAGTTCGCATGTATTCCAAATTAACTTGTGATTTTTGCTTCTCAGTGAGCTGAAAAATGCATTTTAAACAATGGTATGTGAAAAATGCATAGTCCTAGATGTGATGCGATTATAGCCCGCCCTTTCATCAAGATCCAAGGTAGCTTAAAATGTTAGAAAAAGTGAGAAGGGAGGGGAAGGAGTAATAGAGCTTTTGTTAATCATTCCATACAGACTTAGAATAGCCAAACCCCTTTGCAGCAGTTTTAGATATCATTTTTATACTTTGCACTTTAAAGAAGCTCATGGAAATTGTTCATCTCTCAATGTCTTCTTTGCCTTCCAGAGTTGATCAATCTAACACTGCAATTTAACTCATTACCCCAAAAGAAATCTGTGACAGAATAATCAGTTATAGGCAAAATGTTTGTCTTTCATAAGCAGAAATAAAAACAAGGTAATTTCATATACCTTTCACTTGAGGAGACAACATGCCTATCTGTTGTGGTCAAGGATAACCAAGGAAATGTAGTAAATTTAAAGCACTTTACTCCATGTTTCACTGGAGGGAAAGAAAAGCAGTTTTTCATGTGTGCTGTTATAACCAGCATAAAGATAACATTCATTTGTAGATCCTTTTATAGAAATGATTCAGCTTCTACAACAGGTATATCTGATCCCGTTTGTTTATTAATTGCATAAAATAATTTATAATACCAACAATAATCAAGGGATTACTTGTCTCAAAAAAGCATTTGATGCTGGAGTTTATTGTCTGCCTGCCTGCCTGCCTGCCTTAGATTTTTTCTAACCCTGAAAACTGAGACAAGAGTGAAGATACAATGCTAGAAACCTATAAATCAATGTTCTGAGCCAGGAATAGGCAACTTGTAGGTCAAAGCTCAAGTTTTACATGGACTCAGTGGCACAGACCACCTTTTATCAGCTTAGGCTGATTTACCAACTATGGCCGCACCTAGACAGGCAAAGCCTTATAACAGCGATCCATGTTCTGCTAACATCTTGTTTGGATTACTGTCATGTGCTCTATGTGGGGATGCCTTTGAAAATGATCCCAAAACTTCAACTGATGCAAAATAGGGCCATACAGCTATTGATGGGGACTGGCTCACAAGGTTACATCATGCCAGTTTTCTTTCAGCTGTGTTGGCTAACAGTTGAAGTATGGTCCCAACTCAAAGCGCTTGTACTAACACTGAAAGCCCTAAATGGCTTGGGGACAGGTTACCTGAAGGAACACCTTTTCCCATATATTCCCAGAAGATGGCCTTAAGAACATCTTCTGGAGTCCTTCTCAAGGAGCCTTCCCTCCAGGAAGTAAGGGTGACAACTAGGAGAATGGCCTTGTTTTAATGTAGCAAAGCACCAAGAGAGCCTTTCTGCCTAGGGGGTAGTAAATAAATGCAATAAATAAACAAAACCTCGGGAAGACCACAACTCCATCATGCCTCACCATTGGCTATGCTGGCTACAACTGAGAATGATTAATTTTATTTCGATACCACCCAAAAGCTGAGTTGTAAACCTAAAGATCTGAAAAGCCATATGTTATCCATCCCTGACTTAGGCTATTTAGTCTATAATAACATTCTTCAGAGCAGTCTCTCAGAAAGATGAACTGATACCATGTTCTAAACCTGTTTGAAACAAAGTTAAGAACCAAATTACATCTACTGTTTCTGCATGTTAAGTGTGACTGGAATTAAATGCACTCTTTTGATTGTTGCAGTTAGAATCCATTTTTAAGCAGCTGGTTGCTTTATGTAAGCCGTCCCGAGGCTATGTGATGGGACGGCATACAAATACTCTAAATGAATGAATAAATAAATAAAATAATATCTGAAATTCAGTTTTCTCCTCTCATTAACCCTTTCGTAGATCATTTCCCTACTTCTGTGTCTTTGTCCTGAAGTCCCATACCTTTTTATGTGCCTTATGTTCAGTCTATTGCCTACTCTGTGCTGTTCTTCCAGTCACTGTAACTCTAAAATGTGCACACTCAGGCTCCCCTATGACCTAATAAGCCCTTTTTCTATATTCACTCTGCCTATCACAAAGCTACACCTGATCTTCTATCTGTATGTTTTAATTCCAGCCAAACCATCCATGTTTCCATCTCTTACAGAAGTTAGTCATATTATTTCTCAAGAGTTCATGAACATTTCCTGCCGTCTCATTAGTTCATCAAATCAGTTTCAAACACATCATGGTTATAGTATAATACATATAGATTCCCCTATTGAAAAAAAGATCTTAAAAGGGTCATTTTTAGCAAACATGGAAACTCAGTGGTCATTGTCAGTAACACCATGGCATTGACACTGAGATAAAATTCTTCAAATATATGTTGACTTACATGAAGGTAATATAATTACCTACCAGCCAATTGGTTTGGTGGTGTTTCTGTTTCTTGTAAATGACTTTTCTCTTGTTGAAAGTATCCAGCATGAGCTTCTTGGGGCAACACTTTAAAATACAAAACTGTAGTAAGCAATGGTGCTCTGTGAAATACTTTCACTCTTCTTAACTGTAAAGATTAATTGTTGCCCTTCAATTCTTTTTTTCCCCTTTTTAAGTGGAGGCCTGCCCTTTCCATTTCTGAAGTTTTGTATTATTAAATTGCCTTTTCTTTACCTGCAAGTAACTTAAAGGAACATTGGAAACAAGTATAAATGCCATTAACAAAAGAACAGTATGTGGCTTGAGTAAATGAGCATTCTTCTGTGTAAGGCCCACATTTACTAATAAGTTGCAAACAACAGATAAACTTACCAGAATAAGATGCTGTTGGCAAAGGCTCAGCTTGATAAGGCATTGCCTGATAATCAGAGGACATTTCTGGAGGCAGTACAAATAGTCCATCCAGAATCCCATCAATCACAGTCTGCAGATTTGGATCCACATTTGGACGAAGCTGGGAGAAGAAATCCACTGCCCCTATCCCAACAAGCTGCTCCACAGCAGACGGATGCTAAAATTTCAAAGAATACAGTGAGTTTAAAATGAACAAAAAACCTTTTCTTAGCTTTTGGGAGATAAGAAATCACTGGACATTTAATTTAAACTACCTTTCAAAAGATTCAGCTTTTCCTGTTTGGTTTAGCATGTTGGTCTAAATAGTGTTGGCATAATATGCTGGTTCCCCAAGGTTTGTTTAAAAACTTAATTAATTATTTAGAACATTTCTACCCCATCTTTACCTGAAACAGGTCTCAAGATGGCTCACAAATAAATAACAGCACATTAAAATACAATATCAAATATATAATAAAATTCCAATTTTAATAAAACATCAACCCTTAAATACTTGGTCAATAGAAAAGTTTGGTCTGGTGCCAAAAAGAATTAAGCGTTGGCATCAGGCACAGCTCTCTGGGAAGCAGATTCCAGAGCCAGGGTGCTACCACAGAAAAGGCCCTTCTTTGGGTAGCCACTCTTTTAACCTCCTTCAAAGAAGGACCTCATAGAAGATCTTAAATTTCAGGCAGGTGTATATGGAAGGTGATCTTTCTTCAAATACCCAGGTCCTAAACCATTTTACACAGTTTATACTGTCAACAATACTATTTACTAAGCCATGAGACCATCAGCCCCAACCAATTTTATTCTTTTAGTTATTTTAGGGATTTTGTACCAGACAAGGTTTAAGTTAATTTAGATAACCTACAACTAACCTTTAAAGTAGGTATCAATGCTAGATAATATTGTTTCCTATTTCTTGGTTTTATTAATGAATACTACTATCAAAGAAAACCATACCTTTACCAAGTTGCTCACTAAATTTAGAACTTCTTCTTTCATTGGCACTATAGGAAAATTGAACCATTCTAGAAGACCGGTAAAAAGCAGCTTTTCTTGAACTAAATCAGCATATGTAATCAAATTATGATCTAATTTGCACAAAATATTCTTAAGAGCTCTTTCTCTAATCTCCGTCAATTGATGGCCTGTTCAAAAACAAAAACAGAAGACATTTCCAAATAAATTTATTACATACTGTAAACCGGATCAATTGTTTCCATGCATTCCTGCTGTTATGCTGCTCACATTTAAATAATGCAGAATCTACAAGCTCAGCATGGAAATAAGATTTTCATGCAATTAATCTGACACAGATTAAGCCATTAAACTTAAACAAATGAACCTGGGGTTCATATTTGGTAGAGGTACTGCATTGAAAATGTAAGTTAATTCATTTCTCCATTACAGTCATACATATTCAGTTTTTACTAACATTGAAGAAATTTTCTTTCCTTGCAACCAGAAGTAACCCAATTTGCTCTTAAAAGACACTACAGAAGTTACACATTTTTTCTTGAACAGAGCATTACAGGAAGGGAACCTCTAGTGAGGGCTCCCAATCCCCATCACAACAAAACTAATAAGGTGTGCGGCCTGTATAGAAAAACACCAACCTAATCGCAGCAAGTAACAGAGGCATTGGACTCACTGCATGCTGAAAGTGTGCTTAGTGCTATAACTCTCCCATGGCAAAGCAAATTCCACTGAGAAGAAATTTCCACAAAGTTACACAAAAATTTTAATTCCAGTGCAGAACACACTGGACTAAATTAGGTCCATCTTAAGGATCACTTTACACAACTGTCAATTGTGGGATATCCTTATGGTCCTACAACAGTTGAAACAAAGATGTGCACCTCTAAATGCCAACCAAACTAACAACTTGTCTCAGCAAGTGGCACATTTTCTGAACCCAAGTCATCTGTGTACCAGTCCTGCACACTTGATCACTACACCACACTGGCTCTTTTACATCTCAGTCACAATATTTAATGGTAATTTATTATGTGCTATTGTATTTCAATGTATTTTATCGTGTTATAAGCCGCCCCGAGGTTTTGGCAAGGGGCGGCATAGAAATGTTATAATAATAATAATAATAATAATGATGATGATGATGATGATGATGATGATGTTGAAACTTCAGGTGAAGACTACGTAAATTCAAAACCTACTGAACTCAGTGGTGATTTTATTAATATTACTAAAACACCACTACCATATCCGAAGGTATTTTTAATTAGCTTACAGACGTAGTGATTATAAATACAAACAAATCATCTGTTAAAATATGTTAATTTTTTAAGGTGAAAGCACAACAGTCAACAAGTAGACAAACAGCAACACTTCAGTAAAGAAATTGGTTTTAAGAAAGCATCTAAAATATGCACATCCCAAATACTGAGAGGGCATTTCATAAAGTGGGGCCCAGTTCTGGGTTGCCACTAGATCAGAACTTGCACGACACTGTACAGCCAGCAAGACTTCCTTCAATTACCTTAGTAACTGGGAAAGGCAAAGGCTGTGTTCACATGTAACAACAAGCCTTGCTAGAAACCATACTGGCAGGGCTTGTCATTTTGTGTGAATTCAGCATCCATGGTGATGTGCAATCATTTGATTTCAATGAAATCCCATGGAGAATCAACAATCTATGTTAAGGTTTCCACACTTCCCTGTTGCTTGTAGTTATGTGTGAGCCCAGTTACAATATTTGCATGTGAGTTCTACATTTCCACCAGGAAGTTGGTGCCAAGAGCACCCGCAGTGGTAACAGACACCCCAGCCTCCTCTTCCGCCTAGCAACAGCTGAGGTGCCAGCAGCAGTACTCTGACTGACTGTCTCCACACTCCCTTTCTTTCCTGGTGGCATGCATCTCTCCAAGGCCCTGCTGCTGGTAAGATCCCATCACCACAGCAGTGGCTGAGTGGCCGCTAGACATTGGAGGGGCACACGTCAGTAGGGAAGAAAGGAATGACGGTGGGAGCAGCTGTGCCAGGCACTTTTGCCTGGTTGCTGCACCTGACTGGATCGGCACCTTGGCTGAGCTAAGTCCTGAATGTCCCATGCTGCAACGGTGTAGGCTCCTCATGTGATGGCTGTCTTCCACATGAGGAGAACTGGAACTATCCATCAGGACAATCGTTCTGAGCTGCCTGTGTCTCTGCTTTGCTTCCTCAGCTACAGAACAATAACAGTCCTCATGCCTTGTGGAGACACTTTCCCAGGCAAATGCTCACAAGGGTACCCTTGGGATGCACTCCCTGACACCAGTGCCTACACTGCTCCCTTCACGTGCCAGGTTACGGGGGGGGGGGGGGGGCGGCAGCCTTGGCAGCATGTGCAAATCCCGCACATGTGGAGGGGTGAGCTTCAGACACATGTGCAGTGAGGGGAGTGGGTAGGTGTGTTCTTATGCATTGGCAGGGTGTTTTGCAGCAGCAGGAGGTGATCCTCTACTGCGTAAGCAGAGCAACTGTCTTGCTCTAATTAACCAACAGTGGCTCTACAGAGCAGCAGATGAAGAAAGAAAAAGCAGCAGATGGCTGAGAACATGCCCGGAGGAGCATGTGGGCCAATGGGGCAGACAGGGCAGGCAAGAGCAGTACACCCTGGGATTGATTCCCAACTGTGAGTGAAGATGGGATATGTGCTGCCATTTGGAATGAAAATGGATGCACGTGGAAACTATTCATCAGTAGATACCATGTGAACACAAGACAAAGGGTACAATACCATGCCGAGCGGTAACCAAGAAGCATTGTTTAGCTTTTTGCTTGAACACGCCCAGTCTGCGCAGGTAACCTCCTCTCAAGCTGAACAGGACTTGATACGCTGAAACCAAACCTTAAACTCAGCATGGTCACTAACAGGTTGGCAGTGCTGTCACTTTAGCACCAAAGCAGTACACGTTTAGCAAGGCACCACATGCAGCATCTTTGCCACTGAGTTCAGCACCAAGACCAGCATCCAGACCAAGCAAAAGTGTAGCCTCACATAAAGGACATCACAGTAACCGAAGAACAAGTCTCTCAAAGCATGGAGCACCAAGGCTGGGATGTTGCTTTTCAGGAAATGGCATAGCTGACGTATCAAAGCTGGTAATAGACATTCAGTGCACAACTCCTTTGGGTTGCTAATGACAATGCTGAATCTAAGCAAGAGGACTTAGTGATCCAAGTTATTCTTCTTCTTTACTGTAGAAACTGGGTTTCTACAGTATATTTTAAGCTATTTTAAATTTATTGTTACATTGTTGCGTTTATACTTCTATTGTATTTCATCGATTTGTTTTATACATTATTGTAACCTGCCCAGACAGGATCAGCTACAGAGTGGTATAGACATGAAATAAATAATAATATCAACACTTTGGCAGACAGAGAAGCAATAGCACTGAAAGAAAAGTTTAATACACAGCCCAATCCTATGCATACAGAGGTGTTGTCTTCCATAAAGCTTCCTTCCTCTAGCGCAGCCTTCCAGATTTCTGGGACACAGCTGCTATCAATCTCAACCAGGAATGATTGCAATTGTTGTCTAAAATATCTGGACGCATCAGCACGGAGAAGGCTTCACTGGTGAATACGAATAGGGCGGTAGACTAAGGCTGCGATCCTATGCTAGTTTACCTTGGAGTAATCTCCATGGAATTCAATAGAATTTACTTCCCCATAGACAAAAGTGTAGACGCGGTTACTTATTCCGAGTTTATCTAAAGCTGATACACAAGAGATTTGCCTCCAGTCTGCCCCTACCGCCCTCTCTCTAAAAGCAGAGATATTTGCAATCATTTGGCAAGACAAGAAAGTATGCACATACTCAAAGAGAGCTCGCTTCCCTAGCAAAGGCAGCATATCAAGCACTTACGGAGCTTCCGGATAAGTGGTGACAAGGAAAGCTCAATCGGAGACGGTGCAGCAGCTGCAACAACACCGCAACCAGCCATCGCTGTCACCTTGCCGCATCGGTCCAGATTCAACCGCCGCGCTCCAAGCGCGGTAGGATACAGCGGGAGAAGATCCCGCGAGAACCGTAGAGTTCAAACAGCCGCTGGGAAATGTAGTTGTGGCGCCGCCCGTTTCCTCCCTTAGGGCGCCATCTTATGAGCGTTTAAACAGGGGGGAAAACGTCCTACAGTTCCCAGCATTCCTAAGAAGCCATACTAAATACGTATTGAAGTGAATTACTTTTAAGGTCACGTGGAAAGTCTTCCGAATGGCGGAAGTGAAGCGCTTTTGTAGGCTAAGTTCCATTCTCACGATACTTGATTTGGGGCTTCTGGTTGCCTGGGTAACAAGCATCCCAGTTCTTGTAGCGCCTCTGGTGTTAAGTGCGTTGATGTTGATGTTTAATGGGACTTGCTCAGGTAAGCGTGCACAGGATTCCAGCGTAAAGAGAATATAATGTAGAGGGACTAAGACTACTGGAAAGCAAATTTGTTATGCCGAAAAGTTCTTTCTTTATATATCTATCAATTCTCATTCAGTTTGAAAAGAAATTTAGTGAAGAAATTTCAGAGAAATTCTCATAGGCTGGGTTTGGAGTTCCTGTCCTTGGCTCACTTAGATGTCCAAGGAAACTGCATGAGTGCCTTGTAGCCTTCTCATCTTCAGTTAAAGCCCAAGGGAAGGTGACATGAGTTGATTCCTGCTATAAGACCTTTTCAACTCTCAACATCTGTTTGTAAGTTAAGTGAGAATTGGGTGATTTGACTCCATTATCCCTTAGAAGAATGGATTGTTCAGACTCTGCTAATTCTCTCCTTTGTACAGCAGAGAATTTAGAAGTCAAAGTAAAAGTATTAATTTGACTAAATGGGTTCAGTTGCCCCTTAAGGATTCACAAGACTGAAGGTACTGCAAACTGAGTCATCTGATTCTTGCAAGAAGGATCTGTAACATATCCAATGTAAACAACACTGTGGTCTGGTATGATAGCACATGACCAGACATAAGAATGCAAATGCTGAAACAGTTGTAATACTTATCTACATTATTATCTTCAGCTGTATTTCATGCAGTTTGAATTTTAACTGCAGCAGTAATCCAGCATTCTTAAAAACAAAACAAAAAGCCTATTGTATTTGCTGACCTCTGACATGGAAAAATGTAGGTGCAGCACTTTCCTCTGAACATATTACTGGACATTTCCACATCAGGCGTAAATAGATTTTCTTCCTCTCACTATTTTTACCCTGAAAGACAGATGAAGGAAGCACTTTGGAATATGGGTAAAACTTGTGGGCTTTTACAATCACATTACATCAAGCCCTATTAAAACTGTTTTAAGTCTTAGGTGTAAAAGTACCTATTAGGCTTCCCCTATATAAGAATATTACCATAACACACATTGACCTTGTTAAACTACTAAGCACCATCAAGTAAAGCAATGGAAATAGAAGAACAACTTATAAAGTAGTTTTGCAATGTTCAACAAATGCTGTGTTGTTCTGATCTAGCATCTCTTTTTTGTCTTCTGTTGCTGTGTTTTGACCCCACCTCTTTTCCTGGTTTTCACCTAGTCTTTATCTTCATGTTGGTGAGTCTGCTGTGTGCTATGCCCCTTACATGGAGGCTGCAAGCCAGTGCCTTCAAATTAACCTATATAATGAGACTAAGCAGACATGCCTAGATTATGCTGTGAATATACTTGTTCTTTTGAGACTCCCAGCCTAACCTACTTTGCAGGATTGGTGTGAAGATAAAATGGAAAGGAGGATTATGTAAGCTGCTTTTTGTCCCTTTCAGGAAAAGATGACCTATAAACATAATACACAGAATAAATATTGCAGTGATCAACAATATCTTTCAAGCAGGAGCTCCAACCCCTTTTAGGCCAGAACCCCACTACTAAAGCAAGAAAGGGAAATTTATACATAGAGACTACATGTGAGGTATTTGGGAGCAGCCACTGCTCTTTAGAAGGCCAGATACTGAAGATGAAACTCAAATACTTTGGCCACCTAATGAGAAGGAAGGACTCACTGAAGAAGAGCCTAATGCTGGGAACAATTGATGGCAAAATAAGAAGGGAACGGCAGAGAATGAGGTGGCTAGATGGAATCACTGAAGCAGTAGGTGTGAGCTTAAGTGGACTCAGGGGGATGGTGGAGGACAGGAAGGCCTGGAGGAATGCTGTCCGTGGTGTCCTGATGGGTCAGATGCGACTTTGCAACTAACAACAACAGTGGCCTTTGGACTTTGAAGAAGATGTTTATATAGTTCCACTTACTTTAGAAATCTCTTTTTCTGTTTCTTGAGCAGCACTCATCCCTTTGCACGATATACCAACTGGCTTTTGAAAGTGAATGGAGATCGTAACACAATGTTCAAAGAGAATAATGTTATGATTTTTCTGAGTTAATACCAGAAGCCCAATTTAAGCATTCCAGAAACAATTCCTTGGATTTTAGACAGGGTAAATAAATCTTTTTTAGAAACCACAATTAAATTTCTAAACTTGTGTAACAACATGATATACTGAAGTGCGGAATCACCACTGAAGGGTAAATCTCATGGTACTAACATTTTACTCCCATGTTGGCCTATTCCCATGCACACAGTTTGGATTCACTGCAAAGCCATTGAGTTCTTCCCATACGTACACACCAAGCAATGTTTTCCCCTGGTTCTAAGATTGCAGATAAGTAATTTTAGACTTAATGGTTTTAATGAGACCTTTAGACTGCCACATATGTTTGTTCAATTATGAAGCCTTCTCATCTCAAAGATCCATTTGAATCCATGCTTTACAACTGCTTCTGTATTTATTTATTTATGTATTTATTTGGAACACTTCTATGCCGCCCCATTTGCAAAAGCCTCAGGGCGGCTTCCAATACAATAAATACTATGCAATTACATTAAAAATCTGGAGACATCCCGGGAAGATATAAAATCAATAAATAAATTTAACAATTGAAATAACATTTAAATAAAAAGGTCTTGGCCTGGCACTGAAAAACAAATAATGACGGTGCCAGGCGGACCTCTCTGAGGAGCACATTCCATAAGTGGGGCGCCACTTTTTTGCATGCTTGTGCAAAAAGCAAAGAAAAGCACATTGATCTCACCCCTCCCACAAACAAACAAAAAATCATAGGGAGGCATATAACTATACTACTATATGCAGATGAAGCAGCTATTATTTCAAGGACTCCAATTGGGCTCACAAGAGCACCGCAGAAGCTGGCTGAATATTGCAAGGAAGAAGATCTGACAATCAATTACCAAAAAACAAAAAACATGACCTTTGCAAAAAGACCAAAAACTCGATCAAGGAAGATAAATCAGCACAAGATCGAGCAGGTTTCCCAGTTCAAATATTTAAGTGTAGTCTTACAAGCAAATGGCTCCAGGAAGGCCCATGGTGAATATGTGGCATTAAACACCCAGAGAAGCTTGTCAGCCATAATACAATTCATGAAATCTAAAGGTGGCCATTACATCTCCCTAGCCTTCCAACTATATCAAGCAAAAATACTATCTCAATTACTATATAGATCTCAACTGGGGCCTTTCCCAAACACCCAAGTACTACAATGTGTCCAATCAAAATTTCTGAGGGCAATACTGGGTCTTCCTAGGGATGTCTCCAGTGCAAAGATAAGATTGAAGACCGGACAGATCCAAATTGAAGCTAGGATCTGGGGGGGGGGGGCATTCTTCCACACTGGCTCAGGTTGGTATACTTTACAGTTGGCCTTGCTCCACTAATCCTGCAAGACAACTTCAAATCCAACTGGATTAAACCAATTGAACAGAAAATAGCCCTCTTGGGCCTTCCCCTGTGGACTGTACTAAATATGGGTTTTGAACAGGCAATGGAAACCATCAAGCAGTGTTATGGCGAGGTTACTGGGATGAAAATAAACAGAGAAAAGACGAAACTGTTAGTAAAAAAATCTCACACAGGAGCAGAGAAACTCTGGTGGAACAAGTAGACTTTCAGATTGTTAAAAAGGTTAAATATTTGGGAATTTATCTTACAGCTAAGTGTACCACTCTGAAAGAAGACAATTATGATAAACTAATTTAAGGAAATTAAGAGTGATTTGGAAAAATGGGCTAATTTGCGATTCTCCTTGCTGGGAAGAATAGCACTGGCTAAAATGAATATATTACCAAAGCTTTTGTTTCTATTCCAAATGATTCCCATAAAAATTGATAGAAAATTTTTTGAAGATTTAAATTTTCAAATCTCGAGATTTATATGGAGAAAGAAGAAACGAAGGATTAAACTAAAAATACTTCAGGAGGCTAAAGAGAATGGGAGCTTTGGTCTCCCTGATTGGATGCTGTATTATCAAGCTTCTGTTTTAACGTGGCTAAAAGAATGGATAACTTTAAGAAATAAGAGAATCTTACATCTTGAAGGGCATGATTTGCAAATGGGTTGGCATGCTTATATGTGGTATGAAAAGGCTAAGGTACATGGCTCTTTTTTAAGTCATTATATTAGGAAATCATTAATGTTGATGTGGGAAAAGTTAAAGACAAAATTGTATAATCAATTACCAAGATGGCTTTCACCTATGGAAGCTCTTGTATATCCAAATGCATTGAACTTTGAAGCGATTGTAAGATATGACGACATTTTGGATCATGATGGAGGATTGAAATTGAATCAAGAAATACAAGAACAAGGATCTAATATTTCTTGGTGGCATAAGGTGCAGATACAATCAAGATATGCTAAAGACTATAGAATGTGAGGCTTTTATAAAGATTTAATAGCATTTGATCAGGTGATGCTTAAATCAGATGAGAAAATGATTAAAAGACTATATAATTTCTTACTAGATAGGAGAATGGAAGATGAACAGGTTAAGGAAACTATGATAATGTGGGCACAAAACTTCGTGTATAATATTGAATTAGAAAAATGGCAAAAGCTGTGGTAGAGAAATATTAATGTAACATTAGTAACTTCATATAAAGAAAACTTGTATAAAATGTTTTA